GCTCATATTTAGACAAGGTTGAACGAAAAAGATCGATTCTTTTCTTCTCGTCTGTAGGAAAAGCAAATAGATAATTTTGCGTTAATAGTCAAGTTAAAATGAGCGTAGCTAAGTATTACTGAATCTTTCTGTATTACGTTAATAGTAGAGTTAAAATGAGCGTAGCTAAGTATTACTGAATCTTTCTGCATTATTTTAGTCACCGAGTGGCGGTTTTCCCTATCGGGCTGTTTATGAAAATTTAAAAGGTTATGTAAGGCGCCTTTTTAGTATGCTTATTTTTTTTCTCTCTTTATCTTTCATTAATAGTTGCCAATTGGTGCAAATAAGAAATATAGATTACATTTTGATTCAGTATTAAGAATAATGATTGTGAATATCTTAGTGTATTGCATCGTACTGCGTATCGTATAGTATCGTATTCAGAGGCGTAGCGACCCTTCCCGGCGCCGGGGACAATCTTTTCGATTTGCACCCCCCCCCCCTCGAGATTTCCATTTGCACCCCCCCCCCCCTCAAACTTTCGATTTGCACCCCCCTCAACCTTTCAATTTATTTTTCCAACCCATATGTCCCCGCCCCCCCCCCCCCCCCTCGCTACGCTACTGATCGTATTGTATCGTGTAGCATTTTACTGGTATTGTATCGTAGCGCATTGTATCGTATTGTATCTTGTAGTATTTTACAGTTATTTCATCGTATCGTATTGTATCATATTGTAGTGTTTAGTATCGTATTGTATCATGCAGCATTTTACTGGTATTGTATCGTAGCGCATTGTATCGTGTCGTATTGTATCGTGTAGCATTTTACTGGTATTGTATCGTAGCGCATTGTATCGTGTCGTATTGTATCGTGTAGCGTTTTATTGGTATTGTATCGTATCGTATTGTATCATATTGTAGTGTAGTGTATTGTATCATGCAGCATTTTACTGGTATTGTATCGTAGCGCATTGTATCGTATCGTATTGTATCGTGTAGTATTTTACTGTTGTGCATCGTATCGTATTGTATCGTATTATACTATAAATTATAGTGTATCGTTTCGTATTGTGTAGCATTTTACTGATATTGTATCGTAGCGCATTGTATCGTATCGTGTCGTGTAGTATTTTACTGTTATTGTATCGTAACGCATTGTATCGTGTCGTATTGTATTGTGTATCATTTTACTGGTATTGTATCGTATCGTATCGTATTGTAGTGTATCGTATTGTATCATGTTATATGACTTTTTTGTATGATTCTATTATGTTGGTCATATATAAAAGGTGCTTATCTGAAGGATAATTTTAAATTTGAAGACAATACTGTCAGTTGAAGCAAGTTAAAAGGTCGGATCAAGGGTCGTAAAGCAGTATTAAATTAATCAATGATAACAGGTGTAGGTTGGCGGAAAATACTCGTTGTGATGTGATTGGTGTATGGGTGGTAGGCTGCTGAATGTTGGCGTGAGGTGGCGTTGTAGAATATTTATTACATGAGAATACTGTTCGTAAAACAGACTTAAAAGTCTAGAAAATAATACATGGCTATGGTCCTTATAAGTTATAAGGTAACCTTAATCTTACAACGTTAAAAAAAAACTATGATGGAAAACTATGTACATTCATAACTTGCTTCCCCTGACGGACTAGTGCCCGTATTACCCAACATTTCATCATTATAAAGACAAGATGCCATTTGGAAATGTAAGGGGAGAGAACAACCCAGAGAAGGCTGGCGCCGTCATTTCAGTGATCACTGAGTGCGTTTGTACTCGGAGTGTGTTTGAACTGTAAGATATATTACTGCGCAGATTCAGTTACTCGATATGTTCGCAATATTATTTAGTCAATATAATTATATGGAAAGGAAAGTTTTTTAGTTTTTTTGTAGAGGAAAAAAAGATAAAGTGATTGTATTTTTCAACCCTTTTCCAAACATGGTTCAAATATGCTAATTTCGTTTCTTTACTTGATCTAAACCGGACACGGCATATTTTAATTAAGGTTACATGTTACTGATTTTGTCTGGAAATGTCTTTTTTGTTGTCGTTGTTATAGTTTTCAAATGTTATTTTACATTTTTTTAAAGTAAAAGAGGAATTGTTATGCAGAAATAATGTGCATCTTCTAGGGGAGGGATAAGGAAGGAATGCAATTAATTTTCGTTTCTAAATAGATGGGCTCCTGTTTGTATTACTGATCTATGGGCTAGATCTATAGTATGATACAGGTTGTAACAAACGTCTTGGAATGCTTCCTCCTCGTAGCCCGGGGAAAAAAACACGTCATTAGATACGAGGTGGTGTGTCTGTATAGTCAGGTAGGTTGTAACATCACAATGTAGGTAACGCTGCAATGGTTCTTGTACATTCCCCCACCCCCTCTCCGTTCGATAAAGGTTATTTTAGAAGGGCTAATTTAGCATTGATATCTCACGTTGTATCATATAAAAAAAAAGAAGAGTAGTTGTTCATCTGATAGTGTTTAACCTTTCGTCTGTTTATGAGTCGTTACTATTATAATACGCGAAAAAAATATTAAATCACCCTCCCTTTCCACCCAATCTATCGGATAAAAACTGGTTCTAGGCTTCTGTTACGTGTCGAATTTCTCTAGTGCTTTGTCACAATATCACACTGTGAACCCCCTGCCACATCACCAAAACATGAAACGTTATTTTCTATTTCACAACATAGAATTGCCTACAACGACCGGTGGGGTCTACTAAAGATTGAATGTTTGAAAAGTAAACATTTAACTTGACTCCGGCTTGTCCATAACCAAAAGGGATGTCGTAACAACATTTTTAGTAAATTACGATAAATTCCGTTGTCAGTTGAATGCTATTTCTTTTCAAGGTTCATCGTTTCCGTTCAAATACAGATCTCTACAGCAATGATGCAGCACGTCTGTGTTTCGTTGAAATATTGACTTGAAAATGTAACTACGCGCTCATTATTATAGCTTGCTGCAATCACAAAAATAGCTGGTTGTTAAGTTTGCTCCATAACCGCGGGTAGCTTAAGAGCCTACATGTTGCTAGATTATTTTTTTTAACATTTACGCTATTTTCCTATACGACAATACACTTCCGAGTACCGCGGTTTCATTCCGATTTCCTAGGTTAAGGAGCATCTCCGTTCTTTTACAAGGTCATAGTTCTAGTCTTTTTGAATTTTTTTTCTACCCCAATCCCGAGCCTTAATGTAAACACCTCACTGGTAGACTTGAAGATGAACCTTGGTTATACAATGTAGACTATACTTAGTGATGTCTATCATATAAGTATAATAGAAAATATTAGTTATTCTTGCAATTACTCCTGTGACAGTTATTAATAGAAGAACCTCCATGCTCTCTTTTTTTGTCCCAGCCCAGTGTTGCGTTGACCTGCCTTGTAATTTATTGATCAATAAACCAATAAATCGATTCTTGATTTTTATCCTTAATTCCCGTTGGGAATTTGTTCTTCTGGCTAATATTTGCTACAGTATTACTCTACCTTTTAAATGTCAGGCTACTTCCATGCAGTTCTACTAACGTTTTGTTTGACATGTATGTCTGGGCAGGTTTTCAGTGAGAGTATACTAATAAGTTATGCGACTCTCTCTAATAATTTGCTCCAATGGTAATCAGCTAGTGCAAGTTAGTCTACTGCCACAGAGAAGATATTTTCCACAGGGCAATGTTTAGTGAAAGACAGTAATACCCCCTCACTCCCCCGAGTGTACACTATCCTGGATGTCCGAGATAGCCTTGGTTGTCCAGCTCATGGTGTGAGTTATGTGATCCAGGAGTTACGATACAACAGAACAGCACATCCTCAAGTTGGCAACACCCCAAATGCTATCATCTTCTACATATTCTCTATCCTCTAACTGATTAATAAAACTACGGGATGGGGGTGTGGGGGGGGAGAACGATGTTGCCAAGACTATATTCTTCAATAAAAACATTTAATAGAGGTTATGGGGGTTGGGGTGATGAAAATACCAAGACAAGATCAAGGAAAGTTAAAAATAGCCCTGTTGGATATTTTGAAAAGTTGGCGAGGTTTGTGAGTGTAAGTTAAAAAGAATATATCACATTGTCCATTCTTTCGAAGATTGCTGGGCGCAGGCAGAGGCGTAGCTAGGGGAGGGCGGGTGGGGCGGCCGCCCAGGACGCCGACCTTAAGGGGGCGTCAAAAGGGGTAGAGATATTAATTTGAAAGCTCATTTTAAGCTGAAGTATCGAATTATATACTGTCAAAGTTACGAAAAATAAACGACTACAAGGCTCCACGCACTGATTTAACAACTTTGTGACACCGAAATAGAAATTGTTACAGGATAGTAACTGGTAAGAAGCGCTACAAACCTTTCCAACTAAGGGGGGGGGGGGGTCTTTTTCACAAACAGGAAAAACGAAATATATAAATGGGGGGTGGGGGCGCAAAATTGATAGTCCGCCCTGGGCGCCGGATTAGGTCGCTACGCCTCTGGGCGCAGGGGGTGGGGAGAAGGGATGATGATAAAAGAACTATCATAAATAGAAAAACAATTGACCTAATGACACCACTGGATAAAAATATAATTTCTTATATCTGCAAAAGAATCAACATAAAACCAGCAGATTACAGTCAACATAAAGACTATTCATTCAATTGAGGACTTTCATTCAATTAAAACAGATAATTTAAAAAAAACACACATGATATTGACTTGCAAAACAATTTGACTTCTAAGTTGTAACCACCACCCACTGTGTCAACTTTTCCCTGAGATCTGAACTTGAGGCTGTCTGGCTAGCAACTGAACTAACCACCACTCCACCATGCAGTCCCATCATATGCTGAGCTCAAGAAACATATGAACTCTACTTCATCTACACTATGGATCATTAGGTCCAAAAAGTAACTACTTTCTTTATCAAACTGTTACCTAAGAGGATGATGTTGTCATCTTTAACCTTAGATCAGTTTTTACCCAAGTCATCAGTTTGGTCATAGTCTTTCATAAAGCCAGTTGTAAGTAACCTGAGTTGCGCAAGCATCACCTGCAGCCAGTTTGCTTTTTTACCCTTTGAAAAAAATAGGCCAGAAATGTTTGCTATTTGTTAATAAATTGTGGATTTTGTTTTATTTAAAAAATCATGATCAGGTGCAAATGTCATCACTAACTAGAGCAGATGATTGATTACTTGTTATCCTCACTCATTAACTTATGATAAATCTCAAATTGTATACAATGTCTAGTTAAATGCACTTTCACAGAGTTGCATACACTTAGTCACACAGACACACTTCCATAGAGACCACATAAATCAAACATTAGATAAAAATAGATGAACTGTAAAAAAGCTTTAACTTTAAACTAATGTGCATATAATTCAAATGTAAGAATATAAAATAAACTTTCTCTCGTAGGTTAAAGCATTGGTCTCTAAGATGTGTAAGAAATAATAGCTTACACCTGATGCATTTGCATGTCTTTGACTTTAATATAACATACTTCACACCACTACCTTGAACTAAAATGGAACTGAGTAAGAGTGTACAAAGTATCTTATATGTTGTGACAATCTTTTTAAAAATTAGCAAAGAATAGCTTGATATTGACAAATTTAATACTAACAGATCAAAGTATGATTAATAAAAATTTCAACAATGTTCTCTCACAAAGCAAGGGTCATGATGGTCATCAACTATGATCAACTGTGCATATCATATCAGATGAAACCAAAAAACCATGTTTTTTTCAAACAGATGTGCAGAGATATATTTAATTTGTGGGTTCTTTAATACTTGGAGTATTTTGAGGGTGCAGAAACACTGCCCACACTCAATACTCATCTTTATGAATTTTATGGTGCCTTTGTAAGTTTGAGGTCTGTGTGAAACATTTACCACATTAGACACACTTGTAAGGCTTTTCTCCTGTATGAACTCTTTGGTGTTTATTTAAGGTGTTTCTTGTATATGCAGTCTAAGGTGTCTCTTTAAACAAGCAAAATATGTGAAACATTTACCACATGTGTCACACTTGTAAGGCTTTTCTCCTGTATGACCTCTAAGGTGAATCTTAAGTTCAGCAAGCTGTGTGAAACATTTCCCACATATGTCACACTTGCAAGGTGTTTCTTGTATATGCAGTCTAAGGTGTCTCTTTAAACAAGCAAGTGATGTGAAACATTTACCACATGTGTCACACTTGTAAGGTGTTTCTCCTGTATGAATTCTTTGGTGTTGTTTCAAATCTCTATGCTTTGCAAAAGATATATCACATTTGTCACACTTGTAAGGCTTTTCGTGTGTATGCCGTCTATGGTGTCTCTTTAAGCCAACACAATGTGTGAAACATTTACCACATATGTTACACCTGTAAGGCTTTTCTCCTGTATGAATTTTAAGGTGATCCTTTAAATGAGCTAATTGGGTGAAACATTTACCACAAATATCACACCTGTAATGCTTTTTGCCTGTATGAACTTGAAGGTGATTCTTTAGATGTGAACGCTGTAAGAAAAATTTACCACATATATCACACATGTGTGACTTTTCTCCTCCATGAATTTTAAGGTGTTCCTTAAAATGAGAAGACTTTTTGAAACATTTATCACATATATCACACTTGTTTGACTCTCCTGTATGAATTTTAAAGTGTTCCTTTAAAAAAACACTCGTTGTGAAACATTCACCACATATGTCACATTTGTAAGGCTTTTCTCCTGTATGAATTCTAATGTGTTCCTTTAGAACAGCTTTCTGTATGAAACATTTACCACATACGTCACATTTGTAAGGCTTTTCCCCTGTATGAATTTTAAGGTGTGCCCTTAAAATATACTGTCTTGTTAAACATTTACCACATATGTCACACTTGAAAGAATTTTTCTGTGTATGAATGTTATGGTGTCTCTTTAAAGCAACAAGATGAGAGAAACATTTACCACAAGTTTCACACTTAAAAAGCTTTCCTTCTGTATGAATTTTAAGGTGTTCCTTTAAATAAGCAGGACGTGTGAACGATTTACTGCATATGTTACACATGTTAGACTTTTCTCCTGTATGAACTCTAAGGTGCTCTTTTAAGTTAGAAAGTTGAATGAAACATTTACCACATACATCACACTTGCGAGGTTTTTCTTTTGTATGAATTTTAAAGTGTTCCTTTAAAACAGCACGCTGTATGAAACATTTACCACATATATCACACATATAAGGCTTCTCTCCTGTATGAGCTCTATGATGTATCTTCAAGTTACCAAGCTGCGCAAAACAGTTACCACATTTGTCACACTTGTAAGGCTTTTCTCCTGTATGAATTCTTTGGTGAATTTTTAATGGGGTGCTTTTTTTAAAACATTTACTACACCTGTCACACTTGTAAGGCTTATCTCCTGTATGAATTCTATGGCGTTGATGAAAGTTAGATGTCGTCATGGAAGAATGTTCTCTGTCATTATCATTGAGATCCAGACCCCTATTCGAATTGGAAAGTTCTGAAAAATCCAATCTGTAATACTGGCATGCATCAATATCTGCAAATTGTAAAAATTGCATTGATACAGTGGACACAGTGATGACATGAAATAGTGATGACTAAATGGTACAGTGATAACTAAATGATACAGTAAACACAGTGATGATAAACTGATAAAGAGGACACAGTGATAAACTGAAATAGTTATCACTAACTGATACAATGAACATAGCCATGGTTCACTTATACAATGGACACAGTGATGATTACCTGAGGACACAGTGATGGTTAACTGATTAAGTGGACACAGTGTTAACTCAAACAGTGTACACATCACTAACTGATATGTTGGACACAGTGATGGTTTACTGATATGATGGACACAATGTTAACTCTCTGATACAATGGACAGAGCCATGGCTTACTTATACAATGGACACAAAAGTGAACTAGAGACTAGATATTAAACAACAGAGATGAGAAGTGTATAGATGATTACAATTAGGAGAGTGTAAAGTACTGAATAAATATATTTACCACTGTCATTGTTCACCATGTTTGCTAAACTGTTCTTGCTTTTAACACCAACACTCTCTACCTGAATGCCCAGGTCTCTGCCACGGTTGTCTCCATAGGACACCTGAAAATATCAGAATACTATTCTCAGAACAAAACACTCAATCCGTTTGAATCATTAGGTATGGTGTGGCCAAGCATGGGACTGATAAAACAATAGTTTTGCGTTTAGGTCCCTACTTTGATGTCACAGCAGATGCTCATCATATACAGGACACAAATAAGCTACAAAAGTGATGCTTCACTCTTGATCAACCCATCTAAACCGGCATGGATAATATTAATATAAAACTGTCATTCCACACGAAAAACTTAAAAATCAGAACATTTTGTAAACTTTAAAATTTTAGTGGGGTGACTACTACTGTTCCAAATAAACACTGTGTCAAGTACAATGGTGAAATGTAAAATCCATGGTTTTGTTAATGTAAACAATACCATTGTTTTGTGTAAATTTGTTCAACTTGGCATAAAGGAAATTTAATCAAAAAGTCGAATTGTAGTCAAATGAGCATAAATAAAGGGGAATAGAGAGGAATGTCCACAAGGCTGTACAAAGTTGATAGGCCTTTTAAACTTTTGAACATTTACTTTTTGTATGAAAAGAAATTGTTTTAAAATTAATATTTTAACAAATAAAATACTGATGCTAATATTACTAATTAAAATGTTTACTCTAACAAGTTTACACCAAATATAATTGGATTATAATTAAATAAATAAAGACTGCACAGATCACTATTTCATTAAAACATCCAGTTTGCAGTTAGTAAGTTAAATAGTTGGCTTTTTTTTATGGATGCACAGAAAAAAGTATTAAATCTTTGACTGACGGAGTATCTATGGGGTAGTTACCAGTAATTCTGTGCCAGCAGTAATGTCCCTGTTAGTCCTGTAGAAGATCTCCCCCTTGTGCTGGTATGCTGTGACACACTGCTCATCCTCACAGCGTGCACAGTTTACAAATCTCATCCAGTTAGAATCAGATCTGTCACTGGCATCAATAAAATGGGATGGCCTTCCATCTTTGAAGATCTAAAGAAGCACATTTAACTATTTTACCCTTTATCATAAATGAGACTAAACAGAGTTCAATAAAAAAAAGTAATTTTGTTTTATGAAACTTGCTCACATAGTAAACTTTATCAGAATAAGTTGGCTAAGCCAAAAACAGCATCTCAGCCATAATATACTATGGAGGACCTTGTTGCTTATACAGCCAAAAAGAGTTCAGAGAGAAACCAATTCAAAAAATCTACATCAGTATTTCCCGAAATGGATTTAAAAACTCCTTTTCATTGCTACAACCATCAATCAAGTTGCTTTATTTATTATGGTTGATAATCTGGCAGTTCTTATAAAACACGAAAATAATGCAGAGTAGTGATAAAATTATGACTAATTTGTCACTTGTCAAAACCCAGTTCATCAGCAAGTTAAATATCTGAGCACAGAGTGACCTGTTTGTAGTGAATGGAATGCATTTAAAGAGGTGATAGGTCAAGTGATAATGTGAACAGATAAAAGTTGAATTGAGATTTATCTAGAACATAATTTGACACTAGCTACAGAAATGCAATCCATCTATAACTATAACTATAAGCACTAAAGACATCCAGATCTGTCACAGCCTACACAAAACAAATCACAAAAAAATCTTACACTTGTGTACCTATTTGGCCCACAGCACAAGGACCATTTACTTTACAACTTTTTACAAGTGTTTAAAATGACAAAGCTCTTTATTATGAAATAAAATTAACATAGATCTATATCTAAAAAACAAAAAATGGATAAGAACCCATAATTCAGCTTGACACTGTCCTAAACAAAACTGTTACTCATGTCTAACACAATCCTTAACTACATTGCTCACCTGCCAGCAATACTGTGAATAATGAGCTATCTGCTTATTTTGCTCTTTTTTCCCAACGTAAGGCCCAAACCTTGTACGAGCAGAAATAAATCTTGTGGTGAAAACTCCTAGTCCAGCATCACGTATGCCAGATGTTTTAATGACCAGCCCAGGGGGCAGTGTTTTCCTACAATAATTTGTGTCCTTGCCCTTGATGCAGTCTTGGGGTACCTGTTAAGCAGCAGTAAACATCTTAGTATTTTACTTGGTGATATTTTTGGTACAATACCACATTCACAAAATTTATTTTAACACAACTAACCAGTCTTTAAACTTCCCAGAGATGAAGTAGTTACTAACAGGGCTTAAAAAACTTTGTTTTATTTTACCTGTGAATCTGATATAATATTTAGAGGACCATGTTCAGTACAATCTCCTATGTATTTAATTTTGCACTCATCACAAACTGAAACAAAAATGTAAAACATCAAAACTACAGACAAGGTACAGTGTAGTTGCACTACAAAGTATTCTACCATCAGTAGCTACTTTATTTATACTGACACAAAGATAAATTCCTTGCACTAATACGTGAACCAGATATAAAAACAACAGATGAAAAAGTTGTGTGTTTTCTTTCAATGAACATCTATGCATGGTCTACTATTTTTCATACACAACTTCAAACAAAAACATGTATAATCCTATTGGTTATATAGATAAAACTGTTCTGTGCTAGGGTATGATTAATGGTATAGACATGTGGGATTATAGAGCCACTCAGCTGCCTATATCTAATCTACTAAAGCTGGTAAACTCTTTGGAAATAGATAAACACAGGGGCATCTCTAAAATCTACCTTTTCACAATTGAAGTCATTGTGACAGTGATCAAGAGTTCTACTTATAAGTCCCCTTTGTCGAAGTAGAATTTTAATTACTTTTGAAGTAAGACTAGTTTTTAAAAGTTAAGACAATGCCTTAACTGTTATAATACTGAAAAGGTAGATAATAAAATAAAGACATAAGTGAATATATATGCTCATAGCTGACTTATTCATAATGTACAAAGAAAAGAACTAACAGAGATACTCATCATCTTCTGGGATGTGTAGACTAGACATGTTAAGCTGGTCACTCATGATCTGCTGTCTACCTATGTATGAAAAAGAGTTGAAGAAATTATCTTTAAACAGCAGTGTTTGCGAGCAGGATTTGCTATATAAAAAGCGGCGGTAAAATCCCGATACAGCGTCGGAAATTATTGGGTAATGTTCGTTGAGTTTCGGTAACATTTGTTACTGTAAACCATAGTTTTTTTACCGTAGAAAGAAAAATAAAGTCAATTGCATTAAATTAATGTTTTAACTTAAATTTAATGTTTAACTGACAAAAAATTAGCAACAATAAGTAAATCTAAATATAATTAATAAAGTCGAGTGTAGTAATAAATGTTTTTTTTTTAAGAAACAGAAAAAACCTGCAGAAGATTTGCGACAACCAGCTCTAGTTCTGTTAGTAAATAAGACGATTAGATTTACTAAAGTTAAAAGAAAAGTAGTAAGAATAACTAGAATAATGTTTAGTAGCAGCAATAATTAGCACATACACTTAAAATAATTAGAAATACAAAATAATTAGCAAAACAGTATTTAAATTACAACTAAAATCAATCCTTGCACATTTTTCGACATTATGTATTAAAAATAATATGGCGGCAAATAAATGATGGTTTACAGTATTTCCGGTGGTTTCCGGAACGGCTCGACAGACTACGCCATGGTTTTACTGTTTTTTACTGCTGTACAGTTCCGGAATAATAACCGACGCTATATCGTGATTTTACCAAAGCGGCCATCTGTAAGTTAGAGTCGCTTCCCCTGAATCTTGCGCTATAAGTTTACTATAAAAAAAAATAAACAAGATGGCTGCTATAGTTTACTAAATTTAGTAAATGAGCATGGTTGCATCTGATGGAAACATACATCGCTAGTCTTCGTTTATTACTGAAAAGTTTTAATTCAATTGTTTAAAATTTAAAAACAGGTACATAAATGAAACAAGGGAACATTTTTGTATTTTTTCAAAACAAATCCTCCTCAAAATGTGAAATAATTATTAAAATTTAAGGAATTACCTGTTTTTCACATTAATAGCCGCGGGCGATTTTACGTACCCAAAACGATTCGATAGATTACCAACGATAGATTACCTAGGATATTTTTAATATAAGACTAGTTTTTGACTAGATTAAGATATCTAGAATCTAGATTCTAGATCTAGAAATCTAGCTCTAGATTTTTAAATTAATTAATTTTTAAAATTTGAATAGTGTAGTTCAGAAGCGGCAAAACTTGTCCGGTTAATACACTAGCAGGACTGCTAGAACTAGATTCGAGTATTGAGTCTCAACCGGAACTTTGAAAATCATCGTAATGATTCATGACCAAATCCGTAGATCTAAAATCTAGTTCTAGATCTAGATTTAATTATCTTTTATGCCCAGTATTTTTTTTAAAATTATTTATTTAATCCCATTTAAAGTTTTTCCGCCAACATAAAACTGAAACTCTTCAAAAATATTGCGGACCTAATAACTAAAAATTAAAATTAAATTGGTATTGAGTGGTTGGTCGGAAACATATCGATTTCTTACCAAGGGAAATAACAGTTCTAATAAATGTATTATTACATTATTTATCAATTTATATGTGTTATAGAGACACTCAGAGAAGGGGGGGGGGGTCCCGGGGCATTGTTAGTTGTTGTTTTTAAATATTAATGTTTTATCAAGCTTAGGTGTACAGAGTCACCCTACCGCTTGTAACCAGTGCTTTTCCAGACTTTTTTCTCCGGGGGTGTATTTTTTTTCTATTTTTCAACTGCTAAGCTCTACTTCACTACTAAGTTCGAATATTTAAAACTAGGTAGCAGGCATTATTTCATTTAGATCTCTATATTACTATATTATTATTATTTGGTCATAATGTTACTTCTGTACCTCTCCCTACATAATCAATATGACTATTCTGCTCATTGATAATATCCCCATCTCTTCTATCTACAATCGAGTCAAACGAAATGGACCCAGTGCCCAGTACACTTTTGAAAATTTTTCTAGCAGAATGAAAAAGACACGTCTGCACTGGCGACTTCTCCACACACTCACACTGTTTTGGCCTGCTTGTTTTAGTAACGCCTTTTATGTAGAATCTAGACTAGATCAATCTAATAAACTTTTAAAGTTTAGTTATTAGAACCCATTAGTAAAAGGGTAGGGATATTAAAAAATGTTAGAGCCATAATAAATATTAATTAATAATTATTTTATTGACCTAACTATTAACTAAGGCTCACTAACTTTTTTTTACTAATGCAAGGCCTACAAATATTACTTAACCCTTTATTTACGGAATTATGTTCTGAATGAGATTTTTACTTAAACAATGTGTTACTATATTGCTTTTGGCACATTCAAAGCATATATCGAAGGCAATTTCGTTTCATAAATTTTTAATGGCCCAAATAGATATTGGTACTTATAAGTACCGTCAGTAAACTAGGACATTTTTTTTCAAAAAAATTTTTTTTCCAAAACAGGAACAAACGATACAATTTATTAACTAATAACATGGCAATCATTATAACAATCACTTTTTGTAATTTTCACACATAAATATAGCACAAAAGTATATTTTGAGTACGATTTTTACTGGATTTTCTATCGGAACACATCTTAGACTTCAAACACAGCAAAAGTAGTCGACATGTCATGCTCCCTCAATCTTGTCTGTGGTCTTTCTGGTGTAGCAACGGTTGCCGGAATGAACATGCTTTTGCTGGAAGCTTCCAATAGCTAGTACAATGAGCCGCATTAACAAAAAAAGCCTAGTCATTCAGCACGCAACTACAAGTAATACTAGTATAATTGTAGCCTACTAGAATATTATGACAAGTCTACACTACAGTGCAAAGTTCATAAATAGAATGATCTCAATTTGTTTAGAATAGCCGTAGTGTCCTACTCCTTTCTGTTAACTGATTAAAATTTACCATATAAATCAAGACTATATGCAGAAGTATGGACTATTACTAGCCTACATGTATAAATTACGTAAATGCTAGTTGTTATAGGCAAGACAGTTTATTGCAGTAAATATAACTTACAAATTAAATCTTACAACTAGAACTAGGCTTTGGTATACAAATGAAGTAAACTAAACCTTGTAAACGAGCCTGCAACTGATACCTTTATTCTGGTTAATTTTTTACTACTAGAAATTAACATGTAATTACAATATTTCTTAGGTAAACCATATGCTAAACTTATTATAAATGTGTAAATATCATTTTTTGAGTACATTTCGATAATTAATTATCAAGACAATATTTATGTAACTCCACATAAAAAAATCTGCCATTTTCTAAAAATCTTAAAAAAGTGGCCGTGTGCCCTGACGGTACTTATAAGTCCACTTGTAAACATCGATCTAATACAAAGACAATTTGATTAAAATTGTATAACTAGAAGTTAAATGCGTTTGTCTGACTATTGAAGTTGCCAATAAAAAATATTTGGGGTTGAAAACTTGAAAAATAAGGTAAAACAAAGGGAAATCAAGAACGTATGTGAGAAATGTACAGAAAAATTGTGAACTACCGATATAGCAAGACATTGAAAATGGCCCCACACCAGTAATTTTCAAAAAACAATGATACCTCCGACTACCGGCGACTCAGGGGAGATAATACTATTAATTACTTCAATAACTTTTAAAATTCGTATTTAATTAAAAATAATACAGGCATTTAATTAAAGTGGTACTTATAAGTACCGTCAGTAGATAAAGGGTTAACTAATAACTATTAACTAATGTGACGTCAATGTATATTAATTTAATAGTTTTAACTAATAATGAGAATACTATACTATATACTCTACAGACTAGATTTTATAGTAGCATTTATAGTAGATAAACAATAATGTGCTGTGATACAAAAATGCCATTATCACTATTAATTATCATTTGTAGTACATGACTGTTTACTTTTTGTATATGGCAGTAATTTTAAACTGTAGTCCTATCTGACATAAGAGATCATTGATTAAATCAGCTTTCAATGATATATTTTTGTTTTGTTTTTCAGGATGACATGGTATGTCTCAGCTGTATTGCTCCCAGTTCAGGAGAAAGAGTTTGCCTATCTGCAGAGGGTTTTGGAAACAGAATGTGCTCTCTAGAAAGTGTTGCAAACAGAGTATGTCCTGATTTTGTGTTATTTATTCTCTTTTAGAAGTTTAATGTTAAAGAATAATTGAGTTAAAACATGATGTATGAAACTTTTGAATGTATTGAGTGGATATCAATGCTACAATTCTTAAAGCTTAGGACGTATTACTTTTACTTATTCTTGTACCATCAATGGGGCCTATAGTTTTTTTAGTTGACTATGATAGTTATAATTTTAAGCTAAATCTCTGAATTGTTTTGCTTAATAGCTTAAAACTATCATCAGCCAAGCTGAATATCTTTTTGTGTGGATTGATAATTATTTCAAACTTCCATTAAAAAATAGTGTGTGCTTTAAAGCTTCTTACATGAATAAAAGTTGTTTGATGTTGCTTTCTTTGTTTTAAAACAAATGGTAGAATTAAATGTAGATGATCATATGATCATGGATTGAACATTAGTGCAGTCAATAATGCTTGATGTTTTATTGATGTTTTATTCATACAGGATGTACCACCAGACTTGTCAGTGTCAGTTTTTGTTTTAGAGCAGGCGTTATCAGTTAGAGCATTGCAGGAAATGGTTGGAGCATCAAACCAACAGTCAACGGTAACTATAAACTATTTAAATTCATCTACAAAAACATTTTTCTTTTTTATGGAAAACATTATTTCATTTTTTTAAAAATGATTTTATATGGATTTCTTTTTCTTAAAAATCCCAGAATTCATTCTCTGCAGATACAGTAGGTTAAATGTTTATGTGGATTTTAGTATTTTGGCTGCATTCAACAAAAACAGAAAATTGTAGCAATGTTTTGAGATAATATTGTAGACATAAGAAGTGCTATCATATGTTTCTACCATTTTAGGCAGCCCAATCTGGACATAGGACTTTACTTTATGGACATGCTGTTTTGCTCAGACACTACCATGGCAACATGGTGAGTTATTTAATAAATAATATTTAACACATGTAAAAATCTAATGATTACACAAACTCTATTATTGGAAAAATAAAGGGGGAAAATACACTTGAACTTTTTTTTCATAATGATGTTAAAAGTAGAGTACTTTAAAGTTTAAAAATGTTTTAATTCACTCCTTTAAAGTATAGGCCAATGATTTTTTTTATTATTAATTTTTGATTTTTAGTATTTGTCCTGCCTGTCAACAAGTTCTTCAAATGATAAATTAGCCTTTGATGTTGGGCTCCAAGAAACTGCTTCAGGTAAGTATTATAATTTAGTTTTTATAAGAATTATAATAAATAAAAAATCAATTTTCTAAATGTTAAACAAATATGAAATATTGTGTTCACTTTTTTCCATGTTATTGAAAGTCTTTTTTCTAGTTGCGTTTTTGACACTGAAACTTCTCATGATAGCATTCTAATGAAAACAAATCATCTTTAATTTTAATCTACTAAATTTGATTACGGTTTATATACATCTCCTCTATTGACATGTTTTTCCATTTTAATCTATCAATTTTTTCCATTTTAATCTACTTTCACAATAAAATATTTTTTAGTTTTAAAAATATTGAGGTCAGAATCATTAGGTTTATTTATGTACTTTATACTTGAAGTTATTCCAATCCTAGTAAAAATATTTTAAATATAGTAAAAATATTTTAAACAGTATCAATTATTAAAAGTCAAATTAAAAAAATTATTTTGCTTAGGTGAATCTTGCTGGTGGACAATACATCCTGCTTCCAAACAAAGATCAGAAGGTGAAAAAGTTCGAGTGGGAGATGACCTTATCCTTGTCAGTGTGTCTTCAGAAAGATATTTGGTTAGTATGATGCTATTAACTAAACAGCATATTCATTCTTTAAAAAACAACATTATGGTCCTTGGTGCAAGCAGAGGAGTAGCAAGGGGGGGGGGGGGACGACATATGTCACCAGGCGCTGACCTTAAGGGGGGGGCACCATATTGAAAGTTTGAGGAGGTGGGGGGGTGCAAATGAAAAGTTTGGGGGGGGGGTGCAGGTGCAAATGAAAAGTTTGAGGTGGGGGGTGCAAATCGAAAGTTTGTCCCCGGGCGCCGGGAAGGGTCGCTACGCCTCTGGGTGCAAGTGAAGTAGAGTTCATTGCATTTCTGCAACTTAGGCATATGAAAAGATAGTGTGGTCAGTATTATGCCCAGCCTCCTTTTCTTTCCCATTAGAGCTGGGTGGACTCAGGTATGTCCTACAGACTAGCATCCTTGCTCCAAACTAAAGACTTTCAGTTTAGCAGGCATCTGCTTTTAAAGTCAATGCAAACATAAAATGAAACTTTTGTCTTACCTTCTGTCTAGCACATTGGCAGTGGGAGTAGTGTGATAGCATCATTTCAACAAACCTTGTGGACAGTTGTTCCCATGTGTTCTGGAACTGTCAGACAGAAAACTTTGGGTATGTTTCTGTTCCTACTGCCCTTAACTACATGCTGTATCATTTCTTAATTGGACTATACAATTAATAGTATTAATAGTTATTCAGGATTTCTAAAAGAACTTTTTTCTCATGCAAAGCAGTAAAAAAAATTAAAAATATCTGTTATTATTTATCAGTGGAATGAGCTTAGAATTAATTTAAAAATTTTTTATATCTTAACTTCTAAAGTTTAAGTTTTGATATACTATTCCATGCTTAAAGTGCACTCTTTATTTAAGTTCAGTTAGTTCATTCAACATGGAAATGATTATACATTGTTTTAAAATACATTTAATTTCAACTGATTTTTTAAGGCTATGTGTTTGGAGGAGATGTCTTGAGATTGTTCCATGGCCATATGGATGAGTGTCTTGCTATTCCTGAAGCTGGCAGTGAAAATGAATTCAAGTAATATTTTGATTACAACATTCTTTTATTTTATATACTAGGGTGTTGACAAAATATTTTATCTTTTAAATATGTAGCATTTTTTTTTAAATGTGTGTTTCTTTTCCAGCTGTGTGATGTATGAAACCGGTGCAGTATGTAGTCATGCTCGTTCACTCTGGCGGCTGGAACACATCAGAACAAAGTAAGTTGTTTTACTCTGGTGCATTTTTACTTGTTCATTTCTTGATTATTAAACTTTATATATGTTGTTCACTTAAAAAACGGAATGGCAGATTTTGTGACTGGATTACTTCAAACATTATCTCATCCATGATACATTTTGCTGAATATTTTTCAAACTCTTCTGAGAAATGTGCATTTCAGAGTATAAAATAAATCTGTTTTGTTATTAAAAGGTGGGCTGGAGCCTTCATGGGCTGGGGTCAACAGTGTCGAATTCGCCATGTTACATCAGGCAGATATTTATCAGCCATGCCAGATAACTCTGTGATGACCGTCCATAGGCAAAAGGCTGATGAAGCTAGTACAGCATTCACACTTTTAATGTCCAAGGTAAGTTTAATTCTGGTCCAAGATAACTTTGATTCTAAATATCATAAAGCATAATATAAACTACCTATAAAGCTAAAAGAAATAATTTAATTTAAAAAATGTTCTTTATTTTTTTCTAAAAGTCCTACATAAATGATAAATAATGTGACTGTTTGTATTTAATATTCTAGGATGAAAAGAAACAATCAGATGCCAGAGAAGATGAAGGTATGGGCCTTGCAGACATCAAGTACGGTGACTCAATGGTTTACATGCAACATGCCTCCACTGGTCTCTGGCTATCTTACCAAACTTTTGAGACGAAGAAACGAGGAGTGGGGAGAGTGGAAGAAAAAAAGGTGCTTATCTTAGCTTTTGTGTATTGCTTTGGGCAGTTCATACTTGTTTAATTTGATGTATGATATTAGGACAAGATTTGATGTGGTTACAGATTTTACTGATTGTGTCAAGATATTTGCTGTGCATATTAAAATGACCCATTGATCCTGAATTAATAATGAATCACCATTTTTTAACCTCATGCTAAAGTATTGTCAGTTTTATTGATTAGATGTATGAGAATCTGTTTATATACATTTTTAAGGTTACTTGTCTTTGTTTCAATATTAGGCTATCATGCTGGTTGAAGGTCATATGGATGATGGCTTCACTTTCTCAAGGGCCCAGGAGGAGGAATCTCGTTCTGCACGAGTCATTCGCAAATGCCAGAGTTTGTTTAACAGGTTTACAAAGTAGGTTTAGAAATGTAGAGTTGTGTGTTGTGTTAACATCAGAAGTCATCGCTCAGTATAATCCCAGACAGTGTTTTTACCCTCACAAGTCATGCCCTGATATATTCCACTAAAAGTACATTCCAAGAGTATCTCACCTGATCATTTTCTTAATTGCTATAACAAGCAGAATATCTCTAAATGAGAAAATAACTGTTTTTTTCTCAATGACAGTTATGTGCCAATGGCCTGTTTGCAGCCATGGTTATGTTTTATTTCATCAGCTAACTCTTCTCAATACCCATTATAACATTTGAGTGTCCAAAGAGATAGCTTCTTTTTTTCTTAAAGAAAATGTATTCACATTAGTTCTTTCAACTTGATGCTTTCGCATATTCATTACAATTCCTATTTGTGCACATCATTTCCTCATCACTGCTATAAGCATCTGCTGTCTTGTGTCCCATTCATTCGTATGGGGAAATTCTTATTCCAACAATCCTGTTCCACTTGACTTCTTGACCTTTGGTTTTGTGGAACAAAAATGGGCATTAGAACTTGAAATAACACTGTTTCATCAAGGTAAATTCAGCATGTGCATGACCTCATAGAATTGTTGTCAACTATTCTTAGAATGCATTTCATAAAGTTTCATATTTCATACCTATAAAATTCCAATTTTTTGCATGGTTCAACTGTTATATAACAGTTTATTAAGTGTTATTGAGTGCAACACAACCATCTACTATTTCTGTATGATGAGATGCCTGCAAAAAGTTGGAATATACAAACCAAGTTTTAACTTTCCTCTGACTAGCTAATATTTAATGTCAAAGCTTTTCTAAATAAAGAATGTGTTTTGATGGTGCAGTGTTATGTAGAACACTGTTAGTTTTTTAAAGGTTGGATAGTTTATTAGTTCAATATTAACAAGTTTGATCCACCCTATTGGGCTTTTTATGTTGTAATAAAATCAGACTCAAACTATTAATGGTGTGACTATTTTAGCCAAAATGAAAAAAAGTTGAATGATTTAATAAATAATTCATTCTAGCCACTTCATAAAAACTGTTAAAACAAAATCATTCTGCAGTAAGCATCTAAAATCTCCATTATTTGTATACACTTTTGTTAAATGATCATCAACTCATTTTTCATTCATATTATTCATTTTGCATTAGTTTTAACGCCTTTGGTTTTATTGTAATTATAAAAATGAGGTAACACTTTGAGATTTGTTAACTATGAAAATAGCAATCCTGCATTCAGATATATTAGTTTTAAATAAAAAGAAAATAATCAAATAAGCAGTTTGTTGTTTCTTTGGATAGAATTACTTATTTCTTATAATAATAGCTAATACTTTTAAAATATTTGTAGACATTTTCATTTTTTTTCCTGTTGTCTACTAATTATTAGTTAGCATTTAAACATAGAAAGTTGTATTTAGTAATTTGGCTACATAATCAATGTATCAGCCCGAATTTATAATAATAATTTAATGTATTTAGTTCTCAAAATTAGCTGAGTCTCTGCTTGCATTTAGATGTAAGTTGCATCCAAACAGAGTTAAGTACTGACAAATGTAGCTTTTTTTGTAATTTTTATTGAAAATTATAAATAACTCTCTTATATAAAAGTATAATTATTAAATTAAAAAAAACATTATAAATATATGTTAAAATATATGTTAGATAATAGCTAAAACATGTTAAACTGTAAGCTTATTAATAAAGAAAATAGCTTTATGATTAATTGTGTATAGCTGCCCTAAATATTGTAGTCTTTTGATATATTGTTTAGAAACAATATTAATTAATTACTATCAGTTACAGGGCTAATTTTTATTTTCTTTACATAAAATCAATCTGACTTAAGCAATCTAAATAATATATATCTTGCTGCTTAAGAATTACTTTGAAACAGATTAAGTTTACTTAAGTTACCATCATGGATCTTAACCATCATAAGACATGTTTTTATAATCATCATGTAATACGTGACCATGAGAATTTTGTTCTTACATTGTGTCATTTCCTTCAACCAGGGCCCTTGAGTCTCTGAAGACAGAAGGTCGTACAAGTCCTTCCTGGTCGAGGCTTAGCTTATCTGAGGTCATTAAGTGCTTGGAAGACCTTATTGATTACTTTGCTCAGCCAGGAGATGACGAAGGTGCATTTTTAAAAATTGATAACTGAGTAGTTTAATCACATTTGACATATTCAAACATATAAGAAAAAAAGTAGTTCATAAGTCATGCTAATTAACTTTTATTTACTAACTCTTTAGCAGTCTCTGCTGAATTGCATTGTAGATGTTTTAAAAAGCCTTTGAGTTAGCATCTTATCCCAAAAATTAAAAGTCTCTTTGAACTTGTATACCCTCAGAACATGAGGAGAAACAAAACAAATTAAAAGCTTTGAGGAACAGACAGGATCTATTCCAAGAAGAGGTAAACATATTTCCTTGGGGAATTACATATGTTATAGTTTAAAACATGTCAATAGACCTACCATAGTTCTTTTACTAAGCAAATTTATGTTCTTCATTTTCTAGGGCATGATAGCTTTGATTTTAGAAACAATAGATAAGTTTAGTTCCTACAAAAGCCGTAGACAGTTTGCCCATTATGCTGGAGAAGAAGCAGCTGGAAAATGGGATGACATTTCTAGCTACCTGTACTTGCTTTTAGGTAGGCTGGCACTTGATGCTCTTACACAGTTTTATTTTTCCAAGTTTAGTAGGGAAAAATTATGTTGAGTATGACAATTTTTTTAACCGTCTGTTTAAACTATTAAACTTAAATTGCTGCACACTGTGAAATGTAAATGGCTGCATTCTGTAAAATGCAAATTGATGCATACTCTGAAATGTTTTATAATTTCTGTTAATGCAGCTGCCATGATCAGGGGCAACAGGGCAAACTGCGCCCAATTTGCTCAATCATATCGTCTTGATTGGTTGGTCAATAGGCTTGAGAGTCAGCAGTCCTCCACAGGTAAGGATTTTACTACATATAGAACATTTTAGTTAGAGATGTCTGAATTTAGGTTGTTTGTATTTTTGGTTCACTGCAGCACAGGTCAAATCTTTTCACATTATATTATTTGTTTATTCTTCAAATGATATTTATATTTTAGATTGATTTCTTATCTAAGCCCTACTATTTAAAAATTCTGTCTCGTTAATATTCTTTAAACATTTCCCTTGTAACTGTTTGCTCTCAGGTGTGCTGGATGTCCTGCACTGTGTGTTGATTGACAGCCCTGAAGCCCTGAACATGATCAAAGAGAAGCATATCATCACTATCATCTCCCTCATTGACAAACATGGGAGAGATCCCAAGGTATAATACATTAATGTTAGCATATCATCACCATCATCTCCTTCATTGACAAACATGGGAGAGATCCCAAGGTACAATACCTTCATAATGTTAGCATATCATCACTATCATCTCCCTCATTGACAAACATGGGAGAGATCCCAAGGTACAATACCTTCATAATGTTAGCATATCATCACCATCATCTCCCTCATTGACAAACATGGGAGAGATCCCAAGGTACAATACCTTCATAATGTTAGCATATCATCACCATCATCTCCTTCATTGACAAACATGGGAGAGATCCCAAGGTACAATACCTTCATAATGTTAGCATATCATCACCATCATCTCCCTCATTGACAAACATGGGAGAGATCCCAAGGTACAATACCTTAATAATGTTATCATATCATCACTATCATCTCCCTCATTGACAAACATGGGAGAGATCCCAAGGTACAATGCCTTAATAATGTTATCATATCATCACCATCATCTCCCTCATTGACAAACATGGGAGAGATCCCAAGGTACAATGCCTTAATATTATTTGCAGAAGAAGAATAAGCCACATATTTAAATAAATGATTAATGTTTATGAAGTTTTACAATGACAAATAGTGCTAAATATTTGTGTGATCTGTTTAGGTATTAGATGTCCTTCGCTCATTGTGTGTGGGTAACGATGTAGCTGTGAGGACCAATCAGAATCTTATATGTGATAATTTGTTGCCTGGAAAAGATTTACTACTGCAAACAAAACTAGTGGACTATGTTATAAGGTAATGTTAACTGGCAATCAAAAGCAGTTAAAATATTGGTCATGAAATTTTATAAAATCATTCTTCTAACTTATTTTATTTGTTTAATTCAGAATTAATTTCTGTTCGTTCTTTCTTTACATCCAAAGTTTTTACTTTTCATTTGTTTAGTAAGAACATTGTTTATTCTGTTGTAGTTTACATCCCAACCTGTACGCTGGCATAAAGCAAGGCTCAGCTATGTACAAAAAGTGGTACTTTGAAGTGATGGTGATCCAGTACCAAGCAACCACTCACCTGCCCCCAATGCTAAGGGTTGGCTGGGCCAACACTATTGGGTTTGTGCCTTACCCTGGAGGAGGGGAACACTGGGGTGCTAATGGCTGTGGGGATTCCCTGTACTCATATGGTTTTGATGGAGCTAATCTGTGGACAGGTATGTTGCTGGATATTGGCACTGTTGTGTTTATATTAGGAAATGTTATGGTCAGGTGGGACAGTGTATGTTTGCTAAATCCAATGGTCCTGAGTTCAGACCCTTGAGCAGATGAAGCTCATTTGCTGAGGACAGCAGCCCATCTAGGAAAGAAAACTACAAACTCAAACAACCGCTGTCTTGTAGTTTGTTCTTGGATGGACAAATTCTATGGAAGCAAATCTAGGATGAAAAGAAGGCTAAAGTCAATGGTCCATAGGGTGCATGACATGTTGACATCCAATACTTAATGGTGTTGAAAGAAATCCTCTTCAACATTTTTTCCATTCACTTTCCATATGGTTTCTTTTCTTAGAATATAAAATAAAAATTTCATTTACAGGAGGAAAGCCAAAACAAGTTAGAATCACCAATGTGCCACTCCAAAAAGGTGATATTATTGGATGCTCAATGGATCTGACTGTTCCACAAATCCTATTTTCCATCAATGGTGTGAAAATCGCTGGTTACTTTAAAGATTTCAACACCGATGGGATGTTTTTTCCTGTCATTAGTCTTTCTGCTGGAGTCAGGTGAGGTCTAGCTTACATTGTATGTCTCATATAGTTAAAGTTGTGGGATTAAATGATGAGGTTGTAAGATACAATTATTACACATTTTTAAAAATACAATGGTTAATACTTTGAACAAAAATGAGGGTTTGATGACAATTATTTTAAAGTATTAAGTAATGTTTCTGGTGTAAGTGTTATTTTAAAATCTATGATTTGTCTTCAACAGTTGCCGGTTCATATTTGGAGGAGACCATGGACGTTTGAAGTTTGGTCCTCCAGAGGAACATGCCCCAATCATTGAATCCCTTCCTCCCAAAGACAGACTGAAGATTGACCCCTGCTTCTACTTTGGTGAACTTAGCAAGAACCTGATCAGTGGTCCCACAGAGATGTGTGAATATCAGCCATTTGTGCCTAACCCTGTCAGCACTGCACATGTAAGCCTTGACTAATGTTGTCTTGATGCTTCTTCTCTTGGCTATTGTACCATGAATACAATTCATTTTCTTGTATAATTACTTGTTTATTTTGTTAACTTTTCTTTCATGACAGATTCAATTGCCAACTTACATTGAAAATGTGAGAGACAAGCTGGCAGAAAACCTTCATGAGATGTGGACTATGAACAAAATTGACCAAGGGTGGTCTTTTGGAGAGGTCAGATTGTTATAAATACAGATTCCTTAAACTTTTCCCAATTAATAAACATTGTTAAAATTGTTTATCCATTGTGTTTAACTATATCTTTTGTTTAAATTGTTTAAAAAACAATTTAAAATGTTTTTAAAATTTACAGAATCGTGACCCTGATAGGAAAATCAATCCATCCATTAATTCATTTGAAAAGTTGCCCATGTCTGAGAAGAAGTATATCATTACAGTTGCATTTGAAACTCTAAGGTGAATAATGTTGTACAGAAAACATATAAATCACATTAACATTTGTAAAAAACTTTAAAAGTACCTATGAAAAATAAGACTTCAGTATTGAAACGTAACACTTTTCCAGGACACTTCTTGCCTTGGGATACCATGTGGCCATGATCCCACAAGAGACACCCAATAACAGACTGAAAATGCTCAAATTAGGAAACAAGTAATTCATCTTACTTATATAAATACGGCCTTCACCTTTTACTTTATTTTAAATTGATCACTATATGTTGTCAATTTTATTTCTTTAATTTAGGCTATTATTGAATACAGTAATCTGTAATTTCCTCAGTCTACTTCTAACTTAAATCTCCTAAGTTCACTGTTAGTTATCTATAATCCAGATCTAAATTCTGTCACAGCTATCTGCAGACCAATGGGTACAAGCCTAATCCACTTGACTTGTCTGGGATTACCCTCAATGAGAAGATGCAGGAGCTTGTTGATCTTTTGGCTGAGAACACTCATAATGTTTGGGCTAAAGATAGAATCAAGCACGGCTGGACCTATGGTCTACATGAGGTAAATAATATATTCTATTACATTTGAACTTTGGCTATAGAGGTTATGAATAGTTCTATTGATTGTAGGTTATTTAACTTTTAAAAAAAAATTGTAATAAATTTTTAAAAATATTTAAAAATAACTGAACTATTTTACTGAACAAATTTCAGGACCCAGTCAATAAAAGAACCCCACATCTTGTACCTTACAACAAAGTAGATGAGCACATAAAGAAAGCAAACAGGTAGACACCACGTCAATATTGTATAGAGCATACAGGCTATTATCATTCTAATCCTGCCATTATTTTATTATCATCTTAAGACTACATTTCTTGGAAATAAATGTTGACAAAATTTTGCTTGCCAGAGACACATCAACAGATGCTGTACGAACTCTTCTAGCTTATGGCTATGCTATTGAAGCCCCTACAAGTGAAACAGGGGAGAGCAGTGCTGCTGGTAAAATATTTTTGTGACATTGTATTTTATTGAATTTATCCAAACATTCCAAAAACCTTTCCTTTTCACATGAAATAACAACAAACAGTAAATCATTTCAAAAGTTGAAAATTAAATTTGTATAGTAAAAAGCATTACTATTTGTATCAACATAAATTATTTTAACAAGATTAAAATGCTTTCATTTTTAATAGAAACCTTTAGATTTAATGTAATTTGTAATTTTATTAGCTATTTGAAAAACATTAATGAATGAGCGCAACAAATAGTTTTCTCAGTTTTTTTATTAGTGTAAATAGGCAATTTAAAAACATGTATGCTCTACTTGATATTTTGCAATCTTCCTTTTTTCCAATGCTTGCCAAAGGAAGCAAACTACAGAGCAGATTAGCTGCTCTTGGTTTGGCACCAGGTAATTCTCATGCTTTGATCCCCAAGATAAAACCTTCTTAGTATCATTCATTTTTTACACATTGGCTTGACTTTCTTTTACTGGGTTTTAAACAAGTGTGGAAACATCAAACGGTATACATCCAACATACATTCTCCAAATGGGTGGTACATTAAACAGTATACATCCCACATACATTCTCTAAATGGGTGGTATATCAAACAGTATACATCCAACATACATTCTCTATGTGGATGGTAAATCAAACAGTATACATCCCACATACATTTTCTATGTGTAATACATCAAATAGTATACATCCAACTTACCTTCACAGTATGGGTGATAAATCCAATGGTACATATCCAACATGTTGGTGATAAATCCAATGGTACATATCCAACATGTTGGTGGTACATCAAATAGTACATATCCAACATGTTGGTGGTACATCAAATAGTACATATCCAATATGTTGGTGGTACATCAAATAGTACACATCCAACATATGGGTGGTACATCAAATAGTACATATCCAACATGTGGATGGTACATCAAATAGTACATATCCAACATATGGATGGTAAATCAAACCGTACATATCCAACATATGGGTGGTACATCAAACAGTACATATCCAACATATGGGTGGTACATCAAAACAGTACACGTCCAACATATGGATGGTACATCACTGTAGTTGTGGTTATTTAAGAATAAATCTGTTACAGTTCTGTTTATCTTTTAAAGAACAGAACTGATTTAATGTAGGTGACACATTTCTTTTTGCTTCTTGTAGTTGTGGCTACTGAAAGTACAGAAAAAACTACAAAGACAAGAACATACAGAACAGAGAAGACATATGCTGTTACCAGTGGAAAATGGTGTGATTAAGTTTTATAAAGTGTTACATAAATATTAGGATTGTTTTCTGTAGAAAATAGTAAAATTTAAAATGTATTAAAGACTTCATTTATAATTTGCTCAGTAAAATAGTGACATGATAAATATATTAAAGATTTGGTTTATGCTTTGCTCAGTAAAATAGTGACATGATAATTGTATTAAAGCTTTTGTTTATAATTTGCTCAGTGAAAGTTTGACTGTTTTATTTTTAAACCAACCTATCTTTTTGTAACAAAACCTCTGTGTATAATAATAAAGGTACTATGAGTTTGAAGTGATAACAACAGGCTACATGAAAGTAGGCTGGGCACTTGTTACTGCTGACCCATCATCTGAGCTTGGAACTGATGGAACATCCTATGCTTTTGATGGATACTTGGTAAAGATTTTTTTCATTCATTCAAATATCTTATAATTAGTAATGATTATACTATGGAAATTTTATTGTCAGTCTTTTGAATTAAGTACAATTACCTAACTTCAAATAAGGAAACAAATGTATCTTTCCTTTGAAAAGAGTTTTTTATTTGTTCTCTTTGATTGCAGGCAAGGAAGTGGTACATGGGAGCTGAGTCTTATGGTAAAATATGGAACTCAGGAGATGTTGTAGGGTGTCTGCTAGATCTTCATGATGCCACAATATGTAAGCTTTATTTTACTGCCCATTTTATATATAATTTTCAGATGTTTGTTTTCTTTTCAATTACATTTTTTTTATAACTGTGAGTAATTATAAACTTGTGTGGTGGTATATAAAATGTTTTTTAATTATTTTGTCTCAATTATTACAGCCTTTTCTCTAAATGGAGAGCTAATGATGGACGCAATGGGTCAGGAAATCGCTTTCAGAAATGTTAAAAGTGAAAATAACATTGGTGAGTTTTTGCTTCAGTCTAGGGATTTCTATTCAGTTTTAACAAAAAGCATAACAAATTCATTAGAATACTTTTTCTTAATATTATGAATAATTATTTTAAATAATTTTTTCCCCCAAGGCTATGTTCCAGCATTTACACTTGGCCCTCACCAGCAAGCCAAACTTAACTTTGGTCAGGACATCAATCAGCTGAAGTTTTTCACAAACTGTGGTCTACAAGAAGGCTATGAGCCATTTTGTGTGTATGTATTAGCATCTGTCATACATCGCTACTTAACTTATTTAAAATATTGTTTAAATCTCAAAGCATTCCTATATAAAATTAGTTATATCCAAAACTTTCTGCAGCCAATTTTGCTAATTAAAATAAATTAAGCATAAAATTGTGTTAGCTGTTGACAGTTAAATAGTAAACAAAGCCACTAATGAAAATATAAAATTAGGAATATGATGAGGCCGCTGACCTTGTGGTATGCCAAGTGTGATCCAGTGTTTGAAACCATCAACTCATCCGACCCAGGTCTGCTTGTGTCCAGGATCTCTGGAGGGTCAGTACAAGGAGTTCACACTAATATTAAATGTCTACCTAAACAATGTCTCGTGTTTAATAATACCATTACTGTTACAAGCTTTGATAATAGACTACCTTGTTACAATATTAAAATAAGGTCAGGTTATATAAAATGTAACAACTAACAATTATGTCCTAGAAACACATTTATTATCTTTATTTACAAAGATGTTATGAATTTAACAAATATTTTTACTGCTACAAAAAGTTTAATGTATTTATCAATTATTTATTAATAATATTTATTAATGTCAACAGTCCTAATGTTAGCCCATGCCTCAAAGTGTCATCAAAAACATTTGGTACCTTAGAAAAGGTACATTTAGAATACCTGCGTCTCAGTTTACCTGTCACCTGTAAGGAAGAATTTGTTTCAAAGTAAGTCAGCCATTGAACTCTAACATCATTTTATCTAGACCAATGTTATTCAGACAAAATTACTCCAGTGTAAGACATTGCCAAGTTAAGAAATCGATGCATTTAAATACAAAAATAGGGGTCGAGTCAGTAAAGCTCATGGTTGCTAAACCGAAAAGTCTCGAGTTCGAACCCTCGAGGACAGCCACTCTTCTAAGAGAGACAACTCCAAAATCAAACAACTGCTGCCTTGTAGTTTGTTCTTGGTTGGACAAAGGCTATGGAAGCATATCCAAAAAGAAAAGCAGGCTGAAATCTGAGTCAATGGCCTCAATGTTGCATAACCAGTTGACACATATACTTAATTGTGTTGGAGGGGATCCTTTCCTACACTAAAATTAAGAACGAAGAAGAAATACAAAAATGTATATGGAGAGGGCATAGAGAAAAGAAAATATTGTTGTAGTTACAAATATTCCTACACAGTTGAGTAATAGGTTTTTGTTTTTTGAATAGCAGAGACAAGCAGTTAGCCCAGCAGGTCCTTGAAAAACGTCTCAATCTGGAAAACAATCGAAGACGTGGAACAGACCTCGACATAGAGGAGGAGGTCGCTACAGGTACTGTCAGCGTTAAAACACACAGCAGCAGCAACAACAACCACCCTCACCAGCCTAAGGTTAACGGCAAAGTGAGCGCCAGCCAAAAGAACAATGGCAGCAATAGCAGTAACAGCATCACCAGCAGCATCGTGACCAATGGCAGCAGCATGTGCGGCCCCAACAGTAGCCAGAACTCACTCTCAGACAAGGCTGGCGGACATGCACGCTTTACTGGTGCTTTTACTAACATTTTTTCTCAACCTAAATCATTGCTGTTAACAGTAGATTAGAAACTAATGCAACTAACTAAATATGACTTATACTTTTATTGTAAATATCATTTTGGACAGTCAGTTATTAGAAGTTTTAAAATAAGTATGCTCCAATAGACCTAAATTCCTAAAAAAAAAGAAATAATAGTGAGATTTCACCTCTAATATATTTGCAACTTGAATCATCTAATTTGTTAAATGAATTAATAAATGAAACATCATAAAGAGTTTCTCTTATGGAATTTTTGTTTTTTAGATAATATAAATATAGTATTTAACAGCAATGATTTTTTTATGTTTAACTATACTACAATATAACATAACAATATTTGCACTTAAATTTTGTGTGTGCTTTAAACTTGCTGTAAATACTTGTTAATATCAAGTTAAAGTCTTGTGTTTGGTTGTTGGGTTTGTTTTTTTGCATGGAATATTATTTTATTTTTGCATTTTCAATTATAACACCACTTTTCTTTTGCTGATCTCAAAAACAAATTTTTTATTTTACTATTACATTAAAGGGAAAAAAACAATGTGAGTTCTGGGCGTCTGCATCAAACAATACATAACTTTTTCCCTCATTATCACCTCAAACCTAACAATAACCAGAGTTCAAAATTGAATCCCACTTATGTGTTTACACTTTTTATCCTCTTTAACATGGATGAGAATTGCAATGATTTTACTAATAATGTGCTACCTACTCCTAACCTTGACAGACACTGCTAGAAGGAAAGGAGACATTAATGGTATGGTAGAGCATGACTCTGGCTTTTCTTTTACTAATCATGTAGAAAACAGGATTGAGGAAGCCATCCCTGAAGCAAGTAAGTGCTATTGTGTCAAGGCAGGCCCCAGTTTAAATGTAGCCTACTCATGGCTGAAGGGGGCTTCAGTCAGTATTCATTCATTCTTATTTTGGTCCCTGTTCCAGGGTTTAAGTGATTCATCTCAGGCTATTTTGAAATAAAGCCAAAAATATGTGGAGGGGATGTAGGATATACAATTTTAGTTATTTATTCACAAGTGCACACATTTGTGGTGGAGTTTTTTTTAAAGAGTTTAAATCTTAAGTTATTTAAAATATTTTAAAATGGCATCTCTCAATTTTAAATAAGAACATTTATAATAAAGACTTCTTTCAGGAATTAAATCTTCCATATAGTTATGAACATAGTTCAGAAATGTTTTTCCCCATTGTTTACTGTTTTCATCATTAAATCAACCCAGGTAGTGAAGACCAACTAAATTACTCAATATGAAATTACTCATAGGTGCACAATAATGAACAATGGTGGAGGGTCACATTCACTAATTATCTACTCAATGTAGCTTATTTTTTTGTGAATATGGTATATGCTGCTGAAGATGATAGATTTTTAAGTTATTTGTTAATCTTATTTTGCTGTATATTTTGAACAAATTTATTAAAAAAATGTATAGGACAAAATTTTCACTGAGTTTCTGAGTGTTTTGTACAGTGTTAACTTTGTGTTTAACAGATGAGGAGGATTACAGTATCAATGAGATGATGAATGGTGGGCCAGATCTAACTCTCAGGAAAAGTAAGAAACAAACAAAAAATAACACTGTGCCACTAATCATTTTTGATACCTCATTAATTGTCTAATTTTGAATTTTCACCAACTAAATAAAATTAAACTGCTAACATTTACATTAACATTTTTGTGTCACCTTTAGGGTGCTTAGCACTGTGCGGCAACAGTTTGCCATAAGTGTGTATTATAACTTTTCCCAGCCCTTCATCACAACTACACAGAAGATGATGCCTTGAGCACAGCTGAACGCAGAAAATCTTACCTGAAAGGAATGAAGTCAGGGAAAGGCCAGTCATTAGATGACTCCAGCATTGGGGAACATTCTCAGGGCATGAAGCCGGCTGCCAGTGAATCGCAGCTCAACGACAGCTTAGACTCTTTCCTTAACCCCCCTAAAGAAAAACCCCGCACTGGGTCAAAACTTTCTCTCCTTGCAGATAAAGTCCTAGATACCGCCAAGCTGATGACAGACAAGAACCAGCAGGCCCAGAGCAAGAAGCAGGGCAAGTCCACATTCACATCCCTCTTCAAAAAGTCCAAGTCGCGTGACCCCTCCCCCAACAACATGGGCAGGGCCAGGAGCACAGAATACTCCAGCCTAGACAAGAAGAATGTCTCAGCCAGAACAGGCCACCTGGATAAGAAGAAGACCCCTGGCAAGGGTCAGCAGCAGCGAGTCACAGATTCAGAGTATGATGAGAACGCAGACAAAGATCTTATCCCGTATGAGTTTCAGGATGAGCTGGCATCTCGGCACCACATATACCGTAGTGAGGACTCTGACTTTGGCCAGTCAGAGGGAGAGCTGAGCGAGATCAATGCTTTAGCAGAACAGATGGATGAGTACTTCTATGCTGTCAGGGTTTTCCCTGGTCAGGATCCTGCACATGTGAGTACATGACATGTCATATATGTAGTTTATATTGCTGCCACTCTAAGTATGCCTCAAGTATGATGTGTTTCATATAAGCTTGTATTAGGCCTACACATTTTTTTTCCATTGAGATGCTGTCTTACAAACAGCCTCCTATACTCTGTTGAATACAGTAATTGTCTTCAGATCTTGTTTGAATAAAGTGAAATGTAAACTATTGTAAAACTATATTTTCCAGATCTATGTAGGGTGGGTGACCCCCAGCTTCCACCATAATGAGAACAGTTTTGATATCAAGAGTGTAAGACATGTCATTGTGTCTACACTGGACAGAGATTACAAACCAAAACAAAGGTAAACCAGCACAACCAGGCCTACATTATTTATTCATACACCTTGGGATACAAGTATTTTTTAAATCTATCAATATTTAAATGTGAAGTTTTCCAAGAGCTTTTGAAAACGTTAAAAAATATTTTTCAGTGTCAGCCGTAAGAATTGTTACATAATGTCAGCGGGTGACCTCCAGCAGAGGTATGCTGACTCCAGTCAAGAGATGGCCTCCAAACGCTCATCACCTGGACTAGTTATTGGCTGTTTTATTGACACCTCAACAGGTGTTCTGAGCTTTACAGTCAATGGCAAGGAGGTGGCTAACAAGTTCCAGGTATGACATATTTTTTTTTAGCAAAACATTTATTTGGTTACTACTGAAAGAGAGTGAAGTTAGCAGTTATATATATAATGACTAGTTGTTAATCAGAAGAAATTGTCCAATTATGGACACAGGAACAGAAGTATATAGCTGGTTTAAAATGAATGGAAATCTTGAGCCATTTAAACTGTTTATTTGAAAGGTGGAGCCAGGCACAAAGCTGTACCCAGCAGTTTTCTGTGAACCCACCAGTAAGGAAATATTCCAGTTTGAGCTTGGAAGCACCAGGGTAAGAATTTTTTACTATCATCATTTGGTTTTACAGTTTTGTCCAGTTAACATTTGTTTACTAATATCTTTTTCATTCTGGGAATGGATGGATGGATGTGTGTCCGCAGCTTTAAGTCGTATCTCCTCCTCAACGAAGCAATATCGAGGACTAGTTCCAAAAGCAAATATGTTAAGCAAGTTACCAGGATGAACATAGGCCAAAAAAATTCCGGGTTTCTTTCATGGATTTCCCAGAAAAGCCAAAAAACCTTGAAAAAATACAGTTTTTGGCCCATATCTCGGCAACCAGACCACTTAGCGACTTGAAACATGTACCAATCGATTCCTGCCATAATTTAGAACAATATTGCAGAAGAAAGTTTTCAAAAATATCCTTTCATTCGGTCACAAAAATTTTTTTGAGTTAATTAAAATTTGGACCGAATTAGTAGGCATTTTATCCAACCACACCACACGCGTCATCACGTTCAATAGCTGCGCCATCACGTTCAATGGCTGCGACATCACGTTCGGTAGCTAGGCGCGCAATGGTTTTTAGTCATGTTACTCTATTGTAAATAAAACATGTAAAATACTGAAAAAGAAATTAATAAAAAACGTTTTAATAACTAACCAATGGTTTTACTAACCCTGCTCTTGATTTACGCTACGACAGAGCTATTTTTAGATAACATAAGGAAATTGCGCTAAAATTGTCACTAGACTTTTTTAATTACTTGTTTTTACTAATATCTTTTTCATTTAGTTTTTCAACATTTTTAGTTAATTTTTTTTAAAATTTTGACATTCTGAAGCTTATAAAATTATAATCTTATGTATTTTTTTCAACATGCTGTGTACATTTTTTCCAGACATCGCTGCCTCTTTCTGCTGCTGTATTCCGAGGTCCCAAGTCCTTGGTTCCAACTTGTCCTCCAAGACTTGATATCCAGTCACTGAGACCAGCCTTCTGGGCCAGGGTCCCCAATGCAGTGCTGAAGGCCAGCACACTGAAGCTGTCAGACATCAGAGGGTGGAGCATGATCTGTGAAGAGCCCAGTATGTCAGCACATTTGTTCATTCACCTTGCTAATAAAGTTATAGCTTTTTCAGTTTACACAGAGACAAATGTGATCAGTTTTACAAATTACACAGTTCCAAGTGTGATCAGTTTTACAAATTACACAGTTCTAAGTGTGATCAGTTTTACAAATTACACAGTTCCAAGTGTGATCAGTTTTACAAATTACACAGTTCTAAGTGTGATCAGTTTTACAAATTACACAGTTCCAAGTGTGATCAGTTTTACAAATTACACAGTTCTAAGTGAGATCAGTTTTACAAATTACACAGTTCCATGTGTGATCAGTTTTTCAATCCATCTATTGCCAAATGGGATAACTTTTTAAATTTACATCGTTCTGAACATAATAAATTTTTAAATAGTTCAAAATGTAATAACTTATTAAAATTACATCATGCCATACATTTTCATTTCAAAATTTCCATCCAGTAAGTTCTCTTTCTCCTGATATTCTAAGAAGCTTGACATAATTTGTAACCAACAAAAAATGTTTCCAGTGTCAATGCTGGCTGTGTACATCCCAGATGAGGACAGATGCTATGATGTTTTAGAGCTGATTGAAAAAGATGACTTACTCAAGTAAGTTTTGTGACAATAGCAAACTACCTCAGTCAGTTTTTATATACATTTCCCATCACACATTCACATTGCTGACTAACTTACACAAATTATCCACAATTTCCTTGCTAATAACAAATATTCTCACTGTCCCACACATTCACATTGCTAACTTTCACAAACTCTCCAAAGTTTTTACGCTGACAAAAAATATTCTCATCCAACCACACATTCACATTGCTGACTTTCACCTACGCTCCACAGTTTCCATGCTAAGACCCTGGACTTGTATCAAGCTGTGTGTTCCCATGGCAACCACAGAGTGGCCAATGCTCTTGTCCAGCATGTTGATGAGAAGCAGCTCATGTACTGCATCAAGAGTGAATGTAAGTTTTGGACATTGTGGGCTCCACATTCACACTAAATTATTCAGAACACAAGCAACACTAAAATATTCAAAACACAAGCAAAATGTAACAAAAGTTAGTGTACTTGACATAAAAAATTATTAAAATGTCATATAGGTGACATTAACTGGTACATAATCTTAAATATATTCAGAACACCAAATCTTACAAAACTGAAATAAGTTTTAGCAACAACCTACAAAAAACTAACACAAAGCCACCAATAATGATTCTAATTGTTTACCTAATTGTATTTATGAAGATTTGTCTGGTCCATTGAGACATGGATTCCACAACCTGCTGATAGCTATGCACTTGGAATCTCATACCAGAGCCAGGTGACATACATTTCTGTTTGTTTTATATTAGAAGTTTACATGACAGATCTCTAAAATTAAAGATAAATCTTAATAAAACTTGTATTTCCCTATTTGTCAATAAATTATAAAACATTTCATTAATTTATGCTAATATTTTTTACAATCTTGTGTTCCAAATTAGGTTAATGACCCAGAATGAATTTATTATACCACTGACTCCACAAACCAAGTCTCTAAGTCTGTACAGGCCAACTAGCAATGCATCCGAGTCCTACAGCATCAAGCACCAGATCCCCAGCATGGAAGGCAGTGTATCAATCAGACCCCAGCTGGCTATCACAGAGAAGCAAATACAAGACAGGTATTATTCTACTCAATGGTTTAAGTAAAGTTTCCCTTTCAAACCTGACGGTCTATGGGGCAGGGGCAAGTGAAGTAGAGTTCACTTGTTTCTGTAACCTCGGCATATGAATAGATAGTGTGGTCAGCACTATGCCCAGCCGCCTTTACTTTCCCTAACATGAGTTAGGTACCCATCAGAGTTGGGTGGGCTCAGGGATGGTCTACTGACTAGAACCCGGATTCGAACTCAAGCCTTACGGGTTAGAAGTCCAACTCTCTACCGCTGGACCACTCCGCCCCTTACTCAATGGTTTAGTCGATTTTAAACTGTTAGTTAATAATTACTTTTAAAATAAAAACTTTATTATTGTAGCGTTAAAAATTTGAAATCTTGGATATAGAAAACTTTATCAGGAATAATCTGAACAGTTAAACTCCAAACACATTGCAATTTATTTTCATGAAGTGGATTAAAAGTGTAAAAACATACAGCAATATTGTTAATGTTATTTGTATTTATATTGAAGCATTCAAGATTTTAAGTGTCTTAACTACTCAAGTTTGATGCACTTTCAGAATCCAGAAAAATGGAAGAGATTCTACAGCGCCATTTTTCTCTGTTGAAAAACTCAAGTCTTTCACCATGTATGCCCTGTCAACAGCTGTGGAGAAGGGGGCAGCACATGTCAGGGATCCCATTGGAGGCAGCAACACCAATCTATTTGTGTTAGTAGTTAAATTAATTTCAAGTCATATATTCAGTTTGTTAATAGATAGACATAAAAAATTTAGTTTAATTAGAAATTCACTTATTATTCTAACAAAACATCATAGATTAAATTTAATTAATTAAAAATCATAATTTCAGTAAAATAGTTTAAATGAATACTATTTTCCAGGCCTCTTTTAAAAGTTTGTGACAATCTCCTTGTCATGGGGCTTTTAAATGATGATGATCTGAATCACCTACTTTGTCTCATTGACCCTTCAGTCTTTGATGAGTCTAGTCATAAAAGTAAGTGACTGATGTAGTACTGTTAGAAGTAAGTGACCAATGTAGAACTTTTTGAAGTAAGTGACTGATGTTGAAGTACTAAAAGTAAGTGGTTAATGTTGAAGTATTTAAAGTGAGTGACTATTGTTATCTTGTTTGTTCATATTGAGAGTTTTTAATTAATTTATGATTTGGTCTTTAAATTTTTTTCATTTTTTACTTTTTGACATAACATTGTATTATAACAGATCCTGCTTTAAAAGGTTTGCTGAAAATGGAACTTGAAGAAGCAGTTAAACTAGAGGTTTGTTTAAATTTTTTTTGCTATTTTATATGAACTTACAATCTCAAGAAAAGATTTTTCAGCCTTGAAAATAAATAATCATAAAATAAATTGACATTCTGTCAGCTGTTTATTGTTTATACTTATTAATGGCAGATATACATCTACTGTCTTATTTTTTCTACATCTTGTAGTAGTTTTAAAAATGTAGGTACTGTACAACATTATAAAAAAAAGCTAAAGAAAAAGTTGTTTTCCACAGGTTTGCAGAATCCTACAGCACCTGTGTGATCTCCAGCTGAGGCATAGAGTGGAATCCATCATTGCCTTCTCCGATGATTTTGTTGCTAATTGCCAGAATGTAAGACATTGTCATACAATCTGGGTCTCAAAGTAAACATTAACACAAAATTTCCATGATTTATGAGCACTTGCATTATTAGTAAAAAAAAAATTTTTTTTTAAATATTAAAAAAAGATGGTACTGGTTCTTAATGTGTACATATTATGGTTGTTTTGAATAGGACCAGTTGCGCAGGTACAATGAGATCAAGCAGACAGATATGCCTCCAGCTATGGCAGCTAAAAAGACAAAAGAGTTCAGGTGCCCCCCTAAAGAACAGGTAAATATCTGGAGGTTTAGAACTGTTAATGTTCGTTTCACATATTTTTTATCAACAACAGATGTACTATTTTACATTGCCTGTTTTAACACAAAATAATTAACTTTGTTAGATGAAAGCCCTTCTGACTTTTAAACTTGAAGAAGATGACAATAATGAGAACTGCCCATGTCGAGATGATATCAGGGTTTCTTTGAAGAAGTTTCATGAAGAATTACTTCTGGTATGTTAATGAATTGCAATTATTTAAAAATATAGGGCAAAACAATGCAAAAGGTATTTTTAATTATGATATTTGAATACAAATGCTTTTGTTAAATGGTCTTAGCACATTTTAAAATAGCTATAAATTATTGTCAATAAAAATGTTTTTTTCACCAGCATTGTAAAATGCCATTGATGAGTGAAGATGACACCCCAGTCCAGGTTGAGGCTCCACCCACCCCTGCCATCTCACAGAGATTACTTGCTCTTGTCTGGAAAGCCAAAACTCCAGATGTTTCTGCCAGCATTGAGACAGCTAAAATTCCAGGTATGGGCTCTTCTTTCTTTTATGTTACAGCAATTAACTAGACCTTACAGTAAATTGTCATTGTTTCATAATAATTTATATTGCCTTTTTTTAACCTCTTTGTGTGCATATTTATCTTAGATGATTTTGCTTTAGGAAATTAGGAAACACTGTGATGTGGACTGCTCTATATGTTTTACTGCAACGTTTTGTTTCTGTTCATGCAGACTCACTGCAGAAGCTGATCACTACCACAATGATCTCCTGGGCTGAGGAAACTTTCATCTCCAGCCAGGATCTGGTGAGAGAGATGTTCAGCCTGTTACACAGGCAGTACGATGGCATAGGAGAGGTCAGTTTGTTATGCTGGATTTTGAGTTTTGTGTACTGTTCATTTTAACAGTGTTGGTGTAAGTAGAGCAGTAGAGGTTAGGTATTTCAGAAAAAATTTCAAAAATTTCAGTTAATTTAAAACTGTGACACTATATATATATATATATATATATATATATATATATATATATATATATAACTAGCGTGCACTTTCCCACACTTTGTCGCAAGGTTAGAAGAAACTCTGATTAAATATATTAGGAGGGTTTTATCAATACGTTACCAATCCTGTATACTTAGACGTGTGACCTTGTTTTCTAAAACTGAATCATTTCAATGTTAACTAATGCGAGCGCTTGGATCATATTAAATGGGGCACAGGTTTCCTTAAGTGTACGTCAATCACTCACCTTAATAGTGGGGTAGAGCACATATCCACTACCGCCCAGGTGTCATGGACGTAGAGGGGCGCTTCTGGTAGCCTCGATTACACTACCACAGGGTGCCGCATACTGATCTGGTGCGGTTTAATCATCGAATATTGTGTGACACTGTGTCAATATTGTAGGGTGCTCCTTATAACTAACGTAGGCACCATAGTGCTCAGTGGATAGCCCAGGACACAAAATTACACCCTGCCAGGGAAGCCGGCGGACACGCCTGATTCAATTTACTTAACAATTATAATTTCCCATTTATCCATAGTCTATTGCACTGTTTAAAACAAACATAGACGCCATAGCGCTCACAGGATAGCTAGACCTTCATATTGTAACTTAAGCATTTATTGCATTTCCCCACACAACTGTTATACTATGCCACACAACCAAGTATGACATTTTCTGAAGCCACTCAGACGTCAGGCATGGCTTAAATACCAATAATCATAAAAATCATCTTCTTAATAATGTCATTCCATTTTGTTTCCATAAAAAGTCATGCTTGTTTGAATTTTTAAGGATAAATAATTTTTAAAGTATCCTAATAATATAAGAATCTAAAACTGAAAATAAATAAGAAAAAACCCTTGATAATTAATCTTGGGAGTTATTCCTCTTTAATCGATGTAATTTAATTTTTTTTATCTTACATATTTGCAATAATTATACCATTTTAAAAACATTAATTAGTAATATAACAGTTCATTATTTCTTGAAATGTGAAAACGAATGTTAGATTTAAAACTTTATTAAATTATACAACATATTTGTATCTTGGAAACTTAATCAAACATACATAATACATACATAAGTCCTGAGACACAGAATTTCAGTGTCAATCTATACACCCAATATAATTTATTAACAATTTTTTGCTGCTAGTTTGCAATGTTTTAACACATCTCTCTACTAGCAAACATCTAGAGCTATTCACTAAAGCATGGAAAAAGCAATTATTACCAACACCAGCAGTGAAACAATTGGCCAAAACCTTTTCAAAATCAACAACAGCAACTTTAGAACTATCCGAATAATAACGTCCAGACTTTTTTTCAACTGCAACAGCCTCACCTACATTGCAAGTATTCATCACATCAAGAGTACAACCAAACCTAGAGGCCATATAATAAGACAGTTCATCAACAACCAATGTCTTCTACTCAAAGCCAACACCACAATGCATAAGACAAACAAAATACATGGTCCATACATATTGCACTTCTCACTACATGAAAATGACAAAAGAAACAGCACACTTAGGTACTCTCGATACAACAACGCAACACTCATACAAGCACTACGCTTATTCAGCAACAAAGAACCATCAATAAGCAGCTTTTATATCTACACTGACAAACCTTCAACCATCCCGTACTACATCAAAATAAACTATAAAAACATAGAAACAAAACACTAAATATCCTAATCACAATCACTGGTAGAAGACAAGCGTGTCAGCTCTGTTCTTCTACTCAACACTGGATGAACCGTTGCCAGCTGGCACACCCAGACACACTACAACACTAACACTCGGTCACAGTACCTCGTAACAAGTTAAAGCAGCAGTATGCCACCAACAAAATCCCACACCAGCAAAAGGATCATCTATTTAGAAGACAACAGTAAAACAAGCCTGCCAATATTACTCATCTGCACAACACTGGACAAACCAATGCAACCAACTACACCTGCAACCAGCTGTAAATTCAACAGGGATCTCAATTCAGCTGGTCATCTCTGTTTCCCAAAGTCCAGCCCTGGACACATCTGAGTCAACTGTCTTGAAGACAACAACAACTAACCATGACAAAGTAGCACAACAGCTAGCAACAAGAATTTATGCAGCCACCATCCAGATCTTGACACCACAGAAAGAAACTTCTGGCTCTCAAATCACACAACATACAAACATGGATACATCAACAACCATCAAGAGAAAGAAAGGGGACACCCAGAACCAGAGAAAACATCAAAAGCAGCTAAAGTTAATGAAGGAGACACAGTCAGCAGCCACCACAACATCCAAAACTCCAAAACACAGATTGAAGACCTACTCATCAATTGCCTACTCTGCTCTTTTTTTATTTTTTTACTCTTCTGACCATGGGCAAACCACGTAGATAAAGAACATTTTGACGCCTTAAACTGCCCCATTTGCAAAAATACAATCAAAACAAACATGCTGTAACATTATGCAACAAAACCCCCAAGGTCTCTAACGTACAAGTGTTTATATTGTGAGGCTCCAGACTCCATCTTTACAGCAAACAAACAGCTAAAAGCACACCTTAAAAGCTGGCACACAACAAAGTCTATTGTAGACAAGACTCAAACAACAAAGTAACATACTACTTCAGAGATGAAGAGGACTAGCCCAACTGCTTAAATATTTCCCTTTCTCATTGGATAAAAATAAAACAAAAATTAAAAATAAATAAATACATACATTTAAAAAAAAAACTAAATCTAATAAATTAAACATTTTGAATAAAAGCTTACAACAACATTTTTTATTTTTAAACTAAATACATCTTTTTTTAAAATGTCAACATTGATTACCTAAGCTTTTTCCCCATTTAAAATAAATTTGAAAAAAATCAAGGCAGACAACTTATTACTAGGTTCAAAAAATTGCTTAAAACACAGAGAAATTCAATGGTAACAAAATAAAAAAAGGGGTTCATTTTTTATTATTTCAAGAAACATTGATTTTAGAAATCCTTTGTGAAATTTTGACTACCTTTTATATTTTTTTTATTTTAAAATTATTTTGAACTATATATAAAATAGCAAACTATTAACTGTATTGATTATCTACTTTGTAGACATGTAATAGTTTAGCTAAATCAGTGCCATTATCACAGTATTGCATAGTTTTCAGAATTATTTTCACAGAAAATTATTGGGTGTTAAAATCATATTACTCAAAGAACAGATGTTAGTAAGTAGAATAGCAAAAAGCACCCTTCATATAGGCCTACTCCCGCCCATCTACTTAGCCATATTGAATTTGTATCACAAATTAGGCATAACAATTAGCCACATGAATTACAAGATCTGCAAAGGACCATGACATGTGTGCTTTGTAATCAACCAAAACACAAAAAAAGCAAACATAACATAAACGCAAACACAAATACAAACAATAACGCAAACTCAAACCCAACCACAAATGCAAACACAAATACAAACCCAAAGAAAACACAAAAACGAAAACGAAAAAGCAAATGAAAACGAACCAAATCAAAACGCAAACCCAACCTAAACACAAAGAAAATGCAAACATAAACGCAAAGTGCTCACAGTCGATCCTAAATCGCATTGATGGAACCGCCTGTTTCAGCTTAGTAAACGACTATAGTACCCCAACTTATTCATAGTCATTTGCACTCACTTAAACGAACGAAGGCGATAAAGCGAACACGGGAAGGCCCGGGGCTCCAAATAGCACCCCGGAGGATGCCCGGATTTGATTCACTTGAAGGCTATAGTAACCTTTCTTATCCATAGGTTATCGCACTGTTTAAAACAAAATTATGGACCATAGCGCTCACATGATAGCCCAGGGCGCCAAATCAAAACCCTGCCGGGGCGCCAGTGGACGCGCCTGTTTCAATTTAGTGAAGAATTATAATACTCCAAGCTTATCCGCAAACGGAAAGAAGTAAACATATAGGACATTTAGGACCTGGCTTATTAACTTGTTATTGATTTTAAAAAAATAATTAGTAAACAGTACGTTCAGTGTATAGAATAAATAAAAGGCAGTATTAAAAATACCTACAATATTGCACTTGATAAATCACCACTAATTATGTTATTATTTTTTTCCAACACCAAAACAAAGTAATAATAAAATACTTAAAAAAAACTTTTTAAAAAACCACGTTTTTCTTGTGGACTAAAAAGTAGAAAATAATTTTTTCTTTCGTGCTTCCTCGAGCTGTGCAGGTTCTTGTGATGACTGACAAAAAACGTGGGTACGTTCACCATCAAATTTCCCGACCCATCTGCCCGACCCACGTTTTTTTTGTCAGTCATCACAAGAACCTGCACAGCTCGAGGAAGCACAAAAGAAAAAATTATTTTCTACTTTTTAGTCCACAAGAAAAACGTGTTTTTTTTTAAAGTTTTTTTTAAGTATTTTATTTTCTCCTTTTTAGTCCGTTGCTACACATGAAACACGTGGTTTTTAAAAAAGTGTTTATAAATACACGGACTAAAAAAAATCTTGAGCGACCAGGATTCGAACCTGGGTTGTCGCGGGCACAACGCGAAGTACTAACCACTATACGATCACGGCCAGCGCGCTCACATCGATTGGGGCCGAAGTAACTGTATCAATAGGCCTCTAGTCTTGTCGGTATCTTTAGAAATCATGTCCTCAATTTTATGGTCCTTGGGGCGTAATTAAATTAAGCTAATTACGGTCACTAATTGCTAGTTTTTATGATTGCATCTGAAATTGTTAGGCGAAAGTAGCATGCATGCCAAATTTCAGGTCTCTAGAGCAATCAGAAGTGGGCTAATTTTCGATGTCAATTTTAACAACAAACACACAAACGCGAAGCTGAGTTAATAATAAAATACTTAAAAAAAACTTTTTAAAAAAACACGTTTTTCTTGTGGACTAAAAAGTAGAAAATAACTATTTACATACATTTGATGACAAAAAACGTGGGTACGTTCACCATCAAATTTCCCGACCCATCTGCCCGACCCACGTTTTTTGTCATCAAATGTATGTAAATAGTTATTTTCTACTTTTTAGTCCACAAGAAAAACGTGTTTTTTTAAAAAGTTTTTTTTAAGTATTTTATTTTCTCCTTTTTAGTCCGTTGCTACACATGAAAAACGTGGTTTTTAAAAAGTTTTTTATATAGTTTATTTTCTACTTTATCTAATCACTTGATTAAGTATGACTTGACTAGGTGTTTTTAAATACACGGACTAAAAAAATCTTGAGCGACCGATACGCTTTAAACAGAGAAAGGGTGTAATTTACTTTGCTGGCGTGGAGATCTACTCACGAATCACGTGATCAAATCTCCCATAAACAAACAAATAAACGCGAAGCTGGGTTAAGGAAAAACGTGTTTATGTGTATTTTAGCATGCCCAGCGTACCAACCGTGTCACCGTTAACAATGTGTTACCGTGTCCGTTCTCCTTTTTAGTCCGTTGCTACACATAAAAAACGTGGTTTTTTTAAAAGATTTTTTTAAGTATTTTATTTTCTCCTTTTTAGTCCGTTGCTACACATGAAAAACGTGGTTTTTAAAAAAGTGTTTATAAATACACGGACTAAAAATCTTGAGCGACCAGGATTCGAACCTGGGTTGTCGCGGCCACAACGCGAAGTACTAACCACTATACGATCACGGCCAGCGCGCTCACATCGATTGGGGCCGAAGTAACTGTTTCAATAGGCCTCTTGTCGGTATCTTTAGAAATCATGTCCTCAATTTTATGGTCCTTGGGGCGTAATTAAATTAAGCTAATTACGGTCACTAATTGCTAGTTTTTATGATTGCATCTGAAATTGTTAGGCGAAAGTAGCATGCATGCCAAATTTCAGGTCTCTAGAGCAATCAGAAGTGGGCTAATTTTCGATGTCAATTTTAACAACAAACATCCAAACAACCAAACAAACAAACGCGAAGCTGAGTTAAGAAAAACGTTTTAAAAACGTGTTAATAAAATACTTAAAAAAACTTTTTAAAAAACCACGTTTTTCTTGTGGACTAAAAAGTAGAAAATAACTATTTACATACATTTGATGACAAAAAACGTGGGTACGTTCACCATCAAATTTCCCGACCCATCTGCCCGACCCACGTTTTTTGTCATCAAATGTATGTAAATAGTTATTTTCTACTTTTTAGTCCACAAGAAAAACGTGGTTTTTTAAAAAGTTTTTTTAAGTATTTTATTTTCTCCTTTTTAGTCCGTTGCTACACATGAAAAACGTGGTTTTTAAAAAAAGTTTTTTATATAGTTTATTTTCTACTTTATCCAATGACTTGATTAAGTATGACTTGACTAAGTGTTTATAAATACACGGACTAAAAATCTTGAGCGACCAGGATTCGAACCTGGGTTGTCGCGGCCACAACGCGAAGTACTAACCACTATACGATCACGGCCAGCGCGCTCACATCGATTGGGGCCGAAGTAACTGTGTCAATAGGTCTTCAGTCTTGTCGGTATCTTTAGAAATCATGTCCTCAATTTTATGGTCCTTGGGGCGTAATTAAATTAAGCTAATTACGGTCACTAATTGCTAGTTTTTATGATTGCATCTGAAATTGTTAGGCGAAAGTAGCATGCATGCCAAATTTCAGGTCTCTAGAGCAATCAGAAGTGGGCTAATTTTCGATGTCAATTTTAACAACAAACACATCCACAAACGCGAAGCTGAGTTAAGAAAAACGTGTTAAAAAGTAAATTTACAACCCAAATGGTTTTTTTTAAAGGGAAGTAATTGAGTTTTCTTAATTTATCAAGGGACGTAATAAGTGCTAAAGGACTACATGTAAATAAGTTTCAGACACAATTAGAATTTTTGTAAAGGATAATACATTTTCTTTAATTTTGTTTAAGAACATGACATAAATTATTGCTATAAGTTTGAAAAATGAAATTGTTTTACTACACCTTCAATATTAATTTTTTAAAACATGAATTAAGATGATGAGCTAGCACTTTAGACATTTAACACTTGAGGCAATGGAACTATTATTTTTTCTTATATGCCTTTGTTATCCTTGGTTACATACATTCAGAATTGAACTATATAAATTAGATATAGACTAGATCTACAGATCTAAATATATTTATATTAAGTTTTTAGAAAGCTGATCTTATCAAAGGTTGAATAGTGCTTATTTATGACTGTTATCTTCTGTTAAACTGTGTACCATGTAAACACTGAGAAATGAGTGCAGACTTTGTTTCTCACAGCTGATGTCAGGTCTGGAAAAAGCCTATGTGATAAGCTGCAAGAGTCGAGAAGACATCAACCTTCTGCTCAAGTCACTGGGTATCATACGATCTCTGCTGCAGGTTCAGGCTGGCCCTGATGAGGAGGAGCTCATGAAGCAGAGTCTCAAGTAAGAAATGTGACTATGCTGGTGTTAGGGGGGGTGTTAACATCAGATGGTCAGCCAATGGCTCTTATGAGTGTTGATTTAGTTTTAAACTGTCTCCAATTTACATTCTTGTCTATGTACCTTATTACTGGTCTTATATCTGTGTTATCTATTGGTAGTTTTTTTTTTTGTGTGTTGCTGATGGTCTTGTTTTTTCAGTAAGTTGTGACTGTTGCAGTATAAAATGCAATGTTGCTGCAGTTTCTTATTTAAATTCTATTAATTGCTCATTGTTTTCACGTATCAAGGATTACAAATATTTATATAGATTTGCTTTTTTCAAGTAAATTCTTCCCATGCTAATAAACACGTTCTTTAATAATAAACCTCATTTCGCCACCAAACAGGTGGTACTGTATTTTTCTCCTTTCCTTTTGTTTCAAAATTGTTAAAATAAAAGGATCTAAACAGAAATTCATAATCACTCACATTTGTAGAATGAGATTATTGAAGATATCTCTATTAAGTCAAATACAAAATATGAATGTTGAAAATGTAATTAATGTTGTCATTGGCTGCTTACTATAATGGAATATACTTGTTAAACTATTTCTCTCTCTATACTGTCTATCTCAGAGACCTGATGGACAATAAAGTGTTCTTCCAGCACCCTGACCTGATGAGAGCCCTGTGTGTTCATGAGACTGTTATGCAGTTGATGGTGAACACCCTCAACAAGGCTCAACAGCAGCAGCAGCAACAACAGCAGCAAGCAGCCGCTGTGGAGGCAGGAAACAGACAGCCCACCCAGTCCAACACCATGGAGAGTCTTAGTGAGCAGAATAAGGTCAGTGATAAGTCAGTGGACATTTGAAACTTAGGCATGGTCAGATATTGACTCAAAGGAAAAAGTCAGCAAAAATAAGATGACATTAGGGCTAGATGTTATTATATGGTAAAATAAGTTCAACAATTTAAGTCAACACGGATATTAATTTGAAAAATGTGGAACAATTTAATTAGCACCTCTCTTTTTTTTTAAATCAGATTTTACTCATTTACACCTAATCTTTTTTCTCTATTTTTTTATGAGATATTTTTTTTGCATCTGTTATTTCCTTTCAACAGGATGCAGCAGCTGAAATGGTTGTCATGTGCTGTCGCTTCCTATGTTATTTCTGCCGTACAAGTCGCCAGAACCAGGCAGCCATGTTTGAGCACCTTAGCTATTTGCTGGACAACAGCAGCATGTTGCTGGGTCAGTTGTTTTATGTGTTAGCTTTAAGCTGTTTTGATTTATCTGGCAACTCAGTTTTTTTTTCATGTATTGGGTTAGGGTGAGTTTTCATTTTTTAGTTGTTTTTAAATTGTTGGTTGGACTAAGATGAGGTTTAGATTTTTTCCATGGACTTTAGTTAAGAGGTAAGTTTTACTTGATAGTTATTAAAGGTGAATTCTACTTTATCTAGCATTTTAAATATTATCTCACAAATGTTAATTTACTGGAAATTGGTAAATCATTTTATTCTAGAAAAATGTGTAAATTATTTTATCTGTGTTGTGTTTTTTATTTTTTTGTTGAATCCAGTTGAATGTATTTTTTAGCTCGACCATCTCTAAGGGGATCGTGTCCCCTTGATGTTGCCTACTCCTCTCTCATGGACAACAATGAACTTGCCCTGGCCTTGAGAGAATCTCATTTAGAGAAAATAGCTGTCTATCTTTCTAGATGTGGTATACAGGTAGAACATTTTACAATATTGTGAATGTTAGTATTATGGATTTTTTTAAATCAAATTTGTTTTGAGTATTTTGAAAAAATTTCTGTTTCTAGGAAAAAAAGAAATTAATTTTAGTATTAGAATAAATAAACTGAACTTGAAAATAATTGGAATAAAAAACTAAATAATTCTATAATAACCGAAGCTATTAAAAATATTTATGTTTGCATTAGGTGAATGCAGAACTCCTAGAGAAAGGTTACCCAGATATTGGTTGGGACCCAGTGGAAGGTGAAAGGTTCTTGGACTTCTTTAGGTTCTGTGTTTGGAACAATGGTAAGATTTCTGTTAAAAGTTATTTGCTTTTAAAAGATTTTTAAAATGTTTTTTATTATGTTTTTCTTTTCTGCATATTGCTGTGATTTTTATAACGTTTAGCAAATCATTAAACTTTTGACATGTTCCTAAAAAAAAATTTAAAAAATCCATCTAAAGGAGAAAATGTGGAAGAAAATGCCAATCTGGTAGTGAGACTGTTGATTCGTCGGCCAGAGTGTCTTGGCCCTGCGCTTCGTGGTGAAGGGGGTGGCTTGCTGAAGGCCATGAAGGATGGCATCAGAATGTCTGAGCAGATAGCAGCAGCCAGGGACAACAGCTCTAGCAGCTTCCTCATGGCCATGAATGATGACGATGACACTGGTGGAAATTACCTCATCAACAGGTATCCACAATCTTCTGAAATATGTCTTGTGCTATCACACTGCTTAACAGGATTTGATACTATAACTACCTGTACCTATAGAAGGTCCATAAGAAGACTTCCTACCCCTTGAGATAATAACACAATTTAAAGTGAACTTAATATTAATTAAGATGTAATAAAGAGTCCTAATATTTAAATTTTGTACCCATGAATACATGTTCAAGACAACACATTTTCCATGAATTTATACTTGATTGCTACACTTCTATTGCAAAAAAAAAATATTTTAAATTTTTTTCCTTGGAACTATTTACCAAGTGCGTAACCATAAATCAATTTGAATTCCACAGCAAGTACAAGTTCCACACATTACCTCCCCCTGAAGATGAGGACTACATTGACATTGGTGCTGCCATCTTGGAGTTCTACTCCAGCCTTGTGGACTTGTTAGGGAAATGTGCCCCCGATGCTGAAACTATCAAAGCTGGTCGAAGTGACTCCCTTAGGGCTAGGGCTATCTTGAGGAGTTTGGTTTCTATGGATGACTTGGAGGGAGTGTTAGGCTTACCTTTCATTTTACCTGTGGGCAGATCAGGTGGAGATGATGAAGAGGGTAGGTGTTGTGTCAGTTTAAGCACATATTTTCAAGTACAAAATTAAATACGATATTTATAGGAAGTTATATTGAAATTTTAATCCTGACTTTTTTTGGCTATGTTTTAATATGCTAGAAAACAAAATCTTCTATACTAGTAGATATGATTGGTTATGAATAGCTACAATTAAGTTTATTAATGTTTATGAAATGATAGGTGGTGGAGGTCCAGGGGGTGATGGAATGCCACCAGGTCTGCTTCCAAGTCACAAGGCATCCATTGTGATGTTTCTGGACAGGGTGTATGGCATTGATGACCAGGCCACATTTTACAGGCTGTTGGATGATGCTTTCCTGCCAGATCTCAGAGCTGCTACTACACTGGACATGGTATGGTGGTCAACTTGTCTTCTCAAATAAATAATATTTAATTAGTTTCTGATGCTTTCATTAAAATGGAATTGCTAAACTGATTAGCACATTTAGCCATACATTCAATATGTGAAAAAGATAAACTATCTATTTCAAACATGTTTTTAATGGAAGTTTTTCTTTTAACTGTTTGCAATTCTTTTCATCATTTAATGATTAAAATAAAACAAGTATGAAACCTTTATCATAACAAGCTTTTAAATACACTAACAATTGGAAATATTTTTCGTGATATTAAAATTGTCGGATGCTAAAATGTTTTTATGTACGAAACAATCCCTTAATTTTTTCTTCTAATAGCATTGAGAATTTAAATTTTTCTCAACAATAGCAGTTATCATTAACAGCCTTCTTTACTCAAGTCAATAAGGTTTGGCCAACAAAATCTACTCTATCTCCCTCTAGGCTGCAGCTTCAGAAAGTGATATGGCTCTTGCACTAAATCGCTACCTGTGCACCTCAGTTCTTCCCCTGCTGATGAAACACAGCCACTACTTCAGGGAGTCAGAGCATGCATCAGTTCTGCTGGAAACTATGCTACAGACCTGCTATAGGCTGTCCAAGTGTAGAACACTTACTAAAGGCCAACAGGAAATGACCTCAGACTTTCTGGTGGCTTTCACACAGTAGGTTAATTTTTACTTTCTCGTATATACGTAGTATAGAGAAAGTATTGTAATCGTGCAAAAAAAAAAAAATCGAGATTTTTACAAATCTCGACGTTTTACACCTCACTGATACGGAAAAACATAATTTTGCAATCTTGTCCGTATGTCTGTGTGTGTGTGTGTCTGTCCGTGTGTGTGTCTGTGTGTAAACACGATAACTTGAGTACCGTTACAGCTAGGTTGATGAAATTTCATATATAAGTATTTTATCAAAATCGTAGATCCGTATCAACTTTTGAGCGATTTCCGATAACCGGAAGTGGTACTTTTCCTACTTTGAATTTTTTAAAAGCCTATAACTTGAGTACTATTTCAGATAGATAAATGAAATTTCACATGTAAGTAAAAGATCTAATCCTCTACCTTCTGTTAAATTTTGAGTAATTTCCGTTGACTGGAAGTAGTAATTTACGCTACTTCCGATTTCTCAAAAAACTAATGTAAATTTTTAAAGTACTAATAATATTGCGCACTATTATACGCGTTTTTATTCGGCGTTTGCTTGGTGCGCAATGTTTTTTTTATGATATTCTATTCTATTTTTAAAAGTTTAAGTATTTAAAATGGATTAAAAATCATAACTATATCCCCAGTTACCATCCCCTGTTGTTTTATATAAGAATATTCGAGAAAGTTTAGGGGAGATCACTACCGGTTTATTTTAGTATGTTAATTAATTAGCTTAATTTAAAATACTGAAAAAAATCACTGAAGCTTATCTGTAAAAGAATAGACAGACATATTAAAACATTATTCTGCTGTTACTGAATCATGCTAAAACCATTAAAAATAAACTAGAACAGAAACCTTTGGTCAATCAAACAAATGACATTATTTCTTTTTTTTAATTTTCTGATGTAATTGTGTTTTAATTTTATTATATTCTTTAAATCTAGGAACTTTTAAGCCAGGACCCTCTCCTCAACTATGTACTAAAGCTTCTCCCCCTCTCTTAATTCAACTATAATTTTTTTTAAAATGTTTTAAAATTTATTTTAATTTTAAGGTCTACAAAATGTATGTTTACATTTCTTAGCCCCCAAGTTGTATATTATCACAAACATAAGAATTTTCTGTTCCCTGCAATCACACAAGGCACATTCCATTGTCATTTTTATATATATGGCTGCTAGAATGTCTTTTAAAATTGCTTGAAATAAAAAAATCAATTCAATTAAATAAAATTTCCTCTGTTAACAGAGAACTCAGACTTCCACTGATGACAAACCTCCTTAGGAAACTTACTGTGGATGTCCCTGCCCTATCTGAACATGCTGTTGTTCCATTAAGAGTAAGTTAAATATAACTAGCATAACTGTTTTTGCTTCATTACGAATGTATTGTTTCTCTAATAGAAAATCATGCTACATATTTTTCTTACTCCAAGTTACATTACTATATACCTGGATGAGCTGAGATGAAAAACAGTTGTAAACCATAAAAGTGAAAATAGAGTGTTTATTTATAGAGAGTATTTGTGTAGTAGGAGATTTTTGCATAGTGCAAGGTGACATAGCAGACAAGTGTTACATTTATATGTGAGATAGTTGAGAGGAGTGTGCAAGTTTAAGGCATGCTCATCTTGTTGGCCTTGATGGAAGTTTGTGTTTATGTCTGGTCCCATCAGAAGGTTGGGTCCAGATTGAAAGTTCTGTTGTATTGTGGAAGTACAAGCTCATGTTGTATATGGCCTTTTGTGATAATTTCTTTGTGTCTTGAAAGTCTCCTATGATAGATTGAAGTCTTAGTGAAGCATACTATGAAAAAAAATGGCCTCTAAGCTACACATCTCTCATCATCTTGCAACCAGCTATCCAGTCCATTACATATGTAATATTGTATTGAGCAGAGATGTGGAAACTATTTTGTTTCTGTCAGGTCCTCACATCACATTATGAGAGAAGTGTCAGCTATTATTAGAGTAATGTGGAAACTATTTTGTTTCTGTCAGGTCCTCACATCACATTATGAGAGAAGTGGCAGCTATTATAAGAGTAATGTGGAAACTATTTTGTTTCTGTCAGGTCCTCACATCACATTATGAGAGAAGTGGCAGCTATTATGCATCTGGAGCAGGACGAGGCTCAGTGGCCAGTGAAGAAGAAAAGAGGCTCACCATGATGTTGTTCCAAGGCATCTTTGATTCATTAGCAAAGAGGGTAAGTACTATTATTATCACTGCCAGTATTTTTATAGTTAATGTGAATGTTTTTCAGGAAAAAATTTAAAATTAAAACTTATTTCAAAAAACAAATTTTTTGCTTGAATAATAACAGCAACTGGTCAAGTTGTGAAAATGATAGTCACTAAAACCTTCTTGTCAGTTTACCAGTGTGTAAAAAGTTACAAAATAATGTTTCTAATGTTGTAAATATTCTCTTTTTGCATTCTAATAGTCAAGAATCAGTAAAAGTTATTTATTCTGCTATTATTGCCTCTCGCCATAGGCATATGACCCTGAGCTATTCTCAAAAGCCTTACCATGCTTGTCAGCTATTGGCTGTGCTCTGTCACCTGACTATGCTCTCAGTCATCATGATGACAGTTGGCTGAGACAAACATCTGTAGACCTAGATGGGGCTTACAACCCCAAACCAGTGGACACTACCAGGTAGGACATCATTGGCCAGCTTAACATTTTAATAAAATATAGCCATAATAACACATAAAAATTTTAAGGAAATATATCAAGAAATGATTTAACTATGAACTTATAAAAAAAAATTAATTAACATGATCTTTTACCCAGCTTGCAACAAAGTTTATACATTTATAGAAAATAAATAATTGTAAAAGCCAGATCAGAATTGGAATATAGCCTGAACCTTAATTTATAAGATATTTTTGAATAATAATTGCCACAGTTGCATACTAGCAAAATCCCATATCTTTAACAATGTGTTATTGTGGAACACATCTTTCAGAGTGAACTTAAACCAGTCATTGGATTCAGCTGTAACTAAGTATGCTGAGCACTTCCATGACTGCTGGGCTGTGAAGAAGGTAACTGTTTTTAACACATGTCCATATCAATTATTCAGTTACATAGAGTACATCTATAAGGCTAAACTAAATCTTTTTATAATTTAGATTGAGCAAGGCTGGCAATTTGGCAACACATATGATGATGACAGAAAAATACATCCTCTTCTAAAGCCTTACCATCTCCTAGATGATAGGGTTTGTATCAGACTAACAAATTTAACTTATAACTTGATCCATGTTATTAAAATATTTTTTAATCAACAAAACAAATTATAAAGATTGAATACTTGTTTTTATTCACCTTAACAGGCACGTCCATTTTGTAAAAAATTAAATTTTAAAAATAATCTTTTGTTGTTAGTCAAAGGCCAGATACATGAACCCAGCGAGAGAATCACTCAAGGCTATGTTAGCCTGGGGCTGGACACTGGAACAAGACCAGACACGGTTCACCTCCAACAGGGAGAGCATCAAGAGAAGGACCTCCAAAGCCAATGTGGTGAATGCAAACAATGTACAGGAGGTCTTTTCAATATCAGCACGCAGACCAAAGCAAACTTTTCATAGCCTACTGTTTTTATTATGCTTTGAGCTGGAAGAAGCAGAGTTAATCATTCTTTTACACATTATACCTTTAATTTCTTAAATAATAAAATTTTAATTCTAAGAAATATTACAAATAAAATTAAAACTTAAATGCAATATGTAGTCAAAACTGCTTCTTCTACATCTTGTTTTGGTTTGACCTCTAGAGATTTGCTGTGAAATGATTTTCTGATACTTGTACTTAGTTCATTTTTTAATTAAACCATATTTTACCTCTCCCATACCATTTTACTTCAAACTCTATTAATATGTACATAGACATAAACATAAAGTAACAATAATTTACACCCTTTAATTGCCTCTAGAATAAGACTACTTAATTAGAAAATCAGATAAGTTTCTCTTAACTTAAACAGAGTAACTGTCACTTAATTTATACTACAAAATAGAGCTTATTTACAAATTACTCCAAAAAATTACCAATATAATTGGAGTATTTTCAGAATGTCATTGTTTCTGTTGATCTAGATCTATATACAGTAGAAAAAACTTGTTTCAACTAGTGATAGTCTGATGTAGTTTTCACTGTCATATTTAGTTGAGTAGGCAAGACAATTTATGTAGCTAAATTTTACTTATATTTCTGATGCTGACAATACCTAGCTACAGAATTGTCTTCAATAGTTGTTTTTTCTCTTTTTAGTTATCCTGTTGTTGTTTTTTTTTTTTAGAATAATTAGTTAGCATTGTTTTGCTATTATTTGATCATTGTTAGTAAAATGTTTAGATAGATTACATAAATAATGATATACATCTTTTTATATATCTCTTTTGACTTTGAATCCTGAACAACAGGTAGACTAATGCCTCTATGCTGTCAATCTTCTCTTTGTTTTCATACTTGATCGTCTCCCCTGATATGCCTTCTCCCCCTATGAATTTCATCATGGAAAGATAACCCTTTTAAATTTTGGATAACGATTACCTTTTTCTTAAAGTGTGGCCTAAGATTACTCCTTGATTCTCCTTGCTAAAAAGTGACTGCTATATTAACTCACTTTGAATTTCTCTCTTTGTTTGAAGAGGTGGTGGTGATTCTGCAGTGTTGTGGTCCTCTACTATTTTGGAGCACTTTTTTTATTACAATAAATTATACATAAATTAAGCATTAACTTTTATATCATAACTAAAAGTTACAATATCTTAAATGGGAAGTTTTTCATTCATTCCAATAATAAACTGAATTTTCTAGCCCTGATCTAGAGCTGTTTTAATCCATTAAATATTTTATATACAATTACTTTTTAAATTTAGTATGAACATGGTTACAGTCCCAGACCTTATGACTTGAGAAACATCACTCTGACAAGAGAGATTCTTGTAAGTTTGTCAAATTTGTATGTTTAAAATTATTTATTATTATATTTTTAAATTAAATTTATCAATTAGAATTTATAAGAAACTTATTAGTAAATTTATTTGAATGTATCATAATGAAAAATTAACAGCTGTTTTTAGTTAGCAGTTTAAAAGAACAAGCAACAATGTATTTTATAAGCTCAATTCTTTTGATTCCAGACAATGGCTGAGAGGCTGTCAGAAAATGCACATGACTTGTGGGCAAAAAGGAAGAGAGAGGAACTTGATTCTATCGGTATGGGCTGCTTCCTTTATCTATACTGCTTTATTAACAAATGTACATAAGGAAATATCCTTTTGTTAAATCAGAGATATCTGATGAATTTGGATAAAGTGTTAGTGTTTGGTGCTAGATGTAGATCAATTGTTGATGTACGTTGTTGTATGTTGACCACATTGTGATGCTTGTTGACTTACTTGACTTAGTCCTCTTTGCTCCTTATGGAGCATAGGGCCTCCACCATTTCCTTCCATTTCTTCCTATCCTCGGCTATTAATTTTGACATCTCCCAAGACATCCCTATTGGCTTCAGTTCTTCAAAAAGACTCCACCTCCAGGTCTGTCTTGGGCGCCCTCTCTTCCACTTTCCCTGGGGGTTCCACTCAAGCGCTTGGCGTGTAACATTTGTGTGAGCCTTTCGCAGTGTGTGACCCACCCACTTCCTCCTTCTTATTTGCACACCTATAGGCTCCTGCCTAGCTTTCCTCCATAGTTCCAAGTTCGGCACTTTGTCCTGCCATCTCAGTTTCAGTATCTGTCTAAGGCATCTATTCATGAAGGTCTGTATCTTTGCTGTGCTTGCCTTGGAGACTCTCCATGTCTCTGCTCCATACAGCAGAACTGCCTTGACATTAGAGTTAAATATCCTAATTTTTGTGGTAATGGAGATGGCCGAACTTTTCGTGATGCTTGTTGCTGATCCATTATTGATATTGATAGATTATAATTTGTTCATGTTTGTTTATGGATATTGACCCAAATATTTGCCGCTACATGTTGATTACTGTTGATGTCTGGTCTACCCCAGGGGGAGGTGTACACCCCCAACTTGTACCCTATGACATCCTGACTGACAAGGAGAAGAGAAAAGACAGAGAGCAGGCTCAGGAGCTGCTGAGATTCTTGCAGTTTTTGGGCTTCAGAATCACCAGGTGGGTTTGTCATCTATCCTGTTACAGAAAATATGATGATTTGCTTTAATACACCACTGTCAAAAAATGTGGCAGCTTTTTACTGAAGTTGAGATTTAGTTGAGATGTTGTCCATTGTCTAGGCCAGTTAAAGAAATGACACCATTCCATAGCTTGTGTGAGTGCTGGTGTTAAGACTGATGTTAAGGAGAAATGTATCAGTTCTCATGTCCAATGTTGACAGTGAATGTTAACAGTGAGCATGCATGTCATGCTGAGAAAACACTGAAGTAGATCAATGCTCACAGCTAACCCCAGCATGATTAGCCAGCAGCTCACAGTGTGTTGATGTTGCCAGTGCGGCATGAACAGCTGACAGTGGTCTCCCCTGCCTGCTAAAAACTCACATTCACAGCATGGCACTACCTTAGAGAAGTTCACAAACCTGTCTAATGCATTAGAGATGTTGGTCTGTCTAGGCAAAAGTCTCACATTTCTTCCCCCAAATACATTTTAATGTCTGTAAATTGTGCTTATTGTATCTAATTTTGATTTTCATTCATTTTTGCACATCATTATCATATATAGATGTAGTAGGCCTATATCTAATAATTTTGACAGCTGAGTTATATATGTAAACAAAATAACTCAACACTGGATAAACAAAACTCAGCTCCACATGTTAAAACCAGTCCACTTAAACTCTAGAAATCGCTTTCCACAAAACATTTAAAGTTACTTTCAAATCATTGATTTAACATTAGAATATTGATATAGCATTATACATTTACTTATAGTATCTAATTTCGTATAGCAAAAAGAATACTGTTATGTAATTCAGGAAACCAGTTTTCATTACACCATTCATACAAATTTTTAAACCTCATCAGTAATCTGCATCCCAGACTACTTGAACTACTTACCATGAATCATTTTGAGATTTTATTGTATTTTATAAAAACACTGCACATTTCATAATTCATGCATTGTTGGACGCAACTTTGTTTTGAATACAATAAATAATCCAAAATGGTGAGCTTGCTCTTATTTATCTGTTTCAAACTCTTAGCTTCATATATTCCAAATATATACTCCACAGTGCAGTCTGTTAATCCCAGTTTAAAAAAAATTAAATTTTTGTTGAAACAACTAATTCATATGTTAACATTTTATTATTGGAATTATTATAAAAAATTAAATACAATTTTGTTTAAATAAAGTTCAAACACAAACATTTCTATTGAAGAGGATTACATGGCTTGCACTGGTTTCTATTACAATATACTCATTGTCTTCTAGGTTTTGGATTAGATTTTTTTACTACATAGTAGAACGTATAGCCTGAAAATGTATCAATGTTTACACATTATTTTTATTAGTAGCATGGGATTGAGATTATAGCAATTGCCTTTACAGCTTTTCCTTTCAGTTTGGGATTATACTAAGATGTAAATTAGATACTTAGTTTCCTTGCATGAATTATTTTGAGCACTTCAATTGTTTAAGCACTGTTTATCCTGATTTATTTCTTTGTGTAAAGAAACTATAAATTATATATATATATATATATATATATATATATATATATATATATATATATATATATATATATATATATATATATATATACGCTTCTTCTTAGTAGAGGTTCTTGTCTACTTTTATGTTCACTTTTTTTTCTTAATTAGTAGCAAATGATGCATGGAGCTCATTTATGATTTCTAAAGTACAGTTTCTAGTTTCATTAATTTCATGTGATCATCACTTGTATATAAAAGAAGTGTTTGATTATTTTATATATATATTTTGTAAGAAAACAGAAATCTTAAGAGTATGGCAAATCTAATCAGTTCGATATAGCTACTTTCTATAATTATTTCTAAATGTGTATGTTTACAAAATATTTAGAAAAATATTGTATGTGTAATATATTGATGTTTTAAAAGATTAATTATTTTGTCAGCATTTAACAAATTCAAATTGATATTTAATGTTTGATGTTTTTTTTTTCATTCTTCCCGATGTGGTTGTCAACATTTTTGGTTGATTTGGTTCTGCTTGGTGTCCCACCTTCCTTTGATTCTATGGTTCTACAATCATTGATGACAACACCTCTGTGTCCATGTTGTGGCTCCTCCATACCTAAAGTGGGGATTTGGGTATTGATCCTCGGCGTGAATCCCATCCCAGAGGTGGTAGAGAGACAGACGCTGACAGCGGTGTTGGCGTGTCTGCCACAGAGAGGAGGTTTGCCTACAGCCTGCTGGAGAAACTGCTGGAGTACCTGGACAAAGCATCTGTCAACATGCAGATGAGCAAGCCCTCCACCAGGTTCTCACGTAGACACAGCTACTCCACAGCCACAGAAGATGTCAAATTTTTTGGAAAGGTGGGATTTTTTTTTTTTTGTGTTCTTTAAATAGGAATGAAACTAAAGGCCTACATTAGTTTTATTCAAGTACTTTGGGCGCTTAAGAAGCCTAAAAATAAATATGAGATCAATTTTACTTAACAAAATAATTAATAGCATTTTATTGCCAGTGGACAGAATTTTCGGCATGGCTTTCATAAGTCAAATGCTGTGCCTAGTAGATGTCATTGTCTTAGTCATTAAGCTTAGAAGAAAGTTACATTAAGTTAGAAATCATTAGCCTTTGCTAAATAGCACTTTACCAAAGTCTTCATCCTTTGAATGCAAAAAAAACTAATAAAGCTTTCTTGTAAAGAGTAACAAACTGGTCCAAACATGAAATTGTACTAGCAAGGAAAATACTAGCCAATGTGTTGTTAAGATTGTGGGTTCACTTTTTGTTATTCAGTCTATGCAATATATCTTTCTGTGTCTCGTTACAATATTGAAATAATCTTATATATTAACACTGAATAGAGCACCAAAGTTATGATCTTGTTGTCACCTGACAGGTTGTGTTGCCATTTGTTGAGCGCTACTTCCACGCCCACCAAGCCTATTTTATAGCATCACCAAACTCACCCCAAGGAAACCACAGCATGGCATCTTTCAAGGAGAAAGAGATGACTGCCAGGTAGGCTACATTTTACAACATGTTAGAATTTTGATGAATATCCACTCCGACCAGTTTATTCGTGTAATGGACTTAATATTATTTTTAATGTTCTGTTAGAGAAAACAAAACCAAAATGATCATTAAGTAACTTAGAATTATTGCTACAAGTTTTTTAATTAAACCTTTTCCAATTTATTTTCAGTTTGTTCTGTAGACTGGCTCAAACTTTGAGAGCCAAAATTACAGCATTTGGCCATGATGTAAACATATCTGTGCGCTGCTTGAGGGTCATGGTTCAAGCTGTTGATTTTAAGTAGGAATTTGGATTTTTTTCTTTATAATTTGTATTGACTAGTCTTAGAAAGTACACAAATGTTTTTAAACTGCTAGTAAATCACAATATTTTAACAAATTTTACAATAGTTTTTACAAATTTACAATTTACAGCTTTAAAAGTTATTAAAATAATATTGTTTAAAAAGTTAGACTTTAGCACATACATAAATGTTGTGAGGTCAATAAATATTATTTGCTATTGATTATTTTACAGATCAGTAGTAAAAAACAGCCCTGAATTTGTTCGATCTTCCCTTCTTCCATTCTTTAACAATGCTGCTGATGATCTGGCTCTAGTGATGGACAACCTGATCAAGGAGAGGTTCAGCCATGTCAAGGGCACCATTACACGTGGCGCCACCTCTCTTGACTATGTGCACATGGTTTTGCTCCCTGTTTTGTCATCACTCTTTGACCACATAGGACATAACCAGTTTGGGGCAGATATGCTAGGTTAGTATGCATGCTCTCAGCTTGTGAAACTGTTCAATAATTATGTTAATGCTAGTGAAACTATTTTGACAAAAACTAAATAGCACTGCAAATACTTGTTTATAAGCTGATTTAAAGAAGTACTATATTTCTGCAGAAGGAATTAAGGTTAACAAATAGGAGAATTTTTCCGTAACATTTTCACCTGTCTTAAGCTAATATGATATTCCTCTTGCTCTGTTATTTTTTATGACTGATCCTATTACCATGTTTTATGACAGATTCCATTTCTATGCTTTATGACTGACATTACTAGTATGCTTTATGACTGATTCCATTACTATGCTTTTTGACTGACATCACTACTATGCTTTATGACTGATTCCATTATTATGCTTTATGACTGCTACCTTAACCATGCTTTTTGACTGCTCCCACTCAGTTGGTGATACCCAGCTTGCTTGCTACAGAATATTGAATGCCTTATACACACTGGGAACCAACAGTTCCACTTTTGCCCAGAGGTAGGTTGACTGACAGTCAATATGTTTTAATTTACCCACATTTGGAGGTTATGGCTTTTAAAAATATAATTCATTTGAATATCTTTTATTTTATTAGAATTGGGCATTTACCAATACAAAATTAGCACACATGACTAGTTTTATCTAAACATGATTTTATGTTTCATACAATTTTTAAAAACTACAGGGATTTCAAGATGTTTTATTAGTAGCCTTATTTTTTTCAAGAACAATTTATCATGACTCAGATTATTTTGGAATGTTTAAAAAATAGGATTAAAAATTTTCATTCGTTGATTACTTGCTTATATTTCAAACTACCAATGAAGCAAAAAAAAATAAAAATTTTCAGAATTCTTTTCTGTTTTGGTTACTTTGCCGGCAACTCTTTGTTTCTTTGTAACTTTGTTCTGTAATGTTTCTTCTTTGCTGTTTAAGCCAATCTGTTTCTTAAGGTGGCCTTAAAACTTATGAATGTTTCAACAGGCAACATCTTCTGCATTTCTTAACACATTTATGAAGGAAGCCTTAAATTATAAAAAGAGGATTCCAACATGTGCTTTTGTATGTTTGCTTTGTGTTGGATAATCTTGCAGCAATTTGTTTTGCTGCTTAAAAAGTATAGAAGAATTCCTTCAATTTTGTGCCATTACTTAGAGGAGTCAGAGTAGCACATGAGCTGCTAAGTTTGATATTGTAGCATTAAAAAAAATTTCCATTCTTATTTACATTTTATGTCCAATAAAGTTTTATCTTGTATGTTTTGTTCTCTTTAAAATCTCAGTTTTGATCATGCTGTTTTTGTTTTAGTTTATACCTTAACATTTAGCCTACATTTTTGTTTCAACTAATCAAAGAAATTCTTTAGTTAAAAAAAAAAAACAATAACAATTACTTAGAAAGAACTCTTTAATACATAACTTAATAAAATAAGGCATATTGAGATAAAGAATAGGTATATTTACCGGTGCACACGTAATCAAAATTTGAGAATCCAAATGGGTATTGCTGCTATGAATCATTTGTCTCACACGCTTTCCTTGTTTCTCCAATGTGCTGTAGAGAAACAATCCAGGCGGAACTGGCCAGGTATTTTATTGTGTGGACGGTGTCCATATTAACTAGCCTTTCATGTTCTGTGTGATGCATATAAATTAGTGACTGTTTTTTTTCTTTGTTGATATAACAGATTCAATCCCATTTAAAATAATGTGTGTTTGCTTTGGCCATTAAACACATTTTACTTTTTTAATCCACCAAATCAGCTTTTTTAATATAACACAGTTAAATAATTTACACAGTAATGCCATCCATATCTATTACATCTAAATCAGTTGGCCATAAATAATATTTATCTATAATATTTCACCATAATATTTCACTATAATAGGAAAGTGTGTAGTAAATATTAATACTAATGTAACATACTATGCTCTATTAGCAGTAATACTTCTTAGCTAAAACTGTACTTATAGTAGCATGAGATTATTCTTTGTGCTCTCATTGAATAATTAGCTGCAGTAGAATTTGTATTACAAACAAACTGTAGTGCTGCTGTTTGAAGTTTTGACTCTGGTCATAAACTTAAAGAATAAATAAACTATTCACCCATTATTGATTTTGAATTGTCTTTATACAAAATTGACTTAATATTACTGTGTGTTTAAGTGAACAAAATGTATTAAGGTACTATCACTTCATTTTATTTTTTAATTCTCAGCAAAAGCTTGTTATAGAACCACACTATCCCAAATTTTTTTTTTCAAAATGTACACTGTTATTTTTGTGTCCTTTGTTGAAAACAAATATTTATTTTAAGTTTTATTTTAACACTACAGGTATTACCATTTAATTTCCTGGTATAAAAATACTTAGAATACAGCTCAACTTTATTCTGTTGACAAAAACTAATTTGATCTTAGATGAATGTGTTGGCTAGTGCTAAGTGTTATACTGCATTATTAGTTGCCTCACTCAATAACTGTATGGAGATAAACATGAATTCTTAAACAGTAATATAGAGTTGTGTTTTTTTACCGGTATTGAAGATAACAAGTTCTAGATTTATATAGAAGTGAGAAAAATAATTGCTGTAATTAGTGTGTTGTGTGATGATTTTACTCTAATGCATGCATGTGTTATCACAACGCTAACCATATGTTCTTTAATTAATTTTAAAATTTACTTGAAGCTATCCAGTAGCAATCCTCTTTGAAAAACAAAAATGTTAAATCACATTCTTAAAATCACTTCTTTGTGACAGTTTATTTTATGATTTTATTTTTATTTATTTTTTGCTTATATTTTATGATAGTTGTCTTAGGATTGCTATCGAAACAACTGTTTTCAAGAGGGAGTTATATTTGTAATTTATTATTCCATATTTGTATTAATGTATGTGTACAGTATTAACTGTAATTAATTAACTGCTTCTCATTAAAGACATCGACCAGCCTTGGGTGAGTGTGTTGGCTCATTTGCCAGCTGTTTTCCTGTAGCCTTCCTGGAACCTGAGAAAAACAAGTTCAACAAACACTCCATCCTGTTTGGTCTTGAGGGCAAGATCTCAGAGCACTCTTTAGAAGCTCAGGGTAACCATCCACCAACCTATCTAATTTTTAGATTATTGGTTTCAATGTTTATTGTTACAATTTTTATTACTAAAATGAATTTATAAGTTGTTTTTTTTTTAATTAGAGAGTAAAAATTTAAAAAAAAATATTCATCAACAGAGGTCATGGATCAGTTGAAAGAGAATGTGCCATCACTTGAGAAAATTGTGACTGAAATTGAGGGTTTGGCCCACTCAGGGGGGAAATATCAGGAGGCCCCACATGTCATTGAGGTTACCTTGCCTATGGTGTGCAGGTAGGTCATCAGACACCAGCCACATCTTGACTTTGCTGGTCACTTGTTTCACTTTACCTCAAACACCAGCTATATGTAGGCTATGCTGGACAGTTGTTTTAATTACACATCAAACACCAGCAATATGCTGGTCACTTGTTTCATTTTACCTCAAACACCAGCTATATGTAGGCTATGCTGGACAGTTGTTTTAATTACACATCAAACACCAGCAATATGCTGGTCACTTGTTTCATTTTACCTCAAACACCAGCTATATGTAGGCTATGCTGGACAGTTGTTAAAATTCCACATCAAACACCAACCATATGTTGGCTATCTTGGTCAGTTGTTTTAATTACACATCAAACACTAGCCATATGCTGGTCATTTGTTTCATTACACATTAAACACCAGCTATATGTAGGCTATGCTGGTCAGTTGTTTTAATTACACATCAAACACCAACCATATGTTGGCTATCTTGGTCAGTTATTTTAATTACACATCAAACACCAGCCATATGCTGGTCACTTGTTTCATTACACATCAAACACCAGCCATATGCTGGTTATTTGTTTCATTACACATTAAACACCAGCTATATGTAGGCTATGCTGGACAGTTGTTAAAATTACACATCAAACACCAGCAATATGCTGGTCACTTGTTTCATTACACATCAAACACCAGCCATATGCTGGTTATTTGTTTCATTACACATTAAACACCAGCTATATGTAGGCTATGCTGGACACTTGTTAAAATTACACATCAAGCACCAGCCACATGTTGGTCAGTTGTTTCATTACACAGAATTACTTTATTTTTTTTTGTTAAAAAAGAAAATAATAATTTAAATTCAATTTTTAAGCTACCTCCCTTACTGGTTGAAATATGGACCTGATGGAACTCACACTGAAAGGTAAAGAAAAAAACATCAAAAAATTTTGTTTTCTTTAAGTAAACAGCTTAGTAAATCAACATGATTATTTAAAATAAATGTATTTGTGTTTCTTGAATTAAGACAAACTATCTTTTTTCTGCATAGACCCAGAAATTATGTAACAGATGTTACAGCTCAGCAAATGAATGCTGTGCTAGGTAATGTGCTGAAACTGATCCTTAGTAACATTGGCACTGAGGACGCTCCATGGATGAACAGGATTGCTAGTAAGTTGTTTGTTTTGTTTTAGGAATAAATATATAAGGACCAATATACTCTTTTCATAGTTTGATACATTTTGTAAGGATATTAAAGAAAACTGAGAGTAACACAGTTTTTTTAATGTATAATTATTTATAACATAGCAGTTGTGAAATAAAAGTACTGACTGTATTAAGTGTAGTATAAAATATTTTTCCTTGGTGTTTCTGTGTAATAAAATTGAAATCTTATAACCTTAAAATAAATTTTCAGCTCGGACACAGCCTATCATCTGTAACTCCACTCCTGAAATGATCAAAGACCATTTTCTGCCCATTGCTAAAAAGTTGAGAGAAAATGCCAGTTTGGTGGAAGCAATGGAGAAAAGATTGGCTCAAGAAAAGAGGCAGGCCATAGAAGGAAGTGAAGATTATGAACAATATGTACAAGAGGTATTTATTTTTTAACCTGCAGATAGTCACATGTATACATATTTTCTACAATATCAACTATACATTTACTTGTTTGATTGTTTAGTTTATTAAAATGTTGATTAGAATCTACTTTAGTTGTAACAAATGGCTTTGATCCACAGAAATTTGGTACATTGGTGAGAGACATCTATGCCTTCTACCCTCTACTCATCAAGTATGTTGATCAGCACCGCTCCCATTGGCTGAAAAATCCAACCCCTGAGGCAGAAGAGCTTTTCTCATGTGTGGCTGAAATCTTTTCAATGTGGTCACACTCACTGGTAGGTCTTTTTTGTCATCAGTGGTAGGTCTTTTTTTTTGTCATTACTGGTAAGTCTTTTTTTGTCATCTTGGTATGTCTTTTTTTGTCATCAAACTCACTGATAGTTCTTCTTTTGTTATCAATGTTAGACATTTCTAATTATTGGTTGGTCTTTTTTTTATTTTTTATTTTGCCACAAACTATTTGGTTCTTTTTAAACATACAGTGCATTTAACTAAAATATATATTTAGAGCTTCGCTGTCTCTAATTGCCTTAACAAAGTATTAAAGTTTCATATTATTGATTGCCTCAGTTTTTCAAACGAGAAGAACAGAACTTTGTTGCTCACAATGAGATAGACAACATGGCCCTCATCATGCCCAGCCAGGCCATCCGCCTGTCTGTACCAAAGAAAATGTTGTCTGGCTCACAAGACCAAGTGCCCACCAAACGGGCTTCAGGAGGAAAACGTAGAGAGAAGAAACGCCTGGAGCCTCACAATTCTCTGAATGTTGCTTGCCTTAAGAGATTGGTGCCCGTTGGCTTGAGCTACTTCAGTGGGAGGGAGCAAGAGCTGCTGCAGCAAGCCAAGCAGAAGCTTCTCCAGGTTCGTGACATTGTTTCCTTTATAATGTTCTTTTATCTAAGTTAATTACTACGGTTTAGATTATATTATTTTATTTTTAATTTTCTTAAAAATATGAAAATTTCTCACAAAAACATTTGATAATAAAATGTATAGGGCATAAAAATCATGTTTTAAAAAATTTCAATATTAATGCAAGAATTTTTAAAACTTAAGTTCCTTAAAACTTACTATTCTAGAGCCTTCATTGGCCACTATATTTCTCACTATATTTAATTTTTTAGTTTTTATAAAGTTGTATCATTTTCATTTAAGTCCAAATTTATAGATGTTTACTGTGGTGTTCAATAACATATTAACTATAACAACAATCATAAATAACTGAAAATTATACCTTGATGGATAACTGAATAACAAAATAATTCTCTGTGATTTTAACGCCTATTAATTAACATTTTAGTGTCTTAAGTCTATAGTACATGGTAACTGATAAATATTTTAACAGTGTGCACTAAGTGTAGGATTATAATAATAGCATCATAATCAGCCAATGTGCTGTGCGATCTTCTGGTAGTTGTGTTGAATTACTTTCAATGGTGTGCAGTAAATGAGGAGTAACCAGCAGCCGCTAACTTTTATTCACAAGTTTTTGTCACACTGTTTTTGTTTGCTAACAAATTATATGCTACATTACAAATATCAAGCAGAAAAATTATAATTTCTTCTGTTCAGTTGATTTTAATTTGAAATAAACAGCTGTACATCTAAAAAAAAGTCAAGCAGTTGTATACATTGTTTTGAGACGTCTAATGCAAGCATAAAAATATCTTCTTAAAATTAAAAAAATGTTAGTGTGATATCTAACATCTGTTTTAACTGGGAAATTAACCCCCTCCCCATCAATAACACCCTGTCACCCCCACCCCCAGACTATTTAGGATAATTATAAGATGAGGAATAGGTAGATGGATAAGGAGAAGGAAGGGATAGATATAAATATAAAATGTATTATGAAAGAAGAGTAATTATCCATAGGGGACAGTAATTGACCTGGGGGGGGGGGTGCTAATGGCTCAGACCTATTTTAACTAGTTGGATGGTTTTTCTCTTTGATCAATCAACTGTCATTACTACAAACATGTGCTACTGACTGACTAATTTGGTCAAACAACTGTCATTACTGACTGGCTAATTTAGTCACACAACTGTTATTACTACACATATGTGCTACTGACTGACTAATTTAGTCACACAACTGTCATTACTACAAATGTGTGCTACTGACTGACTAATTTGGTCACACAATTGTCATTACTACATGTATTTTCTACTGACTGACTAATTTAGTCACACAACTGTCATGACTACAAGTGTGTGCTACTGACTGACTAATGTGGTCATATAACTGTTATTACTACATGTGTGTGCTACTGGCTGGCTAATTTCTGACACAACCAGCACATGGCAGTGTATCACTGCCTCGGGCTTACTTACACAGCACTACTTACACTGCACTACTTACACAGCACTTGTGTGTATGCTTGTCTGCATTGTGCCAGCATGTAAGATACAGGACAGGTTTCTCATTATCACATGTTTCAGAAGGATGCGGAGGGAGACATCGAAGACTACCTCATGAACAATCTTGGTGCAGATGAAGGGGTAAGTGTGGGTTTTTTTTAATCTCTCTCTACCTACACTGGGTGAGTAGATCACTGCTGTCAGTGATAGGCCTCAAATAAGACAGCTTTGAGAAAAGGAAAATAATTGAATTTTAAAAACTCTAAGTTCAGACAAGCTGGTGTTATTAAAATCTCAAGAAAAACAAATCAATGTAATTTATTAAAGATTTTCATTTACTTATTTATTGATTTCTTTCTCTTGGTAAGTAATATGTAGTCACTAGTCTCTTTAAAATCTGTCCATATCAATTTAATTAGCTTATTTTTCCTTTGTACAACAGCCAATTGATGAGAAAGTACAGTGGCAAAAAGTCTTGTACCGTAAAATTGGGGACACAAAAACATCTGGCACTATGCAACTGACTCAGGGGAAAATTATTGAAAGAATCATCAGTATGGCTAAAGTAATGCATGGTTTACACATGGTAAGTTAAACTGTTCTACAACATCCCATTTCAGTGGGGAGTTCCCCCATTATTATATACATATAACTTTAATTACATTTGATCAACCATTTTTTTCATTATACAAAATTGTCAGACTTAATTTTACTTTCCAAAAACAAGTACAGCTTCCCTACATGTTGATTAAATTTTAATGCAAAATATTTTAAAATTTAAGGAAACAAACATTTAATAAATTAAATGTGAACCAAAATAATATACACCTGATGTTTATCTAGGTTGAGCATCCTAACCAGTACTGCAAGGGTGCATGGAAAAAGGTGATATCTTCACAGAGGAAGAGAGCAGTCATGGCCTGCTTTAGGATGATTCCTTTACACGGAACACCAAGGTAGAATATCTGAGCTTGTATGGTTGAGTTTGTCCACAAACAATTGTAAGAGCTGATTTGAAGTCATTCCCTTACAAATATACCTCAACTCTGGATGTAATTCATTTCTTACAGGCACAGGGCCATCAATCTTTTCTTGAAAGCCTACAAGCAGCTTTGGTTAGACACAGAGGAGACTGACAAGAATGCTCTCATTGTTGACCTCACTGTATGTTATCTCTGTCATCTAGCCTTAATTTTTATAAGGCCTAAACTTACAAAAGTATTTATTCTAATAAAAAATATGCTTTATGACTACTCATACATTTGCTCTTCCTTCATGCTAATGCAGCAGTCACATGCAGAAGAAGAAGGTGACAAAAAAGAAGAGGAAGAGGAAAAGAAACCTGACCCACTGAATCAGTTGATAACAACCTTGAGTAGAGGGGCCACAAAGGAACAGCAGCGAAGTATCCCTGACGATCCTCTGTACATGGCATATGCTGAAATCATGAGCCAGGTGTGTAGTTTGTTTCTTACCCTCTGTACATGGCCTATGCTGAAATCATGAGCCAGGTGTGTCGTTTGTTTCTTACCCTCTGTACATGGCATATGCTGAAATCATGAGCCAGGTGTGTCATTTGTTTCTTACCCTCTGTACATGGCCTATGCTGAAATCATGAGCCAGGTGTGTCGTTTGTTTCTTACCCTTTGCTCAGTTCACCTTGTTGTCAATTCACCCTTTTGATAATTCATCAAATGGTCAGTTCTCTCAGTGGTTAGGTCACCTTTTGGTCAGTGTAACTACTGCTTACAACTATTTTTGCTTCAAGAAAAAGCAGTAGTATTACTATATCATGATTCTTTTTCGTGAACATGAAAAAAATATAATGACAATTTTTAAAAGTTAACTTTTGTATTCTCTGCTCTGTTTTTGTAACATGGTTATAAAAACTGTAAAAATTTCAGACATTGATATCTAAACATATTGATTAGACCCATGTTATATTTTAATCAGTCTCTCTTATTTTTAAATAAGTAATTTTATTTTTAATGGTTCACTAAAAATGTAAAATATTTATACTTACAGAGTTGTAGTGGAGAAGATGAGGATGATGATGATGAAGAGAATGATGAGGGTCCTGGTCCATCTTTTGAGGTAAATACTCATCTATTTTCACAAGAACCATTGGTTAAGCTTTTATGTTCTTTCTTTGCATCCTAACTTTCTAACACTTCATCCCATCTCTTTCCAATTTGTTTATAATGTATCGTATTTTTTAACATTTTTTAAACATTTTCAAGCATTCTAGCATTATTATGATTCATTTATAGATAGTATGAATAAAACGTTTTAAAAAAGCAAAAAAGCTCATCATAATAATCTAATATTTTAAAAATATTTTTTTCATTTAATTTATGTCCTATATGTAACAGTTATAGAGTATTTATACCATATGTTGTAGACAAATTAGGGTTGAAAATCATTGAAGTAATATTTTGTTTCCACAAATAATCTAAAGATGCTAGCACACTATTGTTTATATACTTTGAAAGCCAATGCTAACTTCATTAAACTATCAGCAAAACTACTATTCCAGTATTGAGATTGTTTTTGCTTTAGTGTTGTTGGAGATTTGCCTAATTGCCTTTTGTTTTCTTCTTGTCTTGATTGATTTTACTGTCTCATTTTTTATGAATCAACCCAATTGTATTAAAAGTTTTTAATCACCCATGCAAATCTCCAACCATACTTACCTCCCTGTCATTAACATTATTATAATGAATTTTTTTTTACAACAATTATCTTTAAATATTTTGAATTTTTACCAGTTTTTGCATGCTAAACAGCTTTAAAAACTTTTGTTTTGCTTTCACTGCTCTGTTATTAAAACATATTTTAAAGAGCCATCTACAAAGTATTAGAATTTTTATAATTATAAAATTGCTACCTTTTTGGCTGCATTTGAAGATAAAAGTGGAGTTTATGAAGGTATTGGTTTGCATTGTAGTAGTTGCTGATCCATTTTTATTGGTGTAAACTTCATGTTAATTGAGTATCTGTGTAGGGTGGATTCAAGTTGTGTTTGACAGCATTCCCCTTGGTCAACGTTCGAAAATAAAAATTTAATTGTAAATATTTACACTTGTGAATAAACACAAAAAGTAAATAAGTAGCCTATAATGACTTTGGTTAATTTTTGTCAGCTGTTGTCTCTGTTACAAAGGCTGATATTATCATCTAATTATAATACCGTTGTTAATAAATTTGTGTTGTAGTTTATTTTATGTCAGTGTACTACTGAGTATCTCAACTCCTTAATTTCATTTATATAAATGTTAGTTTAATTGTTTATTAATACACTGCAGTTAACATGAAATATATAGATAATCTATGTATAGATACATTATTTTTCAATATTTAGTAAGTAGTGTCATTTATTTTTTAATCATTTAAAGCTAGTTAAAATTACTTGGCTAATAAAATCATTCATAGAATTTAGACTGTAGATTAACTTAGAATAATGACAACCTAAACTTTGTTGAGAATTGTTTTGTGTAAACCCATCCTGTCTTAATTTTTACTCTGTCCTGCATTACCCCTTGGTAGATTATAATAAAAATACAACAGCTGTATCATCTAGAATATTATTGAATATGCATGCTCCACTGTCTTAGGTAACAAATGCCATCTTTATCATATTGCTTAATAAGAATTAGAAGCTGTTCTAAATGTGGAATAGTTAAATGGGGCTATTTAAAAAGCTTTTCTTTACAATAATTTAAGCTGGATATCTTCATGCAATATTTAAAAAACCACCATATCGCAGTCATGTGGTTTTTAAATATAGAGATAATATGGAACTGCTAAATACAGGTTAATCATTTCTTTTGATACATATTATTCAGCTTTAGTGGTGGGTTTTAAAATGTGTTTGCTTAAAGATATCACTCTGAAATGCATAATAAGTAATTATTTTGTTAAGAAAAAGCAAAAATAACATAGTTACAAGATTACAAAATATAAAAATAATTACATTTCATTGTTTATTGTCAATTACCGACAATGGTGCATGAGGCTATTTTTAATAAGAAATTACCTAAGGAATCATTTAATAGAAAAATGTTTATTGAATACAGGATACTTTTATCAGCTTGTCATATCATAATTGCTTTTGTTTTTTTTTTTTAAATTGTTATAAAATAAGAGGTGTATTGCACCATCTTAATAATCACAAGTTATAGTTAAAGAATACCTGTTTCAAAGTACATTCATTTAGTTATTTCTTCAACTAATGTGTATTCTAATGTTCATTTTATTTTTGAAATGTTTTGTTTGTTTAGGAACAAGAAATGGAGAAGCAGCAACTACTGTTTGAACAATCACGTCTTTCAGATCGTGGTGCAGCTGAGATGGTGTTACAGTACATCAGTGCCAGTAGAGGTACAGTTGACTTCTTTAGGTTATAAGTATATTAATAAGTTTGTTCAAATGGTGTTACAGTACATCAGTGCCAGCAGAGGTACAGTTGACTTCTTTAGGTTATAAGTATATTAATAAGTTTGTTCAAATGGTGTTACAGTACATCAGTGCCAGTAGAGGTACAGTTGACTTCTTTAGCTTATAAGTACATTAATAAGTTTGTTCAAATGGTGTTACAGTACATCAGTGCCAGCAGAGGTACAGTTGACTTCTTTAGGTTATAAGTACATTAATAAGTTTCATTTCTGAGTTTTTATTTGGCTTTATGATATGTTATGATGTAACAACAACAAATGTTCCTACACTTCAGGTGAACCTGGTCCAATGGTTACCAAGACCATTGAGCTTGGAATCTCTCTGCTGAGGGGTGGTAACACAATAGTACAGAAGGTACACACACATTGAACTTGTTTATATTTGTACATTTGTCTAACACTAGGTGTGTTTTTAGCATTATTTGCTTCCATACGCTGTTTTACAACTAATCATTTTCAGCATTGTACTATCTCAATGAAGCAAAGTTATTTTGTTTGTTAAATTCATTATTTTGAAGTACCAATTATTTTCCATGACAGAGATTGCTTCAGTCATTGAAAGACAAGAAAGATGTTGGTTTCTTTACATCTTTATCTGGCCTGATGCAGCAGTGCAGGTAACCTTTTGTTGTCCCACCACTTTTCAGTAAGCCTTTTAGTATTATACTTAGACACCCATTCTGAGATGTTAAGGGTTTTTTTTAAATTAAAATCAATTTAGTTACTTATGTTATATACGTCTCAATTGCTTTTGACATACTATACAAAGAAATTATTCCAAAATTACAATTCAAAGTAAGATAATTCCTGTAATAATAGGCTTAATTTAGTTATTGACTTACGAGATATGAATACATGTGTACAGTGTCCTTGACCTTGATGCATTTGAGAGAACAAACAAAGCCAAAGGCCTTGGCATGAGCACAGAGTCAGGTGCTGGTAACCTAGCTGATGCTGAGGTCACCTGTAAAATTTTCAGGTTCCTACAACTTCTCTGTGAGGGCCACAATCTAGGTAAGTCACACTCTACACAAACTATCTCACCTAGATAAAATTAACAAAAGCTTTAAAAAATTATTCTATTAATATTCTATTAACTGTAATAATCATTTTAGCCAACTGTAACTTTCAGAATTCCAAAATTACTTGAGAACCCAAGCAGGCAATACAACAACAGTAAATATCATCATCTGCACTGTGGACTATTTGCTCAGATTACAAGTATGTTGGTTTTATCTTTGAATGTTGTGTTGTTGATGAAATTTTATTTTTTCATATTGACTCAATCAGATTACTTTTCACACTTAATTTATAGCTTTCAGTCCGGTATGGAATTAGAACATTAAATCCTTTAACAATCAATATACTCATTTTTTTTTAAAAATCTTTCAAAGGCTTCAATTGAAGACTTAGATACAGAATAGTTACAAGAACCAACTTGCATTGGGTTAATATTTTATTATTGTCAATTTTGGGCATGACCTTTCTTTTATAGGTTCAACTCATTTCATTTCTTTAATGTATTTTAAAATTAAGGCTCAATTTTGGTTTCTTTATTATTATTGTTTTGGTTAAACACATTTTACATTTTTAAAAACAGGAGTCCATCATGGATTTCTACTGGCATTACTCAGGGAAGGAGATAATAGACATTGCAGGAAAAGACAACTTTAGCAGGGCTATAATGGTTGCAGCACAGGTCTTCAACTCCCTCACTGAATACATTCAGGTAACTTTTATGTGATTATTTTAACCTATCTTTAGATTGTGTGCCCCATATTTTATCCCTGTGTATAGAGCCCATGTTCACAGAATCAGCCTTGTATAAAGATTTAAAGGTTTATTTTTATCCCTGTGTATAGAGCCCATGTTCACAGAATCATCAGCCTTGTACAAAGATTTAAATGTTTATTTTATCCCTGTGTATAGAGCCCTTGTTCACAAAATCAGCCTTGTATAAAGATTTAAATGTTTATTTTATCCATGTGTATAGAGCCCATGTTCACAAAATCAGCCTTGTATAAAGATTTAAATTTTTATTTTTATCCCTTTGTATAGGGCCCATGTTCACAGAATCAGTTAGCCCTGGCCCACAGTAGGTTGTGGGATGCTGTTGGTGGGTTCCTATATATCTTTGCCCACATGCAAGACAAACTTTCCAAAGTAAGAAAAACTAAAATACTCTGAAAATATAGTTTATAGCATTTTTCAAGAGCTTATCTTTGTATGAACTGTTTTATTTTCATAATTATTTAAAGAATAATAAAATTTCAAAAATTTTCTTGTAGGACCCAGATCAGTTAGAACTTCTAAGAGAATTCATGAAACTCCAGAAAGAAATGATGATCATGTTGCTTTCTATGTTAGAGGGTATGTCCTTGTAGCCATAGGTCTTAAAAAAAACATTTCTCTGTCTCATTTATAAATTATAACACTTGCTTAAAATGTGATTCAGTGAGTTGACTGTACAATTCTAGGTAATGTCATGAATGGACCCATTGGTAAACAGATGGTGGATACACTGGTAGAGTCTTCTACAAATGTGGAGGTACAGTCTTCAAACTTCATAATCAACTCTGTAGAATGACAAGAATATATTTTAAAATGTGTATGTTTTAACATATCATGTCTCTGTCTTTAACACATTTGTATCTCAACTAACAGATGTTATTGAAGTTCTTCGACATCTTCCTTAAGATGAAGAATCTAACTACATCTGAAGCTTTCTTGGTATGTGCTATATTCAATTTATGTTTTAGTTTTTGTGTCAATAAATTAGCTATAGGATTTATTATTATAATTGTTTGAAAAATTAAAATGCAACTTGTCTGCATTTAGGTGTAATTTGAACCTAATATCTTTTCAGGAATTTACATCTAGTTAAATTAAAACATGATTTCAATATTAAACCAAGTGCTAAACTGCAATTGATAACGAATTACTTTAATACTCTTAAGTTTATTTTACTCTCAGCGTTGAGAAGACTTGATTTTAAAACTAATCTCTTCCATTGATCTGTGTTAGCTTGTCTGTTTCTAGAAGGACCTGAATAATTTTCTCTTCCAGCTGTAGATGAGCTGTACCAACCCATAAAATGTGTAATACATCATCACAAATCATTTTCAGCAAATTGCATTTCAAGAGCTATTGCAAAAGAGAAATAATAATCCATTATTCTTCATTGTATAGCTAAATTAATCATTAAAAAAATGTTTTTATTTCCATTTTTCATTATTTGTAAGAACTGTTTATTTATTTTCCTTTTCACCCACACAAACTCCTGTTTTGAAATGCCATGAACTTTTATAGGAGTTTGACATAAACAAGGATGGTGTTTTATCTGCCAAAGAGTTCAGTAAAGCTCTGCATGCTCAGAAAGTGTTCACACGGTTTGTATATCATTGGATATATGCAACAGCTCTGTGGGGTATCTTTCATAGTCAGTGTTTGGTAGAGGTCATTTGGAGGTCACACTGGTTTTATTCATTTCATTCATCCTCTATATTATACTCTAATTTTTATAAAAGTTAAATTTTAACTTTAGAGTCTTCAAAGTGGTGTGTTCCAAAAATTAGCAGAAATGTGTAAGGTCATGTGATCTCCGAATGAATGCAGATGATCATTGTATGTTTCAGTTGCTTATGTCATCTTTTGGTTATTGGTGTCAATGTTGCTAGCCTTTTAGCCTGTTTATTTGTAGGAGTTCGACACAAATAAAGATGGGTGGATATCACACAAAGAATTCCGTAAGGCCATGGAATCACAAAAAATTTACTCTGAGTAAGTGGAGGCATGGCGTGAAGGACTGAAATAAAAAAAAATCAACAAACCGTTTCCATCCCCTTCTGTTGTTCATCAAAACAGAATTTATGTGTTGTCATTCCTCAACACACAACAATTAATTCATATTTTCACCTGTACATGGCCTCCTGTCATTAAAGGATCAGATAAAGCAAACTATTTCTCTCATTTCATTAGCCACCCATTTTAAATGCTTCAAATAATATAGTATGTTTTGTTTTGTTTTTAAATTGAATTCTTTTCTTAGCCAAACTTTATGAATTTGTTTTAAATTATTTATTTTTTTTAAGTTTTAAATACTATCATTTTTCTTATTAATTTATACTTAGCATCAGCTAATTTTACTATTCAAACTGTAACACATGCATCATAACTGTATTCAATTCATAGCATGATTTAAAATAATATTTATAAACATCTTGTCATTATTTAATCATTGTTTTTGACCTAATGCTTATTGATATAGAAACTGTATATTTATTTATTCAGTAATAGTAGTAACAATAGTAGTTAATAATATTAAATGATCTTATAAGTTTGACTGTTTAAAATGAAAGTGTTAGACTCTATGTTGCATGATGTCAGATGCATGTCTGTTGTAAAGAAAACATTTTTAATATAGAGGTAGCTTTAGTTTTAACCTCAATTATTATTTTAAACAACTGTTTAATATCAAAACCACTAGCTATTTTATTTATTTTTTTAATAAATTATACAGTTGGCTTAAGAAACGAGTAAAACAAAAACAAAGTATTTAATTGAATTGGTGGATGAATGATTTCAGGGAAGAAATTGAGTACATCATGATGTGTGTTGATGCCAACCATGATGGGAAGGTGGACTTCACAGAGTTTACTGACCGCTTCCACAACCCAGCCAAGGATATTGGCTTCACCATGGCTGTCCTCTTGACCAATTTGTCTGAACACATGCCTAATGAGCCCAAGTAATTGCTTTAAATATTTAGACTACATAGTTTACAGTTACATTTTTTGTTCAGAAGTCTTACTAAAACTTAATGAAGTTTATGCTTATCTTAACTGAGGATAAACTCTGTAATCCAAAGTTGAATGCTCTAAATGTAGTTTTATCATAACAGATTCTAAGTTTAGCTTCTAAAATTGGTTTAAAAAGATGATTGATTTTCTTTTCCGCCAGGCTGGAGCGGCTCTTGAATAAAGCTAAAAGTGTGCTTGACTACTTTGAGCCTTACCTTGGGCGCATTGAGATCCAGGGCAGTGCTAATCGCATTGAGAGAGTCTACTTTGAGATTAAACAGTCACATATTGACCAGTGGGAGAAACCCCAGATCAAGGTAGTTGACAAACCCTATCTTTAGTTTATTTGCTTCATGTGAACATGCATGCAATAGCTACAGTGTTTCATTGTCATGCATATTGTTCTTGTATATTGTTACTACTTTGTGTTTGTATTCTAGGAATCTAAGAGGTCCTTCTTGCACAGTGTGGTTAATGAAGGTGGAGACAAGGAAAAACTTGAGAGCTTTGTCAACTTTTGTGAGGACACAATATTTGAGGTAAAGCTTTTGTTTGATTGTAACATGCTCATTCTTCAAGCCATTGATAACACAACTTGTACAAATGTTTTCAAAACCTATCTCCTTGTAGATGCAACATGCCACAAGTATCAGTGCAGAGGAACAGAGAATAGCAGCAATGAGAAGTGGTGCTGGCAACATGGAAGGAGGGTAAGTGATGATAAAATATCTTTATTCAAAATCTTGTTATAAAATACAATGTTTATAGTATTTGCAGTTGCCTTGCTATGAAGTTTAACATATAATTTTTTCTATTATCCTTTAATTACTTCTTTGCACAATCTAAGTTGTTTTTTTTTCAATTGTAAGATTATTGACTGTATGGTAATTGTTTTAAATCACAAAGAAATAATGTATCAATCAATATTCTTAATAATAAAAGTGATTATTAGTATTTTTGTAGCAAGTGCCTCTTAATGGTTTTACCTTTTTTATAATTATCTTGTATATTTTTAATTTATTAACTAGTAGCTTGGTGATTATTACTATTAATATTCAATTATGAACAGATTCATGTAATTAATGCCTGATTCTTAAAAGTAAACACATTTTAATTTTTCCAGAGTAGGCCTATAGTTTTGTGTACTTATTTGTTTTAGTTTATTGTTAAACTTGATTTCAGCCTCTTGGGAACAACTGTGGTCTATTGGAGCTTAGCTTTTGTATCTTGTTAGCTTATAAAATTGATTTGTGTTTTCAGAAGGAGACAACAGTCAGGACCAACAGGGTATAGATATTGTCTTGAAGTGAATGCAAACAAATGCATCAGTATACCTTAACTTTTTTTTAACATGGCTCTATTTTATTTTTTTTCTCTATTCTTATGATTAAGTTGAACTTTATTTTTTCAAAGACATAAAAAACATTCCTGAAAGTCTAGCATGAGTTATTTTAAGGCACTGGTTTTGATGGTGTGTCAAGAAGAATGTTTCCTGCACACCCACAGTCTCATCATATTTTCCCCACTGTACAGCTGCTTTCTTTTCTATTGCTTCATCTCTTTCTAAACATGACTTCTCAAAGGGGCTCATTTTTTCTATGGCCAATCTCTTTCTAAATATGACTTTCCTGTTGGCTAGTTTTTTCCTTAATGTAACTTCCCCTATTGCTAATCTCTTTTTAAAACATGACATTTCCTGTTGGCTAGTTTTTTTTCTTACTCAAACCTGACCTTTTTTGCTAATCTTTATGAACATGACACAGGTTAGTTTTTTCCTTCACATAATTTCCACTATTGCTAATCTTTTTGTAAACATGACATTTCCTTTGACTAGTTTTTTCCTACACATACCTTACCTTATTTGCTAATCTCTTGCTAAGCCTGATCTTCTTTTTAAAAAAATCCACACAAATCTAAATGTTTTAAATCCCCAATAAAACTTTTACAACTCAATGGTAACTATCAACCAGACCTTTAACTACTACTCTCTACTTGATGTATGATTGTTCTATATGTTGTTTATAGTTTACTTTGCACAAAAAGCATTCTCATTTTCTTGAAAATAAATCTGCACAAATCTCATATTATTAAAACAAGTAGGCCTCTAGTCTAAAACTTAAACCATTTTTCAATATTCTATTACATAAAATAAAAATAATTTTGCTTTATTAAATATTATTACTTATTTATTTTTTAAAAACTTTTGCAAGTAAGAAATAGATCTAGTTGCAAAATAGATCTACCTATTAAATTAAAAAAAAAATTACATTTAATAAAATTAGCCAATTTGCATGATCTAACTTATGTTAAAAAATAAATTGTCTTCAAAACTTGTTGATCTAACCATGTACAAAATATTGCATACATTTGATTGAGATGTTGAGACTAAGCATGAAAGAGAAAAAAAGTGACATTTTAAAAATTGTCTTTATGAATGAATGTCATTGGTGTCTAAAAATGTCATTTGTTGTATGTCAGTATGTCTTTTTATATTTGATGTTAAATTTTACTTTACTCTATACTGCTGCATTATATTTATACTTACACCATTTAGAAGTATGGTACAGTGTCATTTAAATGTACAGCATTATCAAATTATGCTGAATATGTTTATGTGGGAAAAAAGCATATTGAAATTAATATAATATGTAAGATTCTATTGTTTACTTGTAATGCATCATGCAATGTGTTCAGGTTGTATTGAACTATGTCAAATGTTAGTCTCCCGCTTCTACTATGATAATTCAGTTTTGTGGTGTTAAACTATTTGATATAACATTTAAACTTTCAAAAAAAAATTATATTTAATGTATTGCACATTTTTAAGTATATTTTAAAATATGTTTAAAATTTGTTTTTTTTCTTTCTTTTGTTTCTGAAATCTGTGTTTCAACTACTCCTTATGCATCATTAAAAAATTAAGTATGTATCCAAAATTGAGTTATTTAAAATATTGTTTTCCAGTGTATTGGAACCTTTGGCCATAACATACAGGTTCCTGAAAGACACCTTGTTCACCATACTGTCTTGTCTAACCTGGTCAAATCTGAAACATTCATACCTTACAATCAAGTCCATGACCTACTGGCAGCTGTTTATAGCCTTCTTCAAGATGAACTTCAAGTTTGCCTGGTTTATGGTCACCCTTGTCTTCCATATCTCATGGTAGGACTTTTTTTTTCTTTCACACAATATCTTTAATTTGTTACAAAATAGGTCTAAATCAAATACATTGCACAGTCTAATGTGTTTTTTGGTGAACACTAACATTTTTTTTAAACAACGGATTGTTTTATGATTTGTAAACAGGACACTAGTGAAATTTGTGATTAACATGATGATGGGGGAGAAGGACACAGAGACAAAACCACCCGAGGAAAAACAGCCTCCTACACCTATGGCGCTGCAGTTAGGTCCTATAGCAATGTCAGGACCAGCCGGGAGGTCGGCTATGAATGGTGGGGCTGGTTTTCCACCGGATGTGGATGGTGCTAATGCTGAGCTTTCTCAACCATTAATAGATGAGGATGGAACAGAAAGGCACATGTAAGCTATTTTAAAATTAATGTACACTTTTATTTTGTTTATTATTATAAAATTATTAAGATAAAGTAAATATTCTTAACTTATCCTGTTAAATGACTTTTAATTTTTAGTGCTTTTCAATTGTTTATTCTGATATTTTATTTTCATGGTAACAATACATAATAAATAAATGTTTATAAACATTTCAATTTTGTATCACAGTTCGTATAAAACTAGAGTACTGTATCTTCTTTATCCTAGGCCCCAGTCTAAAGAGCACATGTCTAATGGTACTGCTGGAACAACATTTGAACCTGGAACATCAAGCACCCAAACTGAGAGTCCTGAGACACTAGTATGTCTACAGCAATAGCTCTCTTTGTTTCTTTATTCTTACTTTATAGAGAATGTTTCAACAGTTAACAATCCACAATCCATCTATACACATACATGCACAGACTATACCTATAAATATTTTAAACAAAACGTGACAAACATTTTGTACCTTAACAGACTGAAGACCAGCAAGCAAGTGCCCAGTCAACCACAACTGCTCCACCTCCCTATATGGCACCACAGATGTCTATACCTGATGCCAGGTAACTAATACTGACACTTTCTTAATTTGACAAAAATTGTATTGATAGCATTTAAGGCAAGAAGGCATGCAAGTTTTGTTTACTATAGTCATTGGTGGACTTTATTCATGTTAAAACAATTGAAAATGTTAAAACTGAAAACATTTGTTCCAGAAGGGCTAGTGATAGTGCACCGAAGGAATCATCAAAATCAGAAGAAGAGCCCACTGTTGAGACCCATGAGTTTGAATATGGAAAATACATTTTGGTGAGTTAATGATTGAGGAAGATTTTCCTATTTTTATTTTTTTATTTTTGTTAAAGTATTATTTTTATAGAAATTTAATGACATTTTTTAATTCATGAATTTTCTTTTCCAGAGTTTGTTTGCTCGTAACTTTTACAACTTCAAGTACCTTGCACTACTTTTGGCTTTCTTTATCAATGTTCTGCTGTTGTTTTTCAAGGTCAGAAGATTATTTTTATAGAAAAATGTTTTATTCAAACGAAATAGCTTATGATTATTATGCTTTTATGTATTATGCTTTTTACTATATAATTCATTGTCAATGTTTTTGTTCTCCTGTAATTCTCCTGTATTTAACTTAATAAATTTTTTTTTTAAATGTGTTTTATTATTATTAAAGTATAATTTTTAAATTATAGCATCAAAAGTAATTTTTTTCTATGAGTTGATGTGTCTTATAAAACTAGGTGACCAAACTTCATGAGGAAACAGCAGAAGCTGATTCACCAGATGATGCTGATGTCATTGCCAACCTAACAGCAGCACTGACTGGAGGAGAAGAGGAGGAAGATGATAGCCTGAATGAGTTGGTCATCATTGAGGAAGAGTTTTATTATTTGAATCCAGTTATCAGGAGCTTGGCTCTGCTTCATTCACTGGCTGCCTTCTCAATGCTGGTTGCCTATTACTGCTTAAAGGTAAACGCAAGCTAAAAATATCATTACATTTTTACATGACATTGTCTTTTGCCATACAAACAAATAAAAGTTTATTCAACTGACAGGATTAATTGATATTTTTATGAATTACATAATTCTCAAGCTTCTTTATATAAATTTTACAGTAAGATAATTTTTCAAAGTTAAAAGAATCTAGTCAGATTTGTGACTGTCATTTTAATGATTGTTATCATTTATTACAGTATACATTTATCAATTTACCGTTCTCAAGGTTTAACATACTTATGTTGCAGGTGCCATTGGTCATATTCAAAAGAGAGAAAGAAATAGCCAGGAAGTTGGAGTTTGAAGGACTGTATATTGTGGAGCAGCCAAGTGATGATGATGTTAAAGCACATTGGGACAAGCTGGTGCTGAGTACACAGTCCTTCCCTGAAAGTTACTGGGACAAATTTGTCAAGAAGAAGGTTTGGAATTTTCTAAAAATGTGTTCAATAGATCTGGTTAATTTTTTTTATCCATTAATTGTGATGTAATTAGATTATTGAAACTCAAGTTATTTGATCATTAAATTTTCCAGGCTTGCACTTAGACCAGTGTGACTATTAGACTGCTTATAAAATCTCAAACTCACTCTAAGTTCACAAATGAATGTACCTTTTATCCTGTTCATTTAAGGTCCGAATTCGTTATGCAGAGCAGTACGACTATGATGCTATAAGCAGCTTGTTGGGCATGGATCAGGGAGAAACTGTTTCATCCATCGCTGAAAAATCAAGATTTGTTCCCTCATTGTATGATTTTTATACTTTAAATTTATGACAATGACTACAGTTTGACTACAAAAATGGAAGTTTATTTATAAAATTAAATGTAGAAAAAAATCCCAAATCATTTGTGTAATTTTATTTTCCAGCTTGGCAAATGTTGATCTTCAATATCAGATCTGGAAGTGGGGAGTAATCATTACTGATAATGTAATTTATACAGCATTTTCTGTATTCAATTTTTTTGATTAATGTTTATTGTGATGAAATTAGTGGCTTAATACATTAGTGACTTTTAAAAAAACATATTTTATGTTATTAAGTTAGAGGATTTATAGTAGTGTGTGGGATTGATGTGAAATATATATTCTTATAAATTTTTTTTTCCCAGTCTTTCTTGTATTTGCTGTGGTACTTTTTGTTCTCCATCTTGGGCAACTTTAACTTCTTCTTCTTTGCTGCCCACCTTTTGGATGTAGCCATTGGGATTAAAACTCTCCGTACCATTTTGCAGTCTGTAACCCACAATGGTAAACAGGTGAGACCAAATACCCTACAGATGCATGCATTCATCTTTTCTAAATATGTTGTTTCTATTTTTATTTGATTTTACTAAGAGCGCTATAATTTAAATAAATGTTTAAATGCTGTTGTTGTTCATCTACAGCTGGTCTTGACTGTAATGTTGACGTGTGTGGTGGTGTATATCTACACTGTGGTGGCCTTCAACTTTTTCAGGAAATTTTATGTCAAAGAGGAAGATGGAAATGTAGACTACAAGTGTCATGATATGGCCACTGTAAGATGTAGAACAATTAGTTCTTTTTATTTTCAACAGACATTTAAATTTGGTATTTAAACTATGCATCTGTCATGGTTGTTCTTAGCTACAGTTTCTCATCATTTTTTTTTCAGTGTTTTGTGTACCATCTCCACACTGGTCTTAGAGCTGGTGGTGGCATAGGTAAGTTGAACACATTCTTATTTCTTTATCCCCTTGTGAATGTTTTACTTTTTGTTTCTTTTTTTTAATAAGTTACATCGTTGTAATTTGAACTGATGAGTTGATGGGGTCATGAACTTTATTTCTTACAGGTGATGAAATTGAGCCTGCTGATGGTGATCCCAATGAAATGTACAGAATTGTGTTTGATATTACTTTTTTCTTCTTTGTCATTGTCATCCTGCTGGCCATTATTCAGGGTTTGTATTCATAAATCTATTTTCTTGGTGCTTACATAGAAATTTCAGGAAGCAAAAATGAAAAGTTTTATTAATGTGAAATCAGAGTATGATTTGATCAAACCAAGGTTTTGATCACTTATAAAATTTTTTATCAACTTTATTATCATGGACTAACTCAACAAATGGTGCCATTAATCAACATAAAACAGACATGCTTTAAGTCTAGTTTTGTAGTTATCACAAAATAAAAACTATATTTTATTCTACACCTATAGGTTTGATTATTGACGCCTTTGGAGAGCTTAGGGACCAGCTGGAGCAAGTAAAAGAAGATATGGAGGTAAGAAATAGTTCTAGTTAACCTATTTCATAAGTCCTGATAAACCTCAAACTATGTAAGTCCTGGTTAACCGCAAACTATATATTAATTCTTGGTTAACCTCAAACTATTTCAAATTGTTGAATTTAGTTTTATGAGGTAAAAACTTCTGAATAAAAATGTTATTGCTACTTTTTTTTTTCCAGTCCAAGTGCTTCATTTGTGGCATTGGTAAAGACTATTTCGACAAAGTACCACATGGATTTGAGATCCATGTGAAGAATGAGCATAACTTTGCAAATTACATGTAAGTCATCTTTTTATCGGGACAGCGTGGTCTAGCGGTAGAGAGCTGGACTGCTAACCCATGATGGGTACCTAACTCACATTAAGAAAAGTAAACGCGGCTGGGCATAGTGCTGACCACACTATCTCTTCATTTGCCGAGGTCACAGATACAAGTGAACTCTACTTCACTTGCCCTATAGACCATCTGGTTTGACAAGAACTTGACTTTACTTTTACATCTTTTTATGTTAACCACATTGGTCTATGATGGGAACTTGTGACATCATTTTGTAACTGTGAAAATACCAACCATTTTTCAAAAAATTAAATTGCTTATTACAGAAAAATGTATTTGAACTAATAAGACATGCTAATCACCTGTTGGTATGCTAATGTGTAGTGTCGAATTTGTGATGAGTACCGGTATGATCCTTCTAAAGATTTTGATCTTTTTAAAGATTTTAAATCCTAACACAATTCTTTCAGGTTTTTTATTATGCACTTGATCAACAAGCCTGATACAGAGTACACAGGTCAGGTATGTAACTTATCTTGAAATATAGACGATTTAATTCTAATACTTCATTTGTAAAAAAAAAAAATGTCTTTGTTGGTAAGTTACTTTTCTTTTCTGAAATATAGACAATAGATGAACCTATAGTACCTCTTTTGGGGAAAATGTCTTCATTGTTAATTGTTTTGAAATTTTTTTAATAAAATGTATCTGTATTACAAAGCGTACTTTGGCATGTCGTATAAAATAACATTTATTTTTCAGGAAACTTATGTATATGAGATGTATCAGCAGCGAATCTGGGACTTCTTTCCTGTTGGTGAATGCTTTCGTAAACAATATGAGGATGAAGACTCAAGATGATTTCAATGAAAGATTTCTACAAATGATATTTACACTACATAGTTTAAGCAGTTTTTGCTAAACTTTTTCAGCTTCTGATATTTTATTTTCAGTTTGGATGTTTTCTTTTTGAAGTCACATTTTAATTTATCAATGAAAGTCAGATCTGAGCTAAACTTTCAAAATCAGGCTCAGCTTTAAATGTATATATCTGATTATTTAACTACTAATAGTGCAATATTTAATTATAATGCAATTCTTTTTTTATTTTTGCATGCAGCTTGTAGTTTCTGCTCAATAAATTATTTCTCCACATATTTAAGCTATCTCTGAAAGCCAGCTTAGTGTTATTTTAGCATGAAGTAGGTTTTTGTTTCAGCCATTTCTTTAAATGAACTTTGATACAAGCACATTTATACCAGTATTTGTAAATACACTTTTTCACTGTACATAATGTAGCCAATTTTTATCTTAATAATCAAGGGTCCTCAAAAATTGGGGATGGTCAACCCATTCATCAAACAAACTATTGGTGAAATGTTAATTGTTGGGCGGGGACTCTTGATATGTGACAGGTGGTATATATGGTTGACTCCATACTCAAGTTGTGATATAAACATCGCAACTTAGAGCCTGTCAGAAGGCAAGTAGATATTGTAGATAAATGGCCCACTCCCAGCCATCCTTACAACAAGCATCTTCCCCCTAGATGTAAAACACTGATTTGTAATCCTAAGCTTAACCCTACCATTTTTGTATATAACCAAGGGTATTATCAACCCCAAACATCATCTTATATTATTAATATTTGCATCAGTAATCACTTATTCTCATGACTTGAATTAAGAATGTATAGTTGGTATTTTTTAAAGGATATCCCTAGAAATAGTGTATTGTTTACTAATTTTAGAAGGCAACTATTTTTAAAATTTCATAAGTAAAGGCTTTTTTTTTTGTGTGGTCATAAATTATCTGTTAAAATATTTTACGTTTATGTAAGTTCTAATATGATTGTCATTTGACAAAAATTATTTGTATCAATTAGAAATCATAGTTTTAATAGTATGCTTTTATCTAGTTTGAATTAACATGTTACATTATGATAACCATTTTGATGAACATTTGCTGCTGTTTTTGTAAGCATTACACATTTCAGTTTTTAAAATAGTTTGTTACAGTACAGTGAAAGATTATATGTGAATTTCAAATCACCTTCAAATTTACCTATTTGATATAACCCTATTGTAAAAGAAAAATACTAAAAAAGGCTTATGACTGTACTGGTTGTTTGTATGAGAGAATGATTATCAATCTATTTTTGAAATGTCTGAATGTATCAAACTTTTCACAATGAAACTACAGTGCAATATTTTACCAAATAATATTTAGATTTAATAGAATACTCCACAGCATGCCCAACACTGCATACAGCATTTTATAATAATAATTTCCCTGGAGATAACTTTTTTTTTTTTTTTAAAGCAATCATTGTAGAATTTTTTTGTTTCCTAAATGCTTTGTTTTAGCCACAAAACACATTTTTTTTGAAGAGTTAATTTTTAACTTGGAAAGTCATTGATGTGTAAACTGTTTGCAGTGTTACTACCCTACAGCTCTGACCTTGAGAAGCTGTTGTATCCCATTGTTACTACTCAAGAGCTGGGCTTCTCAAATAAAAGAAAAAAAAATTAAACTTTGTTCTAGTGTTTTATTTCATCTTTCCCACATGCCAAGAGTAGGGTGTCTTTAAATTAAAAAAAAAAAAAAGACAATGTTATTTAAGAAAAAACTGATTTGCAACCTTATTTCAGCATGTTTTTGTATGTTTGTTTAAAGCAATCCCCCCCCCACCCCAAAGTAGTGTGCCATACTAGCCTACAATTTTGTTTGTTAAAATGAGCTGTGAACATTGAGTACTGGAAAATTGAGTTTGTTAAAATAATCTAGATATATATAATTCTCTTCATGGGGACCATGCGAGACACCACGTAAATGCACACCATTACTATTTCGCTCTCTAGGCGTATCGCTACCACCCTCACCCCCACCTGTCTGGTGAGCTATGGTTTACGACGAATGTTCACAATAGTAGAGCCGGGTCGGATTAGTGATGGCTATTAGGGGCAGATAATTTAGTATTTGAAACGATTTGAAACTATTGGGGGGTAACTATTCCTGCTAGATATTTTCATTGTCGTCAGTAAACTCGTCACGGACAGCTGCTTTGACAGGCCAAGGGGGGGGGGTGAAGTGTCGAATTAACAAACTGTGAATTAATGAAAAGTAGAAAATAAAAGATCGGCGTATGCTACACTCGGGTCGGCTCGTCACTAATATATTTTTTTATTAAAGAACCTGATTATCTACATTTGAGTGTGACTTCATTAATGGATGACCCCTTATTGCTGAAAGGGTTGAAATTAAAATTCAATTAGAGGTTGACAGCATGTAATATTAGATCATAAACTTATTTCCAGTATTTGATAACTTATGTAAAGAAAATCCAGATATTGTTCAATAGACAAACATAAAAATGGTTCCAATAGGTTCTCAAACTATACTACTACAATCACTAGACTTATATAAGGAGTAAACTAAAAGAAAATACAAGATTCAAGCAAATAATATTTTGAGTTGTACTTTTATTATTAAAATAATTTTACAAAAATACAAACATCATGTGCCAGTAATTTATTAACTTTTAAACTTTTAAAAAATCAACTATATTTACATTTTTAAAACTACATAAAAGTATTAAAAGTATAATTGCATACCAACTTAAATAACCAAGAATTTGCACATCATCACAGTCAATTTTTTTTTTTAAATATTCTTTTCTGGAAAAAACAGTAATTTAAGTCTTAATTTTTATCTTTTAAAAATTAAGTTTAATTTTTAATTGAATTTGAAACTCAGGAAAAATGTGTTGTAGAATGGTACAAATATAAATTACATGTGCATAGTCATTAAATTATTATGTTATTTTTAAATTATTGGAACAAAATTACTGTACACAAAATACTGATTTGTGGGAAGAAATACAAGAAATTCTGTTAGTTACTAGAAATTCTGTAATTATGGAAAAATAAGAAAGAAACTTCCAAAGTAATAATAGCATTACATGAAAAGCTGGTTCAGGCAACACCACAAGAGGGGGGGGGGGTGTAAAAAGGATCTCTTTTATGCCCGATTGAAGCTGGATGGTTGTACAAAATGCTCAAAATTTTGACATTGTTTATGGTTACCATTACTTAAGAAAAAATTATTCCTCTTTAAAATAAGCCAGATTTTGAGTGCTTGTCTGCAAAAAAATGTATAATAGTATGGTTAAGTGCTTACATTGGATTACAATTGTTTTTACCATGCCTTTTAGTTTTAGTACAGCCACAATTAAAACTACCTAAAGATCCACCAAAGTAGTGTTTGCCACAATCAAAGCAATGTGTATTACGATAATCATTAATACACTGGCCAAACCCTGGGCATTCTGAACAGTGGTTATGAAACTTTCCTGAATCAAAAGTATTTTTTCCACTACAGATTTCAGTGACATAAGCTCTTCCTGGACAACCTGGTTCCTTACATTTGACTGTTGCGTTCTGAAGACCATCCTCATAATCACAACCAGCTTCATCAGGTTGCTTGAGTAAGTCACCAAGTGTTGCTTTCAATTCATGTGAGCACTCCTCACAGCTTTGTTCACAAGTACCAACTGCTACTACCATGTTCAAGTCAGATGGATCTCCTTTGACTTTAATAATTTTTTTCTGAATTGCTGACTTGACACACAGGCTGCACTTTTCTGGTTCATCTAGGCCCATTTTCCTTAACAGGTCATGAACTTCAACACAGGAGAAATTATCTTTAGATAAACCTCTGCCTTTTGACTTGAGAGGACAGCCACTGTTTTTACCTTGCCTGCAACCCTCAATGCACACCATTGTCTTTTTACTCATTTTACTTCCTACCCTTTTACCTGAACCGGAACAATTAGCTGTAGCTGATGTCTTTTTCTTTTTGTTTGAAGGCTGTGCTCCTTCATCTTCTGATAGTTGTTTGACCTTTGTTAGATCATCTGTTTCAATGGTAGTTTTCTCTGGTTCTTGAGGTGTCATTTTTCTCTTGGAAGTTGAAGATGTCTCTTTCTTGGGTCCCTAGGATAGTTAAAATACAAGATATGAATGAAGCATGTACCATTTTCACTGTTGTGTTTTAAAATATTTAGTCGACTTAGGTTAAAAATGTTAGATTACTAAGTTTTAGGAATTTTACCAACAGTTATGGTACTGAATAAACAAAATAATATAACATAAATTGAGTATTATTAAAAAAGACTTAAACAAGTTCTTCTTCTTCTTTGTTCTTAATTTTTTTTTGGTGTTGAAAGGGATCCCCTCAAACACAATTAAGTATACATGTCAACTGATTAAGCGCCAGAGAGACCATTGACTCCGATTTCAGCCCGCTTTTCTTTTTTTTGGATTAGCTTCCAAAGCCTTTGTCCAACCAAGAACAAACTGCAAGGCAGCAGTTGTTTGATTTTGGAGTTGTCTCTCCTAAAAGAGTGGCTGTCCCAGCTATTAAACAAGCTAAAAATAGCAAAAAAAATCGGATGTTTTCAAAATTACGATAGGTATGACTACGCATTACACAACTACTGTTATAAGTTTCAAGGGACTAAGTGGTTAGCATTTATAAGTTACAAATGCTAACCCCATGTCTCACGTTAAGAGTGTTTTTAATATTCAATTATTTCATGTAGGCCTAATTATATTATTTATGGTTACATTTGTGTTAATAATTGTTAGTAATAATCTTATGGTTCAATTTCTGTTAGATCTAGTTTGTTTTATAAGCAGTGTCATTACTTATTTATTATAGTTGTGATTAATGATCCCTTTAAAATACATACATCCTTACATAGACTTAGAACACCACCACACACACACAAAATACACGTTGTACACCAGCTTTTCCCTTTGGAGGGAACACTGGTCATGATATAGGCTACCAGCTATATTTATATTATTTTTAATAATACATTTGTGATTTAGTATTAACCCTTCCCCACAAAGAAATGAAATTGTGACATATAGCCCTACCTTCCCCTAATAGATCAAGATTCTATGTGGATTTCTAATCTAGTCTTACTTTTTTAACTTTCCCCACCCCGTATCTAATTGGTATCTAACCTTCAAGACTGTCGTCTTAGGATGAAGTTAAGGATAAATGAATACAAAATAATTCAAAGTAAATTAATAATAATACACTTGTAGACTACCCCTTCTCGTCCTTTGAAGCTGATGCTTCCAATTCAATTCTCATGTGACTTGATGTAACACATGTAACTTGATGTGACATTTCAAATAAACTCCAAACAAGTTACAGTTGCAGTTGCAAGATGCTGGCCTTTTTTTAATAACTACAGAAATAATGTTATCATTTAGTGATAGTTATTTAGACTTCTAAATTTAAATCTAGATCTATTCAAGAAAACAAGTTACCTCTATTACTGAAAGATCTAGATTCTCTAGATCTACATCAGGATTTACCAGAACGAGTGGCTTGCTAATGCGAGGCATGGTGCAGGAATCTGACGTAGGAAAAATTGAGTCTAGATTAGTGAATTAATAATTAATACGAATTATTTACTATAATTATAATATATTATATATATATAGTTGATTACAATAATATGAAGGGTCATTCATTTATGACGTCCACACGGGGGGGGGAAGAAATAAATAGACTTCGTGGTAACGTGTGGACTGGATGGGGGTTTTGGGTCCATCTGAAAGTCTGTTGAATTTAACATAGAAGTGCTTACAATTTAAAATAAAAAAAAACATAAAACTCGTATCCTGCATTTAAGAAAAAAGTAAAATTAAGACAACAGTGCTCGTGTTTAAAAATAACCTATCACAACGTGTAAATAAAGCACTGTATTTAATTTATACCTACAGTGGGTTATCCATAACAAACAACATCTAGAATTTTTAACTTCCCTTCCTCCCAATGAGACCCCAACATCACTAATCTTCACAGCATCTAAAATCAAAATGAAGCCAAAGAACAGCCTATGGCCTATACAGACACTACGTATAGATAGTCGTATACTGCCGTCGTATACTATACTCTTACTTATCTATACATTTCAAAACTGTAGCTTTAAAAAAAATACTTTTTTTCTTAAAATATGGTCATCCTTGAGTTGGCCTCGATTTTTATTTAAATTTTGTGGTCGTCCACATTGGGTAAGGAGGGGGTGGGGGCTGTCCGTCGAAAGTAGACTTGTGTGAGGGAGCCTACTAAATTTTAAAATAGGTGGACATTTAAATGGATGACCCTTTATTAGAGATTAGAATGTACGTAGTCTACAACAACTTGCAGATTTAGATATAGAAATCTAGTCTAGACCAGACCAGTGGTCATCAAACCCCCAAGGGTTCAGTTAGTGAAGTTAGTCAGCCCCAGGGGTTCGACGGAGATCAAATCAATTCAAGACACACACCAGACTCACATGACTTATGATTGGATTTTGTCTGTGCGGACAATAGAACTAGATTCTAAGTCTAGATGATCTAGATTCTAGATCTAATTGAGAAGGGTACGGTGAATGCACATAGAGTCTAGATCTAGATCTAATACTACTAATAGATTTAGAATTTTGACTGACTAATTTTAAATACACTAGTGCTAGGCTAGATCTGACTAGACTACATCATTAGATGCCAGACAAATGGCGCGACTTAAGTTCAATTGTTTAAAGTTGCCAGATTAAACTCTCAAAAATTGTCAAAATAAATTAATTTTACAGGATTCTTGCCGACGTTGTTTGATGAGTAGGCCTAAGGCTAAGCCTTTGGCGTAGACAGAGTTTCTCCCAGGCATCTCTTCGGGGGGGCGAAGCCCCCCCCCCGAAATTTTTTTTACCGCCCCCCCCCCCCCCCCCGAACGAAATGAAATTTATATAATTTATAGAGAAAATATATACTTTTAACAATGTCCGCCCCCCCCCCCCCCCGAAGAAAGTCTACCGCCTCCCCGAAAATTTCAAGTGCCCCCCCGAAGAAAAAAGTCTGGAAGAAACACTGGGCGTAGAGTCTATGGTAAATAAACTATTACGCATAATTACTAGGCAATTCACGTGATTTTGGTCACTTGTTTGCAAGGGGTCATTACTTATTACATCTAGCTGGATGTTGATCTAGTACTTACTACTACTACACTAATTTAATTGCTACAAGTATACAGAGAATTTGTTGCTCATTAACTGATTGCGAGATTTGGATACATCTTGCGAGACGTGAAACACAAAATGGCGGGCCAATAGAATGCGAGAAGTAAATGCGAGACACCTGCAGAACAGTTTCTTCCAGGCATCTCTTCGAGGGGGCGGAAACCCCCCCCCCCCCCCCACCGAAGAAAGTCTACTCCCCCTCCCCCCCCCCCCCAAATAAAATGTAAATAGAAAATATATACTTTTACCAGTGTCCGCCCCCCCCCCGGAAAATGTTGTCCCCCCCCCCACCCCACCCCGGGAATATCTAGTGCACCCCCGGAGAAAAAAGTCGGGAAGAAACACTGCAGAATTAAGAGTAGGCCCTAGCCTAGGCCTAGTAAGTAAATGAAGTAGAGTTAACCTGTTTCTATTACCTCGGCATGAAAAGGGATAGTGTAGTCAGCACTATTCTTGCCGACTTAGCTTTCTCTAACGTGAGCTAGGTACCCATCAGAGTTTCTTCCAGGCATCTCTTCGGGGGGGGGGGGGGGTCTAAGCCCCCCCCCCCCCCGAAAAAATTCTACCGCCCCCCCCCCCCCCCCAAACGAAATGAAATTTATATAATTTATATAGAAAATATATACCTTTTAACAGTGTCCGCCCCCACCCGAAGAAAGTCTACCGCCCCCCTCAGATTTTAGAGATGATGTTTTTGATATTCATATTGTTGAGAGCTGACATTTGTGACATTCAAATTGAAAATTGTTGTTTGTGACAGTCTTATTCTTGTGTCATGCTTCCATTTTATCGCATCTTTCCTTAAACCTTGAGAAAACTGTGTTCTTTCTTTCTGAAAGGCATGTGATGTCTGGGTTCTTAGATCTATTGGAATATTTGGAATGTCCCTTGTTCTCTAATCTGGAGACAATTTCATCCAATGCTTCACTTTTGCTTTTAACTGCCATTTGTTTTAGCGTGCACAATTTCTCATTCAAAAATGGTTAATTTCTTTGGTGGCATCTGAAAAGTAGAATACATGTCATTGTATCTTAAGAAATGATCTAAAGCTTCTGTTTGCATTCCGTTAGTAAATAGTCAATAATCTGTTAAGGTTTTTGTCACTAGAACTCCTCGTTTTTATTGCATCAATATGTGTCTATTTAAACAGATGCACACGTTTTTGCTTGTTCAGAAACAGTGTTTAAATCGAATTTAGCACAACACTCAATAAAAATGTTAAGACGTTGCACATTCACCAACTTACAACCTAAACTTAGCCATTCTAAGTAAAAGGTACTTTGGATGAGCAATTGAAAATAATGTAGTGAGATTTTTGATTGTCTAAAGAACCACTTACAATACATAATAAGATCTGTACTAGAGTCTATAGGTCAACACAATGTAATTTAATGTACACCATTGCAAAGGGAGTTTCGTGTAAAGATTTAGCCTAGAATTATCTGGAACGTACTGGGGAATGTGACTGACAGGCCGGAGAAGGAATAATCACTTTGGGGACGTTACACTGTCATTTGACACTGGGGAATTAAAAAACTAATAGAAGAGTGAAACTAATAAGAGAGATAAATGTTAACCAAACGCGATCTCCAAGGCAGACAGCTCACTCTCCAAGTATTTGCTGTAAACTGCTCAAGTAATGAAGAAATAAGGATGGTTCCTGATTTCTTCATTACTTGAACGGTTTACAGTAAATGGTGAAGTCAAGTCGCAAGGATGGTTCCTGGCGACTTGACTTCACCATTTGGTAGAAAACACTATGTTTGTTGAAAACGCTACATATACATACCTTCTAAGTACAATCTGTTTTATCTTGCTGTATAAGAAAGTCTTGCATTTAAAAATTCACCCTACACCAGCTCAGCCTTTGCTGTGACTTAATTAGATAATTAGGATGTATATATCTGAAATTCAAAAGGAAAATGAATATAGCAGTCACATTTAAATAAATAAAAATGATTTTGACTTACCTAAATGTTACCAAAATAACAGAACGTAACTATACCAAAACAACAGAACCAAAGTAGCCCTAAACCCAACTAACAGACATTTTACACATCTTAAAAATAAAATAATTAGTAAAAAAATCGACTTAGGCTTTTAATTTTAAAATGTAAAGCACTATTTTTATTCGTGAAACTTTAAAATTCTCATTCTTTAAATCTTCAGCTAAATTGTTTTTTTAATTTCTCAGGGACAAATAAATTTTAAACTAGTATATACAGAGCGTATTTATAAAGATTAAATCTCACTATTTTAAACCCTCTCTAGTGGGGTGGTCCATCACTGAAAAAGCTGCCTTCTTGCATACGATGCTATTGGAGGTTCAAGATGTTAAAAGCTGTGGATAAAAAAACAAAAAAAATACAACAGTCTGTTGGTGGTGGAGCCATCAGTCGGCCGCCAGATGTGCTACCACCATATGGGACGGCGAACTGTGCAATAGTGAAGGCAAAAAGTCCTAGGGAGGCCGCGAGCAGTCCAAGGGAGGCCGCGAGCAGTCCAAGGGAGGCCGCGAGCAGTCCAATGGAGGCCGCGAGCAGTCCAAGGGAGGCCGCGAGCAGTCCAAGGGAGGCCGCGAGCAGTCCAAGGGAGGCCGCGAGCAGTCCAATGGAGGCCGCGAGCAGTCCAAGGGAGGCCGCGAGCAGTCCAAGGGAGGCCGCGAGCAGTCCAAGGGAGGCCGCGAGCAGTCCAAGGGAGGCCGCGAGCAGTCCAAGGGAGGCCGCGAGCAGTCCAAGGGAGGCCGCGAGCAGTCCAAGGGAGGCAGCGAGCAGTCCAAGGGAGGCCGCGAGCAGTCCAAGGGAGGCCGCGAGCAGTCCAAGGGAGGCCGCGAGCAGTCCTAGGGAGGCCGCGAGCAGTCCTAGGGAGGCCGCGAGCAGTCCTAGGGAGGCCGCGAGCGGTCCTGGGGAGGCGGCGAGCGATCTGTCGATTGCCAGACGCACAGCGCGCACTCACACCTCAGGAGCCCTGCGAGCACTTACCCCTCATGAATTCTGCAAGCACTCACACCTCAGGAGCAGTGCGTGCACTCACACCTCAGGAGCAGTGCGTGCACTCACACCTCAGGAGCAGTGCGTGCACTCACACCTTAGGAGCCCTGCGAGCACTCACATCTCAGAATCTCTAGGAGCACTCACACCCCAGAAGCCCTGGCAGCATCACCCCTCATGAGCTCTGTGAGCACTCACACCTCAGGCACCCTGCGAGCACTCACACCTCAGAAGCTCTTCGACCACTAACACATCAGGAGCCCTGCGAGCACTCACACCTCAGGGGCCCTGCGAGCACTAACCCCTCAAGAGCTGGGCTACCACAAAATGGGACGGCGAGTTATGCAATAATGACGGCAAACAGTCCTAGGAAGGCCGCGAGTAGTCCAAGGGAGGCCGCGACCAGTCCAAGGGAGGCCGCAAGCAGTCCTACAGAGGCGGCGAGCGGTCTGTCGATTGCCAGACGCACAGCGCGCACTCACACTTCAGGCGCCCTGCGTGCACTCACACCTCAGGAGCCCGGCATGCACTCACCCAATAGGAGCCCTGCCAGCACTCACTCATCAGGAGACCTGCCAGCACTCACCCCTCAGCTCTGCGAGCACTCACACCTCTGGAGCGCTGCCAGCACTCACACCTCTGGAGCGCTGCGAGCACTCACATCTTAGAAGCTCTGCGAGCCCTAACACCTCAGAAGCTCTGCGAGCCCTAACACCTCAAGAGCTGGGCTACCACAATATGGGACGGCGAGCTGTGCAATAGCGACGGCAAACATTTCTGGGGAGGCCGCGAGTAGCCCAAGGGAGGCCGCGAGCAGTCCAAGAGAAGCCGCGAGCAGTCCTGATGAGGCGGCGAGCGGTCTGTCGATTGCCAGACGCATAGCGCGCACTCACACTTCAGGCGCCCTGCGAGCACTCATCCCTCAGGAGCCCTGCGAGCACTCACACATCAGGAGCCCGGCATGCACTCACCACTCAGGAGCCCGGCATGCACTCACACCTCAGGAGCCCTGCGCGCAGTTACACCTCAGGCGCCCTGCAAACATTCGTCATACATATTCCCAACTGACCTTATTGAAGATTCATTTGACGAGCGCTGATAATTTTTCCTCTATTTGATCGCTTGCATTGTTGAGATTGGTTGATAGTTCCAGGAGCATCAATTTTATCAACAGACGTCAATAATGTGATCAATCTAGCAACATCGTGGTTGGCAGGCGAAACGTGTGTGGATGGTGTAATATTGAACAGTTTATTTGCTCTATGACATGGAGGCTAGACTTCTCAGATTTTAGAGATGTTTTTATAGTCATATTGTTGAGAGCTGACATTTGTGACATTCAAATTGAAAATTGTTGTTTGTGACAGTCTTATTCTTGAGTCATGCTTCCATTTTATCGCATCTTTCCTTAAACCTTGAGAAAACTGTGTTCTTTCTTTCTTTCTGAAAGGCATGTGATGTCTGGGTTCTTAGATCTATTGGAATATTTGGAATGTCCCTTGTTCTCTAATCTGGAGACAATTTCATCCAATGCTTCACTTTTTCTTTTAACTGCCATTTGTTTTAGCGTGCGCAATTTCTCATTCAAAAATGGTTAATTTCTTTGGTGGCATCTGAAAAGTAGAATACATGTCATTGTATCTTAAGAAATGATCTAAAGCTTCTGTTTGCATTCCGTTAGTAAATAGTCAATAATCTGTTAAGGCTTTTGTCACTAGAACTCCTCGTTTTTATTGCATCAATATGTGTCTATTTAAACAGATGCACACGTTTTTGCTTGTTCAGAAACAGTGTTTAAATCGAATTTAGCACAACACTCAATAAAAATGTTAAGACGTTGCACATTCACCAACTCACAACCTAAACTTAGCCATTCTAAGTAAAAGGTACTTTGGATGAGCAATTGAAAATAATGTAGTGAGATTTTTGAGTGTCTAAAGAACCACTTACAATACATAATAAGATCTGTACTAGAGTCTATAGGTCAACACAATGTAATTTAATGTACACCATTGCAAAGGGAGTTTCGTGAATAGATTTAGCCTAGAATTATCTGGAACGTACTGGGGAATGTGACTGACAGGCCGGAGAAGGAATAATCACTTTGGGGACGTTACACTGTCATTTGACACTGGGGAATTTAAAAACTTATAGAAGAGTGAAACTAATAGGAGAGAACAATGTTAACCAAACGCGATCTCCAAGGCAGACAACTCACTCTCCAAGTATTTGCTGTCAACTTTTCAAGTAATGAAGAAATAAGGATGGTTCATGATTTCTTCATTACTTGAACGGTTTACAGTAAATGGTGAAGTCAAGTCGCAAGGATGGTTCCTGGCGACTTGACTTCACCATTTGGTAGAAAACACTATGTTTGTTGAAAACGCTACATATACATACCTTCTAAGTACAATCTGTTTTATCTTGCTGTATAAGAAAGTCTTGCATTTGAAAATTCATCCTACACCAGCTCAGCCTTTGCTGTGACTTAATTAGATAATTAGGATGTATATATCTGAAATTCAAAAGGAAAATGAATATAGCAGTCACATTTAAATAAATAAAAATGATTTTGACTTACCTAAATGTTACCAAAATAACAGAACGTAGCTATACCAAAACAACAGAACCAAAGTAGCCCTAAACCCAACTAACAGACATTTTACACATCTTAAAAATAAAATAATTAGTAAAAAAATCAACTTAGGCTTTTAATTATTTTAAAATGTAAAGCACTATTTTTATTCGTGAAGCTTTAAAATTCTAATTCTTTAAATCTTCAGCTAAATTGTTTTTTAATTTCTCAAGGACAAATAAATTTTAAACTAGTATATACAGAGCGTATTTATAAAGATTAAATCTCACTATTTTAAACCCTCTCTAGTGGGGTGGTCCATCACTGAAAAGGCTGCCTTCTTGCATACGATGCTATTGAAGGTTCAAGGGGATAATAGCTGTGGATAAAAAAAACAAAAAAAAAATACAACAGTCTGTTGGAGGTGGAGCCGTCAGTCGGCCGCCAGATGTGCTACCACCATATGGGACGGCGAACGTTGCAATAGTGAAGGCAAAAAGTCCTAGGGAGGCCGCGAGTAGTCCTAGGGAGGCCGCGAGCAGTCCTAGGGAGGCCGCGAGCAGTCCTAGGGAGGCCGCGAGCAGTCCTAGGGAGGCCGCGAGCAGTCCTAGGGAGGCCGCGAGCAGTCCTAGGGAGGCCGCGAGCAGTCCTAGGGAGTTGGCGAGCGGTCCTGGGGAGGCGGCGAGCGATCTGTCGATTGCCAGACGCACAGCGCGCACTCACACCTCAGGAGCCCGGCATGCACTCACACATCAGGAGCCCTGCGAGCACTTACCCCTCATGAATTCTGCGAGCACTCACACCTCAGGAGCAGTGCGTGCACTCACACCTCAGGAGCAGTGCGTGCACTCACACCTTAGGAGCCCTGCGAGCACTCACATCTCAGAATCTCTGGGAGCACTCACACCTCAGGAGCCCTGGCAGCATCACCCCTCATGAGCTCTGTGAGTACTCACACCTCAGGCACCCTGCGAGCACTCACACCTCAGAAGCTCTTCGAGCACTAACACATCAGGAGCCCTGCGAGCACTCATACCTCAGGGGCCCTGCGAGCACTAACCACTCAAGAGCTGGGCTACCACAAAATGGGACGGCGAGTTATGCAATAATGACGGCAAACAGTCCTAGGAAGGCCGCGAGTAGTCCAAGGGATTCCGCGAGCAGTCCAAGGGAGGCCGCGAGCAGACGTAGGGAGGCCGCGAGCAGTCCTAGGGAGGCCGCGAGCAGTCCAAGGGAGGCGGCGAGCGGTCTGTCGATTGCCAGACGCACAGCGCGCACTCACACTTCAGGCGCCCTGCGTGCACTCACACCTCTGGAGCGCTGCGAGCACTCACATCTGAAAAGCTCTGCGAGCACTCACATCTCAGAAGCTCTGCGAGCACTCACACCTCAGGAGCCCTGCGCGCAGTTACACCTCAGGCGCCCTGCAAACATTCGTCATACATATTCCCAACTGACCTTATTGAAGATTCATTTGACGAGCGCTGATAATTTTTCCTCTATTTGATCGCTTGCATTGTTGAGATTGGTTGATAGTTCCAGGAGCATCAATTTTATCAACAGACGTCAATAATGTGATCAATCTAGCAACATCGTGGTTGGCAGGCGAAACGTGTGTGGATGGTGTAATATTGAACAATTTATTTGCTCTATGACATGGAGGCTAGACTTCTCAGATTTTAGAGATGTTTTTATAGTCATATTGTTGAGAGCTGACATTTGTGACATTCAAATTGAAAATTGTTGTTTGTGACAGTCTTATTCTTGAGTCATGCTTCCATTTTATCGCATCTTTCCTTAAACCTTGAGAAAACTGTGTTCTTTCTTTCTTTCTGAAAGGCATGTGATGTCTGGGTTCTTAGATCTATTGGAATATTTGGAATGTCCCTTGTTCTCTAATCTGGAGACAATTTCATCCAATGCTTCACTTTTTCTTTTAACTGCCATTTGTTTTAGCGTGCGCAATTTCTCATTCAAAAATGGTTAATTTCTTTGGTGGCATCTGAAAAGTAGAATACATGTCGTTGTATCTTAAGAAATGATCTAAAGCTTCTGTTTGCATTCCGTTAGTAAATAGTCAATAATCTGTTAAGGCTTTTGTCACTAGAACTCCTCGTTTTTATTGCATCAATATGTGTCTATTTAAACAGATGCACACGTTTTTGCTTGTTCAGAAACAGTGTTTAAATCGAATTTAGCACAACACTCAATAAAAATGTTAAGACGTTGCACATTCACCAACTCACAACCTAAACTTAGCCATTCTAAGTAAAAGGTACTTTGGATGAGCAATTGAAAATAATGTAGTGAGATTTTTGAGTGTCTAAAGAACCACTTACAATACATAATAAGATCTGTACTAGAGTCTATAGGTCAACACAATGTAATTTAATGTACACCATTGCAAAGGGAGTTTCGTGAATAGATTTAGCCTAGAATTATCTGGAACGTACTGGGGAATGTGACTGACAGGCCGGAGAAGGAATAATCACTTTGGGGACGTTACACTGTCATTTGACACTGGGGAATTTAAAAACTTATAGAAGAGTGAAACTAATAGGAGAGAACAATGTTAACCAAACGCGATCTCCAAGGCAGACAACTCACTCTCCAAGTATTTGCTGTCAACTTTTCAAGTAATGAAGAAATAAGGATGGTTCATGATTTCTTCATTACTTGAACGGTTTACAGTAAATGGTGAAGTCAAGTCGCAAGGATGGTTCCTGGCGACTTGACTTCACCATTTGGTAGAAAACACTATGTTTGTTGAAAACGCTACATATACATACCTTCTAAGTACAATCTGTTTTATCTTGCTGTATAAGAAAGTCTTGCATTTGAAAATTCATCCTACACCAGCTCAGCCTTTGCTGTGACTTAATTAGATAATTAGGATGTATATATCTGAAATTCAAAAGGAAAATGAATATAGCAGTCACATTTAAATAAATAAAAATGATTTTGACTTACCTAAATGTTACCAAAATAACAGAACGTAGCTATACCAAAACAACAGAACCAAAGTAGCCCTAAACCCAACTAACAGACATTTTACACATCTTAAAAATAAAATAATTAGTAAAAAAATCAACTTAGGCTTTTAATTATTTTAAAATGTAAAGCACTATTTTTATTCGTGAAGCTTTAAAATTCTCATTCTTTAAATCTTCAGCTAAATTGTTTTTTAATTTCTCAAGGACAAATAAATTTTAAACTAGTATATACAGAGCGTATTTATAAAGATTAAATCTCACTATTTTAAACCCTCTCTAGTGGGGTGGTCCATCACTGAAAAGGCTGCCTTCTTGCATACGATGCTATTGAAGGTTCAAGGGGATAATAGCTGTGGATAAAAAAAACAAAAAAAAAAATACAACAGTCTGTTGGAGGTGGAGCCGTCAGTCGGCCGCCAGATGTGCTACCACCATATGGGACGGCGAACGTTGCAATAGTGAAGGCAAAAAGTCCTAGGGAGGCCGCGAGTAGTCCTAGGGAGGCCGCGAGCAGTCCTAGGGAGGCCGCGAGCAGTCCTAGGGAGGCCGCGAGCAGTCCTAGGGAGGCCGCGAGCAGTCCTAGGGAGGCCGCGAGCAGTCCTAGGGAGGCCGCGAGCAGTCCTAGGGAGTTGGCGAGCGGTCCTGGGGAGGCGGCGAGCGATCTGTCGATTGCCAGACGCACAGCGCGCACTCACACATCAGAAGCCCGGCATGCACTCACACATCAGGAGCCCTGCGAGCACTTACCCCTCATGAATTCTGCGAGCACTCACACCTCAGGAGCAGTGCGTGCACTCACACCTCAGGAGCAGTGCGTGCACTCACACCTCAGGAGCAGTGCGTGCACTCACACCTTAGGAGCCCTGCGAGCACTCACATCTCAGAATCTCTGGGAGCACTCACACCTCAGGAGCCCTGGCAGCATCACCCCTCATGAGCTCTGTGAGTACTCACACCTCAGGCACCCTGCGAGCACTCACACCTCAGAAGCTCTTCGAGCACTAACACATCAGGAGCCCTGCGAGCACTCACACCTCAGGGGCCCTGCGAGCACTAACCACTCAAGAGCTGGGCTACCACAAAATGGGACGGCGAGTTATGCAATAATGACGGCAAACAGTCCTAGGAAGGCCGCGAGTAGTCCAAGGGATTCCGCGAGCAGTCCAAGGGAGGCCGCGAGCAGACGTAGGGAGGCCGCGAGCAGTCCTAGGGAGGCCGCGAGCAGTCCAAGGGAGGCGGCGAGCGGTCTGTCGATTGCCAGACGCACAGCGCGCACTCACACTTCAGGCGCCCTGCGTGCACTCACACCTCTGGAGCGCTGCGAGCACTCACATCTGAAAAGCTCTGCGAGCACTCACATCTCAGAAGCTCTGCGAGCACTCACATCTCAAGAACTGGGCTACCACAATATGGGACGGCGAGCTGTGCAATAGCGACGGGAGGCCGCGAGCAGTCCAAGGGAGGCCGCGAGTAGCCCAAGGGAGGCCGCGAGCAGTCCAAGGGAGGCCGCGAGCAGTCTAAGGGATGCCGCGAGCAGTCCAAGGGATGCCGCGAGCAGACGTGGGGAGGCCGCGACCAGTCATAGGGAAGCCGCGAGCAGTCCTAGAGAAGCCGCGAGCAGTCCTGATGAGGCCGCGAGCAGTCCAAGGGAGGCGGCGAGCGGTCTGTCGATTGCCAGACGCACAGCGCGCACTCACACTTCAGGCGCCCTGCGTGCACTCACACCTCAGGAGCCCGGCATGCACTGACCCAATAGGAGCCCTGCCAGCACTCACTCATCAGGAGACCTGCCAGCACTCACCCCTCAGCTCTGCGAGCACTCACACCTCTGGAGCGCTGCGAGCACTCACACCTCTGGAGCCCTGCGAGCACTCACATCTCAGAAGCTCTGCGAGCACTCGCATCTCAGAAGCTCTGCGAGCCCTAACACCTCAGAAGCTCTGCGAGCCCTAACACCTCAAGAGCTGGGCTACCACAATATGGGACGGCGAGCTGTGCAATAGCGACGGCAAACATTTCTGGGGAGGTCGCGAGTAGCCCAAGGGAGGCCGCGAGCAGTCCTAGAGAAGCCGCGAGCAGTCCTGATGAGGCGGCGAGCGGTCTTTCGATTGCCAGACGCATAGCGCGCACTCACACTTCAGGCGCCCTGCGAGCACTCATCCCTCAGGAGCCCTGCGAGCACTCACACATCAGGAGCCCGGCATGCACTCACCACTCAGGAGCCTGGCATGCACTCACCTCAGGAGCCCTGCGCGCAGTTACACCTCAGGCGCCCTGCAAACATTCGTCACACATATTCCCAACTGACCTTATTGAAGATTCATTTGACGAGCGCTGATAATTTTTCCTCTATTTGATCGCTTGCATTGTTGAGATTGGTTGATAGTTCCAGGAGCATCAATTTTATCAACAGACGTCAATAATGTGATCAATCTAGCAACATCGTGGTTGGCAGGCGAAACGTGTGTGGATGGTGTAATATTGAACAGTTTATTTGCTCTATGACATGGAGGCTAGACTTCTCAGATTTTAGAGATGTTTTTATAGTCATATTGTTGAGAGCTGACATTTGTGACATTCAAATTGAAAATTGTTGTTTGTGACAGTCTTATTCTTGAGTCATGCTTCCATTTTATCGCATCTTTCCTTAAACCTTGAGAAAACTGTGTTCTTTCTTTCTTTCTGAAAGGCATGTGATGTCTGGGTTCTTAGATCTATTGGAATATTTGGAATGTCCCTTGTTCTCTAATCTGGAGACAATTTCATCCAATGCTTCACTTTTTCTTTTAACTGCCATTTGTTTTAGCGTGCGCAATTTCTCATTCAAAAATGGTTAATTTCTTTGGTGCCATCTGAAAAGTAGAATACATGTCATTGTATCTTAAGAAATGATCTAAAGCTTCTGTTTGCATTCCGTTAGTAAATAGTCAATAATCTGTTAAGGCTTTTGTCACTAGAACTCCTCGTTTTTATTGCATCAATATGTGTCTATTTAAACAGATGCACACGTTTTTGCTTGTTCAGAAACAGTGTTTAAATCGAATTTAGCACAACACTCAATAAAATGTTAAGACGTTGCACATTCACCAACTCACAACCTAAACTTAGCCATTCTAAGTAAAAGGTACTTTGGATGAGCAATTGAAAATAATGTAGTGAGATTTTTGATTGTCTAAAGAACCACTTACAATACATAATAAGATATGTACTAGAGTCTATTGGTCAACACAATGTAATTTAATGTACACCATTGCAAAGGGAGTTTCGTGTAAAGATTTAGCCTAGAATTATCTGGAACGTACTGGGGAATGTGACTGACAGGCCGGAGAAGGAATAATCACTTTGGGGACGTTACACTGTCATTTGACACTGGGGAATTTAAAAACTTATAGAAGAGTGAAACTAATAAGAGAGAAAAATGTTAACCAAACGCGATCTCCAAGGCAGACAACTCACTCTCCAAGTATTTGCTGTCAACTTTTCAAGTAATGAAGAAATAAGGATGGTTCATGATTTCTTCATTACTTGAACGGTTTACAGTAAATGGTGAAGTCAAGTCGCAAGGATGGTTCCTGGCGACTTGACTTCACCATTTGGTAGAAAACACTATGTTTGTTGAAAACGCTACATATACGTACCTTCTAAGTACAATCTGTTTTATCTTGCTGTATAAGAAAGTCTTGCATTTAAAAATTCACCCTACACCAGCTCAGCCTTTGCTGTGACTTAATTAGATAATTAGGATGTATATATCTGAAATTCAAAAGGAAAATGAATATAGCAGTCACATTTAAATAAATAAAAATGATTTTGACTTACCTAAATGTTACCAAAATAACAGAACGTAACTATACCAAAACAACAGAACCAAAGTAGCCCTAAACCCAACTAACAGACATTTTACACATCTTAAAAATAAAATAATTAGTAAAAAAATCGACTTAGGCTTTTAATTTTAAAATGTAAAGCACTATTTTTATTCGTGAAACTTTAAAATTCTCATTCTTTAAATCTTCAGCTAAATTGTTTTTTTTAATTTCTCAGGGACAAATAAATTTTAAACTAGTATATACAGAGCGTATTTATAAAGATTAAATCTCACTATTTTAAACCCTCTCTAGTGGGGTGGTCCATCACTGAAAAAGCTGCCTTCTTGCATACGATGCTATTGGAGGTTCAAGAGGTTAAAAGCTGTGGATAAAAAAACAAAAAAAAATACAACAGTCTGTTGGAGGTGGAGCCATCAGTTGGCCGCCAGATGTGCTACCACCATATGGGACGGCGAACTGTGCAATAGTGAAGGCAAAAAGTCCTAGGGAGGCCGCGAGCAGTCCAAGGGAGGCCGCGAGCAGTCCAAGGGAGGCCGCGAGCAGTCCAAGGGAGGCCGCGAGCAGTCCAAGGGAGGCCGCGAGCAGTCCAAGGGAGGCCGCGAGCAGTCCAAGGGAGGCCGCGAGCAGTCCAAGGGAGGCCGCGAGCAGTCCAAGGGAGGCCGCGAGCAGTCCAAGGGAGGCCGCGAGCAGTCCAAGGGAGGCCGCGAGCAGTCCTAGGGAGGCCGCGAGCAGTCCTAGGGAGGCAGCGAGCAGTTCTAGGGAGGCCGCGAGCAGTCCTAGGGAGGCCGCGAGCAGTCCTAGGGAGGCCGCGAGCAGTCCAAGGGAGGCCGCGAGCAGTCCTAGGGAGGCCGCGAGCGGTCCTGGGGAGGCGGCGAGCGGTCTGTCGATTGCCAGACGCACAGCGCGCACTCACACCTCAGGAGCCCGGCATGCACTCACACCTCAGGAGCCCTGCGAGCACTTACCCCTCATGAATTCTGCAAGCACTCACACCTCAGGAGCAGTGCGTGCACTCACACCTCAGGAGCAGTGCGTGCACTCACACCTTAGGAGCCCTGCGAGCACTCACATCTCAGAATCTCTAGGAGCACTCACACCCCAGAAGCCCTGGCAGCATCACCCCTCATGAGCTCTGTGAGCACTCACACCTCAGGCACCCTGCGAGCACTCACACCTCAGAAGCTCTTCGACCACTAACACATCAGGAGCCCTGCGAGCACTCAGACCTCAGGGGCCCTGCGAGCACTAACCCCTCAAGAGCTGGGCTACCACAAAATGGGACGGCGAGTTATGCAATAATGACGGCAAACAGTCCTAGGAAGGCCGCGAGTAGTCCAAGGGAGGCCGCGAGCAGTCCAAGGGAGGCCGCGAGCAGTCCTAGGGAGGCCGCAAGCAGTCCTACAGAGGCGGCGAGCGGTCTGTCGATTGCCAGACGCACAGCGCGCACTCACACTTCAGGCGCCCTGCGTGCACTCACACCTCAGGAGCCCGGCATGCACTCACCCAATAGGAGCCCTGCCAGCACTCACTCATCAGGAGACCTGCCAGCACTCACCCCTCAGCTCTGCGAGCACTCACACCTCTGGAGCGCTGCCAGCACTCACACCTCTGGAGCGCTGCGAGCACTCACATCTTAGAAGCTCTGCGAGCCCTAACACCTCAGAAGCTCTGCGAGCCCTAACACCTCAAGAGCTGGGCTACCACAATATGGGACGGCGAGCTGTGCAATAGCGACGGCAAACAGTTCTAGGGAGGCCGCGAGTAGCCCAAGGGAGGCCGCGAGCAGTCCAAGAGAAGCCGCGAGCAGTCCTGATGAGGCGGCGAGCGGTCTGTCGATTGCCAGACGCATAGCGCGCACTCACACTTCAGGCGCCCTGCGAGCACTCATCCCTCAGGAGCCCTGCGAGCACTCACACATCAGGAGCCCGGCATGCACTCGCCACTCAGGAGCCTGGCATGCACTCACCTCAGGAGCCCTGCGCGCAGTTACACCTCAGGCGCCCTGCAAACATTCGTCACACATATTCCCAACTGACCTTATTGAAGATTCATTTGACGAGCGCTGATAATTTTTCCTCTATTTGATCGTTGCGTTGTTGAGATTGGTTGATAGTTCCAGGAGCATCAATTTTATCAACAGACGTCAATAATGTGATCAATCTAGCAACATCGTGGTTGGCAGGCGAAACGTGTGTGGATGGTGTAATATTGAACAGTTTATTTGCTCTATGACATGGATGCTAGACTTCTCAGATTTTAGAGATGTTTTTATAGTCATATTGTTGAGAGCTGACATGTGTGACATTCAAATTGAAAATTGTTGTTTGTGACAGTCTTATTCTTGAGTCATGCTTCCATTTTATCGCATCTTTCCTTAAACCTTGAGAAAACTGTGTTCTTTCTTTCTGAAAGGCATGTGATGTCTGGGTTCTTAGATCTATTGGAATATTTGGAATGTCCCTTGTTCTCTAATCTGGAGACAATTTCATCCAATGCTTCACTTTTGCTTTAAACTGCCATTTGTTTTAGCGTGCGCAATTTCTCATTCAAAAATGGTTATTTTCTTTGGTGGCATCTGAAAAGTAGAATACATGTCATTGTATCTTAAGAAATGATCTAAAGCTTCTGTTTGCATTCCGTTAGTAAATAGTCAATAATCTGTTAAGGTTTTTGTCACTAGAACTCCTCGTTTTTATTGCATCAATATGTGTCTATTTAAACAGATGCACACGTTTTTGCTTGTTCAGAAACAGTGTTTAAATCGAATTTAGCACAACACTCAATAAAAATGTTAAGACGTTGCACATTCACCAACTCACAACCTAAACTTAGCCATTCTAAGTAAAAGGTACTTTGGATGAGCAATTGAAAATAATGTAGTGAGATTTTTGATTGTCTAAAGTCTAAAGAACCACTTACAATACATAATAAGATCTGTACTAGAGTCTATTGGTCAACACAATGTAATTTATTGTACACCATTGTAAAGGGAGTTTCGTGTAGAAGTTTAGCCTAGAATTATCTGGAACGTACTGGGGAATGTGACTGACAGGCCGGAGAAGGAATAATCACTTGGGGACGTTACACTGTCATTTGACACTGGGGAATTTAAAAACTTATAGAAGAGTGAAACTAATAAGAGAGAAAAATGTTAACCAAACGCGATCTCCAAGGCAGACAACTCACTCTCCAAGTATTTGCTGTAAACTGCTCAAGTAATGAAGAAATAAGGATGGCTCATGATTTCTTCATTACTTGAACGGTTTACAGTAAATGGTGAAGTCAAGTCGCAAGGATGGTTCCTGGCAACTTGACTTCACCATTTGGTAGAAAACACTATGTTTGTTGAAAACGCTACATATACATACCTTCTAAGTACAATCTGTTTTATCTTGCTGTATAAGAAAGTCTTGCATTTGAAAATTCATCCTACACCAGCTCAGCCTTTGCTGTGACTTAATTAGATAATTAGGATGTATATATCTGAAATTCAAAAGGAAAATGAATATAGCAGTCACATTTAAATAAATAAAAATGATTTTGACTTACCTAAATGTTACCAAAATAACAGAACATAACTATACCAAAACAACAGAACCAAAGTAGCCCTAAACCCAACTAACAGACATTTTACACATCTTAAAAATAAAATAATTAGTAAAAAAATCGACTTAGGCTTTTAATTTTAAAATGTAAAGCACTATTTTTATTCGTGAAACTTTAAAATTCTCATTCTTTAAATCTTCAGCTAAATTGTTTTTTAATTTCTCAAGGACAAATAAATTTTAAACTAGTATATACAGAGCGTATTTATAAAGATTAAATCTCACTATTTTAAACCCTCTCTAGTGGGGTGGTCCATCACTGAAAAAGCTGCCTTCTTGCATACGATGCTATTGGAGGTTCAAGAGGTTAATAGCTGTGGATAAAAAAACAAAAAAAAAATACAACAGTCTGTTGGAGGTGGAGCCGTCAGTCGGCCGCCAGATGTGCTACCACCATATGGGACGGCGAACGTTGCAATAGTGAAGGCAAAAAGTCCTAGGGAGGCCGCGAGCAGTCCTAGGGAGGCCGCGAGCAGTCCAAGGGAGGCCGCGAGCAGTCCAAGGGAGGCCGCGAGCAGTCCAAGGGAGGCCGCGAGCAGTCCAAGGGAGGCCGCGAGCAGTCCAAGGGAGGCCGCGAGCAGTCCAAGGGAGGCCGCGAGCAGTCCAAGGGAGGCCGCGAGCAGTCCAAGGGAGGCCGCGAGCAGTCCAAGGGAGGCCGCGAGCAGTCCAAGGGAGGCCGCGAGCAGTCCAAGGGAGGACGCGAGCAGTCCAAGGGAGGCCGCGAGCAGTCCTAGGGAGTTCGCGAGCAGTCCTGGGGAGGCGGCGAGCGATCTGTCGATTGCCAGACGCACAGCGCGCACTCACACCTCAGGAGCCCGGCATGCACTCACACCTCAGGAGCCCTGCGAGCACTTACCCCTCATGAATTCTGCGAGCACTCACACCTCAGGAGCAGTGCGTGCACTCTCACCTCAGGAGCAGTGCGTGCACTCACACCTTAGGAGCCCTGCGAGTACTCACATCTCAGAATCTCTGGGAGCACTCACACCCCAGAAGCCCTGGCAGCACTCACCCCTTTTGAGCTCTGTGAGCACTCACACCTCAGGCACCCTGCGAGCACTCACACCTCAGACGCTCTTCGAGCACTAACACATCAGGAGCCCTGCGAGCACTCACACCTCAGGCACCCTGCGAGCACTCACACCTCAGACGCTCTTCGAGCACTACCACATCAGGAGCCCTGCGAGCACTCACACCTCAGGGGCCCTGCGAGAACTAACCCCTCAAGAGCTGGGCTACCACAAAATGGGACGGCGAGTTATGCAATAATGACGGCAAACAGTCCTAGGAAGGCCGCGAGTAGTCCAAGGGAGGCCGCGACCAGTCCAAGGGAGGCCGCGAGCATACGTGGGGAGGCCGCGAGCAGTCCTAGGGAGGCCGCGAGCAGTCCAAGGGAGGCGGCGAGCGGTCTGTCGATTGCCAGACGCACAGCGCGCACTCACACTTCAGGCGCCCTGCGTGCACTCACACCTCAGGAGCCCGGCATGCACTCACCCAATAGGCGCCCTGCCAGCACTCACTCATCAGGAGACCTGCCAGCACTCACCCCTCAGCTCTGCGAGCACTCACACCTCAGGAGCGCTGCGAGCACTCACATCTCAGAATCTCTGCGAGCACTAACACCTCAGGCGCCCTGCGAGCACTCACACCTAAAAAGTTATGTTACAACTAACACCTTAGGGGCCCTGCTAGCACACACACCTAAGAAGCTCTGCGAGCGCTAACACCTCAGGAGACCTGCGAGCACTAACACCTCAGGAGCCCTGCGAGCACTCACATCTCAGAAGCTCTGCGAGCACTCGCATCTCAGAAGCTCTGCGAGCCCTAACACCTCAAGAGCTGGGCTACCACAATATGGGACGGCGAGCTGTGCAATAGCGACGGCAAACAGTTCTAGGGAGGCCGCGAGTAGCCCAAGGGAGGCCGCGAGCAGTCCAAGGGAGGCCGCGAGCAGTCCAAGGGATGCCGCGAGCAGACGTGAAGAGGCCGCGACCAGTCCTAGGGAAGCCGCGAGCAGTCCTAGAGAAGCCGCGAGCAGTCCTGATGAGGCGGCGAGCGGTCTGTCGATTGCCAGACGCATAGCGCGCACTCACACTTCAGGCGCCCTGCGAGCACTCATCCCTCAGGAGCCCTGCGAGCACTCACACATCAGGAGCCCGGCATGCACTCACCACTCAGGAGCCCGGCATGCACTCACACCTCAGGAGCCCTGCGCGCAGTTACACCTCAGGCGCCCTGCAAACATTCGTCATACATATTCCCAACTGACCTTATTGAAGATTCATTTGACGAGCGCTGATAATTTTTCCTCTATTTGATCGCTTGCATTGTTGAGATTGGTTGATAGTTCCAGGAGCATCAATTTTATCAACAGACGTCAATAATGTGATCAATCTAGCAACATCGTGGTTGGCAGGCGAAACGTGTGTGGATGGTGTAATATTGAACAGTTTATTTGCTCTATGACATGGAGGCTAGACTTCTCAGATTTTAGAGATGTTTTTATAGTCATATTGTTGAGAGCTGACATTTGTGACATTCAAATTGAAAATTGTTGTTTGTGACAGTCTTATTCTTGAGTCATGCTTCCATTTTATCGCATCTTTCCTTAAACCTTGAGAAAACTGTGTTCTTTCTTTCTTTCTGAAAGGCATGTGATGTCTGGGTTCTTAGATCTATTGGAATATTTGGAATGTCCCTTGTTCTCTAATCTGGAGACAATTTCATCCAATGCTTCACTTTTGCTTTAAACTGCCATTTGTTTTAGCGTGCGCAATTTCTCATTCAAAAATGGTTAATTTCTTTGGTGGCATCTGAAAAGTAGAATACATGTCATTGTATCTTAAGAAATGATCTAAAGCTTCTGTTTGCATTCCGTTAGTAAATAGTCAATAATCTGTTAAGGCTTTTGTCACTAGAACTCCTCGTTTTTATTGCATCAATATGTGCCTATTTAAACAGATGCACACGTTTTTGCTTGTTCAGAAACAGTGTTTAAATCGAATTTAGCACAACACTCAATAAAAATGTTAAGACGTTGCACATTCACCAACTCACAACCTAAACTTAGCCATTCTAAGTAAAAGGTACTTTGGATGAGCAATTGAAAATAATGTAGTGAGATTTTTGAGTGTCTAAAGAACCACTTACAATACATAATAAGATCTGTACTAGAGTCTATAGGTCAACACAATGTAATTTATTGTACACCATTGCAAAGGGAGTTTCGTGAATAGATTTAGCCTAGAATTATCTGGAACGTACTGGGGAATGTGACTGACAGGCCGGAGAAGGAATAATCACTTTGGGGACGTTACACTGTCATTTGACACTGGGGAATTTAAAAACTTATAGAAGAGTGAAACTAATAGGAGAGAACAATGTTAACCAAACGCGATCTCCAAGGCAGACAACTCACTCTCCAAGTATTTGCTGTCAACTTTTCAAGTAATGAAGAAATAAGGATGGTTCCTGATTTCTTCATTACTTGAACGGTTTACAGTAAATGGTGAAGTCAAGTCGCAAGGATGGTTCCTGGCGACTTGACTTCACCATTTGGTAGAAAACACTATGTTTGTTGAAAACGCTACATATACATACCTTCTAAGTACAATCTGTTTTATCTTGCTGTATAAGAAAGTCTTGCATTTGAAAATTCATCCTACACCAGCTCAGCCTTTGCTGTGACTT